AAATGACATGATGGAATGTAAGAAAAAATGATGGACTGCTGAAGATGCGAGATATAAAAGTTGATTAATAGATGTAGATATCAGCATTGGTGAACACAAGTGAAGAATGATATATGTTCAAGATCAGCGGGACTGACTTCTCCAACCTAGACTATCTCATGATTTTATGAAATTGCTATTGGCAAATAAGCAGTCAGCTCATATTGTGGTAGGCAGAGGTGGCATATTCGAAGAAAACAATCGTATATTGGAAGATATCCGTTTTAATTTTTTGGCAGAGTTCAACATTTTGATACGAAGCTAAACTTATATGATGTCAGCGCAAATTATTTCTAGAAGGACTGTAGATTACATTCTAGCATTCATCCGTAATTTCTGAAAACCACGTCTTTGAAAAAGGCGAATGAAGGTGAGCCTGAATTAATATGTAGCATAGCTCTCATCTTTCTAGTGTGAAGGTTCAATTATACCTTATCGCACGTTATATACAGGCAAAGCATAAGAAATAAAAACATCAACTCGCATGTCTCGCTCGCCGCATGGTGTTATTCATAAGTTACTTTATTTTCCAAGTTAGATAGGTGAGAAATACTTGAGAAATAGTAGGGTAAAGCGTTATAAAGTACTATGTCAGATCGTACTCTATAACGTGGAAGACCTTTGATTACTCGAATGGAATGGCTCTATTTTCTTTAACCCACAACTTCTCAGCATCAGTGTTGGGCATGGGTGGGTTGATACCTTGGGTACGCCACAACTCTCTCTCGTGCTCTTCGATATGGATCTCCCAGTCTAATCCTCTGTCCTTGACATAAGGGCCAAACGCCGCCTCAAGCTGATCCAGTACAGCCTGCTTGACTTCATATGAGGCCATGGTTCTGGCCAGATGCTGACTGACGACGCGAACAAATTTGGGTGCAGGTTTACCGCTGATGAAAATTGAATCTTCAGAAACTTCAATGAATATGACATCGACGTAAAAGGCCGGTAGGTCGTAGCCAGTGTAAATCTTGGTAATACGTTCTGCAATTTCTTGCTTGTCCTGGGCAGAGAAAAGACCCTTTGCGTAATAGAATCGGTGAAGAGGCATTTTTGGCTTGTCCTGCTTGAATATTGATGTTTGATAGAGACTTCGTTCTCCAGATGAACTTCTGAGGCTCTTATATACTTTAAATTATTGGGCTATGCTGATCAGTCAGTTATTTTTCCACATTGAGCATTTTTAAGTTTTAACCACGAACGGAACCCATTTTTGTGAATTATGAGCTGGAATTCGCATCGCCATGTACCACTCTATACAATTCAGAGTCTAAGTCCGGTGCTCGTAGTCCGGCGTCATTTATAATCAAGGAACAGATAATAAGCTGTTATGTTCGCAATAAAGGAGCTGTGCAACCCGATCTCTAAGCCAACTGTGCACAGCCCGGTCGTTGGCTATAATTTACAACAGGAAACTCCGTGATACACAAGAAAGAGATCTTCACAACGACTAGAGAGAGGTTGTTCAATCAACTATGAATCTGATCAATATCACTATACTCTCTGTCTCCCAGGTAACAGCATCTCTATCTTGCGGGCAATGATCTGCTGACGGACTTTATTTGTAATATACCGCCTTGTCTAGATCCATTTGCAGTGCTTGATCCGAAATCATTCATTAAAAGGATAGAGTCAAGGAAATAGAGCAATCTATTTTATTTGATAATCACACATGAAAGGTGACTGTGATTACGGCGGATGGACATGTCAATATTCAGCGCACCAGCCATGCTGTTAGTGAACGACGCCGATGCGCGACATTGTTTCACTTACGACGGTCACCGTAAAAAAAAAATAATGATAATCAAAAAGTCAAATTTGATACCTGCATAGCAATGGAGGCTCTATGTCATTTTCTTTGCTACTGTTTTTGCGACGGCTGTGACCTCTGATGCATTGTTGTTTCACACCAGGGGGTTACTCAAAAACTTTTGTTGTATGAACGACGGAGTAGGCGTTTGACATTGATCACATTTCTTGATTCCACAATAGGGCATTTGTTTTCATCGTTTTGACCACTCTTTATATTGCCTTTCCTACTCATCAACTTGCTTGATGTATGAGGTGAATCAACAACTACACTATTCAAAGCAGAGAACTGATATCTACATTTAAATCGTAACTTACTAAAAAAAAAAAAAATTGGTACAGCGAAATATAAACAAAAACGAAATCAATAACAGAAGTGAAACAAGGCAGGTATGTATGTACATGGTTTTTTTGCGTGCGTGGGTTGATAAAAAAAGAAAGCCGTGATCAGAGGACTGGGTGCCAGCAACAGGAATCCCTAATTGTTTTTGTCATATTTCTAGTTACTCTTTTCAGGACGGATAGTAGGCGTGGTTTTTGTGTTTGTTTTTTATGATCCACTTTTTCGTTAGCAGATGCACTGTCGTCGGTGTGGGTATCTTCAGGCACGCATGTCACGGCGCCGCCTTCTGATGAAGACGCAGTCTGCTCCGTTTCTTGCTGTTCAACAGCCGGTTCTTCAGGGTGTGTGCGCAACTCATTGCAGATACCCACTAGAGTCGATCGCCTTATACGCTCCGCCCGCACCGCATCCTGCAAGGCTCGTGTTGCCCTATGATGAAGCCGCCGTTGTCGTTCTTCACACTGTTGTTGGTATCGCAGCATGGTATTATAGCGGTCGTACGAGCTATTCCATCTGGTACCGATGTCTAATGCCTCCCGGTACCGTCGCTGGTTGGAATGCATGTAGGCGGCAAATGTTTGTTCACTTGCCGAAGTGGTCATAATTTTACCTACAACCGTATGGTAATAGTCCTCTCGAACCCAATCAATATCGGATGCGATCTTGCTATAAGGATCAATGCTGGCAGAAGGGAATATGACTTCAGGTTCGTGATAGTAGTACGGCATGGTCAAGGGAGATACAATGAATAGTTGAGAAGAAAAAGAGAAGTAGCATTTTGTGCGATCAGTTTTTCTCCCTTTCTGTAAGAACCATGTCTCTTTTTTGAAGATCCGCCTCCTTCTCTTAGAATCCACTGCCTGTCTGGACAGAGACAGCCCTGAGACCCTGAGTTGCTCCGTTCCCTCACATTAATCGTTTGCCAACCATAGCTGAACAACCACGCTGAGAGTACAAGGTGTAAATAGTATGGGTCGCACAACAAGTTACATTCCGCCCATCATACTATGAAAATAGTTGGTTCTCTACTGTCAAACCTATCTGATGCACACGGGTGAAGTGAGCATTTCGAATCGGACAGCAGTAACGATGTGAGGGCAAATGCACCAGGGGGGCAGTGAATGCGTGGACGGGATAAATGCGGCAGGTTTATCCTTGTGATTACTTTTAAAAATAATAATAGCCAAATCAAATGACAGTACTTGCGTTTGATACTAACCCATGCGATAGCCTGGCTGGCTGGCTGGCTTCTCACGCTATAGTGGAATAATTATATGTCATTGTGAAGTAGATCGCCATGTACTGCTTTCTACAGCTACCTGTATTTGACATTTTTGTAAAGGCGGTCCCATATAGATTCAGGAGACACACTCAAGTCATATCGACTGTCTCTACTTTGGGGTGGTTGGAGGGGTATATTTGTTCATATCTTTTATTCTTTTACATGATTTGTTGTTGTAATAAAAGAAGCTATGCGTGGATGAGTGTGGGAAGGGAGTACAAATACAAAGGTTTGGATTTTACATGACGTGAATAACAATAGAAAATTCAATAATAAAGGTTGGGAAGTTGAACAACCATGTGTAGAATGGAGTGAGTTATACAAATTGTGTGAGTAGATTGGGTGTATCATTTTCTATAGTTGAACGATTCGTAATAGCCACTGTCGACCTTTTTATGGTGAGTGACATCATCTTTGTCGTCCTCCTGAACAATAGCCGATGCATCTTCGAATGGATTCTGGTATGGTTCGGGTCGCTCCAGTAAGCTCTCTCGTACTTGTAATATTTCTTGGGTGATCAGAGGATCTTCATCGACGGTCACGGACAAGTCACGAGTGTCCCATTTCATACCGCTCATCATACTGTGGAATAAATACATGCTGGATCGCTCGTCGTGACTCAGTTTGGTCTCACTATCCAAGCACTTGGATAATGCTTGTCTTGCTCGTTCAACGACATCCATGTCCATATGTCCGAACATCTTTTGTAAGACATGAGCGACTGCGAACACAGCTTCTCGACCGGCATGTTCGGACACGCCAAGACGTTGTCGATCATCATCCAAGTTGGATAAAAATCTCGCTCGTATAGGAGATTGGTGATCAACAGCATACATAATATAATTGTAGGCGTAAAACCGCGAACAGACAGCAACAATGAAATCATCCTTGAGTTGAGGATTAGAGTTCCATTCAAACAAGACGTCATAGTTTTGCCTTAAACGACAAGCAAGAAAGATTGCTCGGTCTCTACATTTTTTGTCTTGGTAAAAAAAGGTATCATACAAATCTCCATATTGCCTTCGTCCGGCTTCTAATGAGATGATTCGAAGAGTGTTTACAAAAGTACTGGATGGGTTGGGGTTGACATATGGTACATTTTGGGTGGTGGTGGTGACGGGTGGAGGGGTATTCCTTGGCGGTGGAGTAGGTTTGGAGCGACCCCCTTTGGTAGTCAGTGATCGCTTGAGATTGTGAAGGTGACTTAGAGCGGGTGACATCCAGTAGAGAAAACAAAGAGAAATGGAAGTTGCAAAGAAAGAGAAAAACAAAGTGGAACAGAAGAAAAAAGTAGAAAATAAAAAAAATAAAAATAAGTCAATTTAAAGAGTGGTCTGGGTTGCGGACTTAATTGGTAACCGAGGAGCTCCCTATTTTTGGACCGGCAGCACGAAAGGCAATCAAGACTTGTGCAAGTGTTTGCTTTTAATGCTCCAAAGAGTTTCGTAAATCAGCCGGAAGCGTTCGAATGATGATATCGATTTGCTTTTGTAGTTTCTCGATATCCGTTGTATTATGTGCGTCTTCATCTTGAACAAGGTGAAGAGCATCTTGATATCGAACCAGAAGATCTACGGCTTCCACTTCTCGACTAGACGCAATTTTTTTTGTGACATCGGTCTCGCATAGTTTTCGAATATAACGATGCTTAATTTCGTTCTGAGCCTCGTTGGTACGTAGACGTAACCATGTTGCGAAATTGCCGCATTTGAGAAACTGAGTATAAAACTCTCGAACTGGATCCCCGGTGGTCGCTCGAGCTTTGAACGTGGACTTGAATTGTAGCGATGGTGGATTGTCTTTGAGAAACCGATAAAACTGATCGGATTGGAATGGCTTGAGTTGTCCTTGACCCTTCTTGAGAGTCGAGCTACTCACATTCGTCGGAAGCAGTTGATTAAAATAACGATTGAGAGGTGTTAAGAATTTCTCAGTCATATCCGCAAAATGTCGTCTTAAAATATTGTTGAGTACATAGGCTATTGAAACATTACAGATGTTAGTAAACGGCTCTGGAATAAATAAACTCCATATGGTCTGTTTATGAAAACAAACGTATTTCGTACCAGATGAATGGCCGCGAACTCTAGACTCTACCAACATTTTGAGTAATGCCTTGTCCTTTGATATCGTTGCTTTTCGCTTGGATGTCACACCTTGAACGAAGTCCAGCGTTCCATTAGGTCTTGAATGAGATCCCTTCGCATGTCGTCCGTGTTCCGGTATGATGGTTCCGTCTGGTTTTCTGAGGTAACAAATAAGTTGTAGGGAGTCAGCAGGATTTGCGAAAAAAGTATATATCTATATATACATGTCAAGCTGAGAGCGACCCCTAACTCATGATATGTTTTCATGGCTTTTGGAACGGGTCCCCTTTTATCCCTCTTGTTGACTTACCGGTGTTGATGTCGCCCGACTCGAACGATGTGGGGCCAGTGTCCAATGGCTTTATTAAAAAAGGGATTTGTGACTCCGAGAATGAGGTTGGAGGGTGGCTGTTATATTTGATAATCAGACATGAGCCAAAATGAATGCGACGGACCAGGAAATTGCAAGGATCAGAATAATAATAATTACCATGCTCTTAGTGATGAATGATCGAAAGTCCGAGTCTTGTATTGTAAAGTAAGGTCTATAGTCTCCACAGTAAGGTATCTATTCAGCAAATGGTTAGAGATGAAGATGGATAGGTCGAGCATTGACCAACTTACAGGATTGATCAAATCAATGAGAGCAACTATGCTTTCACTACATATACCAGGCTCAGGGGCCATCACAATCAAAGGCTCTCCCAGAAGCACCAATTCCCAGAGTAGCCACAAATCATCCAGCATATTGCTAAAATGCTTATACAATGTACCAGGTGGTATAGAAGCGAGGATCTAAAATTTACACATTAATTTAAAAAATAAAAATCCCCCCCCCCACGTGTCCCTCCTTGGACCATTAATGCATACCTGAGTTTCTGGTTTCAACGAATTCAAATCAAAGCGACTGGTCTCTAGTAGTTGAGGTCGATGTGGATAGGGAATTTCTACTTGCAAGACAGTGCCTAGTAAGGGTAAATCATAGCTCTGTCCAGGAAGAGGACCATTCCTGAATGAAGAATGTACATTAATGCATGTAAAAAAACAGTGGTATGCTCTACAAGGTAGACATTACCAACTGGCGATACTGGCACAAGCAGCTTCTAACATAGGCTGACCGAGGTCAAAGAAGGCAGGCCCTAGCATAGACACAACACGTGAAAATAAGCCTACAAAAGGATGTTGCGAGAGCAACACCAGCGATTTCTAAATGACGCACCAGAGTTCAGATAGGCGGACAGCTTTTTTCTCTCCGACAAGACCATCATTTACCTGGAAATAACCTCGCCGTATCCTCTCATCTTTCTTTTGACGGAAAAATACATAGCCATATAGGAAGCCAGCATCAGCAGTTGGGCCTGAGATGTGAGAGCAGGTGAAGTTCCGTCAGTTAGGATTCAAAGTTCAGGAAGAGAGGAAATTGAATTGATGGCTCACCTGACGCTGTAAGGCCAGACCCACTTGCGCGGATTCGAACATTGTACACCTGATCTCCGACTTCAAAAACGTTGGAATCCGGGAAAGCAGAAAAACAACTATAGGCGCAATGGAAATAAGATTTATGGTACAATACTCGGTATACATAGACCCTAAACTTACATGTTTTTTTCTTCATATTCTGATAAGTCCACCGGAGGGTATATAAAATCAAGTGCTGGAAAAGAAGCATAATTTTAGTGATCACGGTGGCTTTCTCTGCGAAACCTGGGGTAAAACGGATATACCTTGGCCAATTTCTAGATCAAAGTTGACGACGCAAAAACCGACCATCCATTGCCGAAACTTGGCGAGTATATCTGGGCTTAAGTTGGATAGTTTGTTATTGTCTCGAAGTTCTGTTATATCTGTATCGATTTCGAACATGGCTCCTGCACCAAGTACATCCGAACTACTGGTTCGACTGCTAGCTTCTTCTTCGTCCGATAAACTTGCAGTAGTGCAGCTGCCAGACTGCGAGTGTTGAGAGTCGAGCGCTGGAGCTAAAAATGGCTCGGAATGACAAAGCCCAGTAAGGAGATGGTTATATTGTGGGTGAGATGTTGAAAAGCCTTCTCCGATATCAGCCTCCTGGTCGTGGTGATATATAGGTGTGGGAATAGTATGTCTTAATGAGGATGGATTCGGGGAATGTGGGTGGACGGTACTGTTTACTGAAGATGCGGAAGAATTTCGGCTGTGAGTGGACTGTGAGCGAGTGAGTTGTGGTCGCAATGAGGGCGACGACGACGATACAAATAAATCTGCTGCCGAGTGGTTTGCACGCAGAGGAGACTTAATCTTTGGTGCAGTTGAAGCAATGTCCATTAAAGCCAAGCTGTTACCAGAATGACAGTAAAAAGAAGGAATGGGAGCAAGAGCTTGAGAGGTTCAGAAAAACCGCTGGTTTGGTGATCCCCTAAAATTTCTCAGCGAGCATGACGATTCAGATTCGAACGGTTTTCCCTCTCTTTTTTTTTTTTCTTATACTTTTTTATTTTCTGCGTGTATTTACAAATAAATCGATTCAGTAGCACTGGCTCAAACCATGGCAAAGAAGCCAAGCTTTTCTATATTTTCTCCGTTAAGTCGCTTTTCATCCACTTGTTGTTCTTCATCTTGGAGCTTCTGATCGAGTTGCTGAATGAGTGACTGCCCGATACGTTTGGCGGTTTGAATCATTTCGCTCATTAACCCCGGTTCAATACCACCCTCAGCGCCCTTCTGAATACCACAAATTTGGCTATCCTTGTTCACAGCAATGGTGAGTTTGGCTTCCGTGCAAAGTTCTTCTAATGGTGAAGCATCGATGATATGGCCAGTCCCAATCTACACAAATCAATGTTTGGTTATGGTTTGCTCAAAATGATCGGTCAAAAAAAGCCCATTTCATCTTACCTTATTGAGAGTGACACCGATGGGTATATTTTCTATGCCATCTAATCGTTCAGCGTCTTCCACATCGTCTAGGACCTCAAATTCAAATTCACCATCTCCCAAGTCTTGAATCTGCGTCTTTGGTATCCGTGTGTTAAAAAGTGCCGCCTTCGTTGCCATAAAAATGGTGTCCAGAACATTTCCAGAGTAATCGAGAATCTGTATTGATTCAAAGAATGCTATTAGTTAAAAAGGAGTCGCTATTGCGAACATATACAGGGGAGTTAGCTGTTACCATGGCATCGATGTAAACAATCCAGCATTGTTGGCCTTTTATGATACAAAGTTTTTCAAAGTTGATGCCGCATTGTGGCCCACCAAGGACTCTTTGAAGTGCTTGTGTCAATTCATTGTTGAGATCATCCGCTCCATGACCTTCAAATTGCTGAGATGCACTAGGAGAGCTGTAACGATTTGTACGCTTAGCATAGTTCGAATCATATCCATGCATAGAGTAGAAAAAAAAAGACAAAGATTTCTTACCATTCCACGTTACAAACAACTTTACCAACATTATCGGCATCAGGTTCCACTTGGTCTATTTCAACTTTGACGCCAACAAGAACGTCTGTTCCGTCACCTAAGCGCACGCGAGCACTGCCGTTGGCCTGGGAGATAATTCCAGTCTCCAAGACCAAAGCACGGTAGTCCAGTCGTCCACGTCCATCGGCTCGGAGATCGCTCTGAACGCCTTCTGTAATGTAATCACGCTCTGCTTGGGATAAGTAGGGCATGGGAGGTGGATCAAAGGATTGGAATCGACAGAGAGTTTATGATGCCCAGTGGCTTGCCTTTTTTTGCAAAATTGTTGAAGGGAGCCAAAAAGTGACAGTCACATGACTGAGGGAACATCCGCAAAAAACAGAGTCAGCTTGAAATGTCGAAGGCATACTTCAATCTCTCGTCACCAATGTCAGTTGCCGCTGTTGTAAAGAAGGCAGCTGCCAACACCGTCAGTCAACCAAGTTCTAGACTTCGTTTACGCAAAGCGGCTCTCACTCTCGTAAGCAGCTGAATTTCCGTTTATTTTCAAATGGTTCCTTAATGAGACAGTGTGTGCTGACAAATGCCCATATGGTTCTCTCTTCCCTTGTGTTATTTGGCATTTTTGTTATAGACACCAGCTGCAGTTGACCGCTTAAAGTCACTCTACAATGGCCCAGAGCCTCGTTTGCTTCGAGTTGGAGTCAAACAAAAAGGCTGTTCCGGTAACTCTTATAGTCTGGAGTTCACCGACAAAAAGGGCAAGTTCGATGAAGTAGTGAAACAAGATGGTAAGGCAGTCATCATAAATTATCAAGTGGGCGTACAATCGCTTGGAAAAAAGTGCATGCAAGTTAATCATATCTTTTTTGTCATAGGTGTAACCGTTCTTGTTGATTCCAAAGCGCTGATCACCGTCCTTGGCTCGGAAATGGACTATATCCAGAACAAGCTCTCTTCGTCATTTGTTTTCTCTAATCCCAACGTCAAAGAGACGTGTGGATGTGGTGAGAGCTTCAAAATCTAGAGAACCTTTTTTTAATATCGTTTCAGTATTGTATAATAGTTGTAAACCCTCCTCATTCAATCAATGTATAACCTCATCCTCCATTTTGCTTTGAAAGTAAAGAATTCAATGTTCACATGTTCGTGTGGTCAAACACATACTGCACTAATTTTTGGCACAGGCTAAAACCCACTTCTTTTCGATATTTTCTCTTTTTATTTTTATTTCTTCCTTCACTCCTTGAGACTCCTGCAGCCCTGACACCATTGGGCCCGCCGCAATCCGTATTTATATTGCACATCTACACCAAGTGACAAAATCTTCTTTTTTATGCCGTCGTTATCCGACACAGAAAGCGCCGCCGCACAAGCTGCACGGCCCATACCATTTGCTGCCCCCATTCGCAATGCATCCCAATCTATGAAGCAATCCAGTGTACCTCGTCGACTTTCCCGTCAAGACTCGATGAATCCCCGTCGTCAATCTAACGCCTCCCAAACTACGGAATCGGTCTCTCCGTCCGTGTCATGGCCTATTGTCTTGGCAATCGTTCCAACCTTGGGCGCGTTTGTTGCTGGCAGTGCCGAAGTCTGGAGTGACCTGATCATGGTGCTGCTGATTCTATATTATACTTACAAGTGGGTGACAGGTACGTAAGAGTGCGGTGTAGCTTCGATGGGTTGGACTATTTTAAATATCCCATTTTTTTCTAATACCGTCGTTTCCCACAGTGCCTTGGAATTATTACGAAAGCGCTCGATCACGACGTATTATCAATCAAAACTCACGAGTACCGTTACCGGCCCATATGAATGATGAAAAAAAAGCTATTGAAATCAAAAGGAAGCAGATGGTGGCGAAAGAGCTTCGCCAACACGAGTTAATCGGCCTTCTTTGGGTGTTGGCGTCCCCTATTATAGCCGGATTGACTCTACAATACAGCAGACGATTCTTGAGCAATCAAGATAAATATCTCAGCAGTTTCAACATTGCTGTTTTTGTACTCGCCGCTTTAATCAAACCGATCGTACATTGTATGAGTATGCTCAAGGACCGTACACTCTATTTGCAAAGCGAAATGCAAATCGAAGAAGGTGAAGTAGAGGTCTTGCGGGAAAGAATATATGAATTGGAAGACGAGTTGCAGAGTTTGAAGAAAGCATTCGCCACCAAGAAGGATCTGGGCCAGGTTACAAATGGAATCGGCCCAACTTTGAATCAACTTGCCAAGTCTGTTAAACGATCGGAGAAAAGGGAACAGCTTTTGCGTAACTACTCTGAGGAACGATTTAACTTTGTGGACGCCAAGATGCGAGAGTTTGATGACTACATTGCCAAGCGTATGGAACAAGACAGATTACGTACCTCAAGAGGTCTTATAGCCTCTCTGATCTTTTTGCCTATGACCGTCACCATGTGGACGCTTAAGCGGGTTACCCATCTATTGCCACTTCCCAAAACCCTCCTACTCCGCTCTACTCTCCCTCCCAAGCCTATCAAAGCTTACCATGACTTGCGCTCTTCACCGCCTATTGATAACCGAAATCAAAACCTGATCCCGGATGCGACTGAATTGGAGCGGGAAATCAGATATCGCAGACATATGAACAGCGATCCAAATGAGAGCAGCTATATGAGTGGAGAAGAATCGGTTGCTGCGTTTGGTCGAGGTCATCAGTAATAGCCGATCAATGTTGTATGCTGCTTAACCCCCTTCGCCACCTCTTTATCCACTTTCGCCCATCCCCACATTGTCCAATGAATAATACAGCAGCGGGCCTGCTTTTGTGATCTGCTCAACATGGGATCCGTCTATCCAATCGAAGCGGTCATCGTTCCAAATTTCTTTTTGTTTTTTTCCATCCATCCCTACAAGACCCTGCCGGCATCAATGCAGCATCGCCTGCTCTGCTCATCATTTATCCCTGTCTCCCCTGCCCCCCTTATTATCATCTTTATGCCTTACACTCACCTGTATCTACTATTATATCCCCTCCCCCTTCAACCAACCTCGTCCTACCATCTACAAAATTGCTCATACTTCTTGTTTTGAAAAAAATGAGCAAACCAAAAATCAAACTTCTTACGTGTTTCTAAATGAATATATATATATTTATGTATTTGCTCTTGATCGTACAAGTATTCACAATTTCTGTGGTATTTCTTTAGCATGGTATTCTTTCTGGGTAATTTTTGTTTTCATGAAGATTTTTCAGATGAACTCGACTGGTCGCTATCAGTGGTAGATGTACAGGTCCATATTCGAATGCATCCTGTTTCGTCAGCCGTGATCATGACTACACCGTCAACGGCAAGTAATTGGCGTGTTTTCATTGGCGCCATCACGGCTGATATTACGGTATGTTTATGGGCTTCAAATGATTCTGGTTCATTTTTGGCCAATTTTTTGATAAGTAGTTTTTCTTCCTTTTTTCTCGCTTTCTCCGCCTTTTTTTCTTGCTTGGCAATTTCCTTTTGCCGCTTTGCAATTTCTTTGAGCTGCTTCTTCGTCATGGGTTCAGTGGCATCTGTTTTGACCGATGAGGTTTCTGTGTCGGTTACACTATCATCGGTGGTTTCCTGATGATAGAATTGTGCCATTGTTTTCCATATGTAAACACGTCTGTCTTCACTTCCGCATACTACATATTTACCATCGTCACTGTGCATGTGCAACATTTTGGTATTAGACATATTGTCACTGGACTCAAAAAACAATGCCGGTCTTTTTAGTGCCTGGCATATATATTTTCTTACCTGAAACTTGCAGAAATTTGCATTTTGGTATTTACAGACCCTTTAAAATTGCATATCGATTTTTGGTTATCGCAATTTACTAGGCGCACCATACAGTCATTGCTCGAAACTAAAACCATCGATGGGTGCGTGGGAGAATATTCAATGCCAGTAACTTTTCTGTCCGTGCCCAAACTGATTTCATGTTCAAGTTCAAGAGTGGTGGCAGAATAGACAAAGAATGCTCCCATGGCTGAACCTGCGCATACTTTGGTTCCATCCTTTGTAAATCCAGCCGCCGTAATCATATGAGTGTCGGAAATCTTGTTCCATACATGGACGCGCTGACCAGGAATATTCCATATTCTAAGCTTGGCATCGATGGATCCAGATAGGAAGAATCGATCATCCTGACGGACGGAGAAAAAAATTAAATCAATTTGTAAATTTTCATTGCTTGGCTGAGTAACCGTCGCGGACTTCGGCTGTTTCCAGGTATACGCACCTTCGGATGAAACTCTACACAAGTAACGATATCATAATGTTGAAAAATGCACAAACACTCGCTCCTTTCCACGTGCCATAGGCGTACGGTTTTGTCCATGGAACTAGAGAGTAAAAAGTTGTTCTGTTTGAATTCAATACAAAAACAAACAGTGCCAGTTTGGTTAATTTACCCTATCCATGAATAAGCCCGCCCTCCTTGCCCCAATTAACTTACCTTGGACCAGCTCAAATCTAAGACAGCTGCTTTATGACTAGTGAATTCTTGGATTGGTTTCGTCACAAATAACTCATCTATGGAGTAGGAATCAGGTGATAATTGCCAGATGCGAATGATACCGCCTTTGCTGGCGGTTGCAAGATAGGAACCATCTTGGCTGAATTTCATGTTCAGAACTGGGTCGGCAGTTACATCCAGCAGGCCGTTCAATGGATCTGACAACGTCTGGTTCAGATAGAACGCTTGAAAATCCTTTTTCTTGTTCTTAGACTTTGTCTGAAAAGCTACGTCAGAATTTTTTTGCTTTTGGAATTACTCCTGGAAGTCACATTTTTAAAAGGAATGGTGGAACTCTCTCGTTTACCTTTACTGTCTTGCGAGATGAATTTGATTTAGGGGCTTTGGAGCTATCCAAAGAGCTAGAAAGCGATATCCTCGAATCATTCGATGGCAATGCGCTCATTCTAGGAGACGTTGAAAGTTGCACCGAAGAACGCCTTAGAGCGGATTTCAAAGGCTTATGCGTTGGGTATTCGGGAAATGATATGGAAGATGCCATAGGGGAAAGGAGATGATCGTCAAAGCGAACGTGACACGCTGAGGATTGAGATGGTGGCATCAACAGGGGTTCAGTGAAGCAAAAAGGATAAAGGATCAAAGAGCAAAGCAAGTGGCCCACAAAAGAAAAACAATAAAGTTAATACCACTATTTATAAGGACGCTTGTGACGAGGCAAACTCAGTGGAGGTCACTGCAGCTTGGCACAAGATTTTTATGACCAAATAACGCTTTTCTTTAAGCCATGGTCAACAAACAAGCGGAGTGGTACTTTACGCATCTGTGCCTTTTACCAGGCATAAGCTAACATAACATTTTACCATTCAACAAACTCCGCTAAGCTTTCAGTTCTTTGATTTTTGTATGGACAAACAGCTTTCACAGAAATAATGTATGGCATCCATTATCCTTTATTCATCAAAACGGAGAACAGTTCAGTCACCTTGAATGAACGAACCAGGCACAGTAAGGTATGGGTATCTTAAAGGGAATGGCGTGGTTTCATCAAAAATCGAATGCCAAGACATTATCACCACGCCATCATCAGGTTTATCTCTCTAAAAATGGGATCAATTCTCTAATGAATCCAACATGCGAAATGCTATGATGTCCATGTTCACAACGCGCACATACCAGGGGAGTTTTCGGTTGAAAGGCTGTGATTGAGTGCCAGCAACCAGGGCCGTTGTGAGTTCGTAATATTATTAAATTTTGATCGGCAACTCAAATGGTCGTATAATCACCACTTTTGGAACATCGAAGCCATTTTTACATATTTTTTGGCAATATTCGTTTCATCTTCTATTTTCTCAGATCTCTCTCTCTATTCGTCATCGACACTGGTTGTCTGATATGGCTTCCCCAACTGACCGGGAACTCAACACTAGCCAGGGCCCGTCATCCACCACCTCGAGACCAATCCCTGCCTTGAAGAGAAAAAGAGCCAAACGTAGCTGTGACTTTTGTCGAAAACGAAAGAGTAAATGTGATGCTGATACGTCTATCCCATGCACAAACTGCCTTGCGGTATGTTTATATCATTTATTCTTCGAGCTACTTTCGGTGCTCATTAGTGCATTACTCATGCTTGAATTGCTGACATACTTTTACAGTGGGGCTTCGAATGTCAATTTCAATCCAAAAGTAAGAAAAGGGGTCCCAGATCACCTTACGTTACCAGCCTTGAAAAGCGCTGCAGAGATCTCGAGAACCTTTTGAGGAAGTACACAAATGACATTCCAGAGCAACAAGCTATCCCAAAGAGTGATGATGAGATGTCGGATGATCAAAATGGTGACATGGAGGAAGCGAATGCTCCCGGAAGTGACGACAAGGAAACGAGCCCTCAACTGTCAGCCACTAATATCGTTCATCGACAAGACGGCTTGGATGCTGTCTCCGCCCAAGATCTTCAGGAGCGATTTTCTCAAATATCATTGGAGAATTACGATACTATCAAGTACACAGGCTCAAGTGCTGGTTTGCGAGTCTTGAATAAGTCTCTCTTTAAAGACGGTCAGATTTTATGGCCCGGTAGACAAAATGTTGTGTTGCAAATGCTCCCACAGGACGAAGTCGTGGTTCTCAAAACCGATTTATCTGAATCTGGTAACCCTCAAGTTAAAATGGGGATAGGTATTGGTATGCAAATGGGAATTTTTGGTTCAGACACAAAAGGCTGGTCACCCGACGATGCTTGTAAAAAGAATTGCTTATACACGTCTATGGTGGATCGGTATGTCACTGTGGACGAACGAAAAGCGCTTGTGGATGCGTAAGTAAACCATCAATTTGACGTTGTATCCTGGGATCGCTTGCTGACGCGTAACGTTACTTGTTACACAAAGATATTTTCGAGAAATCCATCCGGTTCTGCCCATCTTGAACAAACGTCGCTTCCTACAACAATTTGAAGCCGGCACGGTCCCTCCAGTGTTGTTATTTTCTGTCTTGGTTGTCGCTTATCGTTATGTCAAACCTCTAGACATGCGTATTACCGTTGAAAATGAGGATTTCGGGGAGTACTTATACAAGCGGACCATGACGTATTTACGATGTTATGCGAGCAAAAGTGTGATCCACATTGTCCAAGCCAACGTTTTGATGGTCGTTTACTTGGATTTGGAGGATAGTGACACTGAGTCTCTACAATGGTATGCTTTAGGCACTGCCATACGAATGGCTCAGGAATTGGGCCTTCATCGGAGCTCAGCACGTTGGAAAATTCCCCAGAGTGAAATTGAAACGCGACATCGATTGTTTTTTGCTTGTTACATATTAGATCGATGGTAAGTGGCATTTAGTTCAGCATTCAAAATACCTGTCTCTTCGTCTTGGCTAAGCACTAACTCACACCTTTTAGGATTGGTGCCCGATCCGGAAAACCTTTAACTATACTGGATCGCGACTTCGATACGGGATTTCCAAGTGCATACGAGATACATGACTCTGACGATGCAGGCAGCGGTTTTACTGAAAACGATGGCCGTGATGATACTGGTATGGATGAAGAACCGCCATACCTAGCCTTCATTCACTTGATCAAACTATCGGAGATACTAGGTCGAATTTTGAAGGCCTTATACGCGCCAAAAGCAAAATACGCAAATCACAATGCTGGCATTGACGATCCTACCATATTACTTGTCTTTGATCGACGATTGAATCATTGGAAGGCGACGGTGGATGCAGGTATGATACCGAAAGGAAAAGGGGAACCAAAGCCAGACCCGGATAATCCCGACTTGATGGAAGCACACAACTTAAAAATCAATCCTCAACATCGAGGTTAGTCATTCGTTGATACATATACGTTTTCCGTGGTCTTACTCGAATGTAACCTTATTAACGTTTTGTTCGGGCCACAGTGATGTTGGATATGTGCTACCACATATCTCAACTACTATTGCATCGGCAGTTCATACAAGTGCCAACAGTAGAACTCGACTCTGCGATGAAAGACCTGATCAACCACTCGCATTCAGTATGCACGCAAGCCGCCGTGAATATCAATGTTATATCTCAAGAAACGGAATTGCGCCATTTCATCGGCGTATCTCCAACTACTTTGATTTACGCAGTTTTCCAAGGCGCCTTGATTCATATGTACAACATCAACGGTGATATAATGAAGATGCAGTCCAAATTCAATTTGAAAAGAAGCATGAGCTTCTTAGGCGAAAGACGAAAATGGCTGGCCGTTTCAAGAGTCATAGAGATTTTGAAGCTCATGGCCACCCTTAATGGTATTGACGACCAGATATTCGCGTCAAGTTTAGAAGATAATCAAGCTGAAGCTTTGCATGCTGCCGAAAGCTCGTCTACAACGGCAGCAAAGAAAAAGCGAAGACCCCGAACGGCTTCCAAGTCTGCCAGCGACGCTATCGTCAAAACGGAAATAGAGGAAGCGACAGAAGGTGAACTTTATGAAGAATCGATGAGGCCAACAATTATTCCCGCTTATCTTCCTTTCAATTACGATGTAGTCGTAGACGAAATGCCCAAGGGGCAATGGATTCAACGAATGATGAGCACCAGCGTCGTGGGTGGCATTACTCCTGACATCCAAGCATCTATAAGCTCAGTGCTGTCTATGAACAACGCAGCGTTAAGAACTGATTCAGGCATGGAAAGCCAACCTACCAACATGGATTCTACGTTGCCTGATGTCAATATGCGACCGGCTACCATGCTTCAGCAAATGCCAGATACAACCCTAATACCTTGGCATCATCTGCAAATGCTTTCTCAACAAAGTTACGTCCCATACCCCATGTATGCCACGCATAACGCTCAACAAGTGGGAAATATGCATACGACGCATCCTAACATGTATGGTGTTCAACAACCGTATCCTATACCTGTCAACCCGAATGTGTCCAACAAGCCAGAATTTCAACAAGGTTCACAGAGTGCTCCGACAATGTTTCAACAGCAACACCCACCTTTAGCTGGATCACTACCACCACGCCCGCGGCAAGATGTGAATACACTTATGCCTCCTGGTAGTCTAAATTGGGAAGACTGGAACAGCTATGTTGATCAGGAAACAAATCGTCAACAATAGTATAATCAGACAAAACTAAAGTTTTGGGACAAACGTTGAGTCCCTTGTGAGGTCGTTCCATTATGATCTACGGAACATCGTTTGTTTCTTTTAGTGTAAATAGTGAGCGTTTAATACTGTCATTCATGCTCTTTCTACCTTTCTTTTTTCATCTCTACCTTCTTATCTATTAAAGTTAGAGTAGTTAACATGTTAGGATTCATTGTACTTAGTTTGCAACTGAGTATCGTTTATTTGATTTTTCTTTATAAAAAGCATTGTATTTCAACATTATCCAATTTTTGTTCTTGATGACCATAAACTTTCACTCAGATTTTTCGATGTAAACTATCGGTATTCATCTCCACAATCTCCTATTACATCTTCTAATTTGCGACCTTTTTGTTGTATAGCTTGGATTTTCTCCAGATCTTCATCACTTAGATTGCATTCCAAACTCTTCCAGTTTTCTTCAATGTGTTGAGCTACGCCAAACCTAGCACCAACGATCACGGCAGCAACATGAGGCTGTCTTAACACGTACTTTGACGCAACGTTGGCAATCGTGCATTGATGCTTGTTAGCTATTGCATCCAGCAATCGCAGGAGTTCCTGGAATAGGTCCCAGCTTCCCCATTGCAGAATGGTTTGGAGGTATTTCTCCTGAGACGGAGTCAAATTTTGTGGCGGGGGTTGTCCAATGTACCTGCAGACCAAAGAATAGCATGAATTATTATGCTATTGGCAACTACTATCTATGCACTGTACAGAACTTACCTTTCAGAAAGAAGACCACCACAGAAAGTTCCATAAGTCAAAAGCTTTACATTATATCTTTCACAAACTTTGCGCATTTTGCCTTCCGGTCGAGTATCTATGATGGAGAATTGAACCTGGTTTGTTCGGATATTTGGGACCTTGGAGCAAATCTCCTCCAAGCGGTCAGAGTCAAAGTTAGTTAGTCCAATGTGTCGTACAAGCGGTTGATCTTGCTTTGTCAGTTCATGAAGGTGAGCAACGGCGTCCAGGTATCTCTTGTCACTGTAGTCCCACCTAGGCAGTTGATTTAAGTTAGCGTTCGCACTGTCATGGTCGATAGATCTGATACTAGTATACAACAAAATACATACCAGTGAAACTGTATTAAGTCGATATAATCCACTTTCATCCTGCTGAGTGACGCTTCCACGGCTGCCTTGACCACCTCCATAGACATGTTCCCAGGCCGCGGAACAAATTTGGTCATACTGACAGGCTGTGGTAGATGCGATGAAAGATGAGAGCTTGGAGGGTTTGTCTTCAAGCTTTCAATGAAAGACCCATATATCTTCTCTGCGGGACCATATATATCAGCCATATCAAAACCGATCATACCATTCTGGTAGTATTGTCGGAGATCATTGATCACAGCATGTTCAGCTACAGGCTCATTCCAACGGTCACTGCTTAGAGCCCAAAGTCCAACTAGCAGGCGTGGGAAATAAAGAGTTGAAGCAAGCTCAATGGTTTGAGGAAGTGGATGAAATGAAGGGCGGCGTTGCAGCATTGAAGGTTAATTGGATGGTGGTAGAGATGTAGCTTTGGTTCAAACCTTGGGCGGTCTTTCAAGCTTGCAGGACTAGGATGGTCACTTTTTTCGATTGTCCAGTTTTTTTCCTCTAACGAATAAACAATCAGCTTTAATTAAAAAAATGAGTACGTACGTAAAAATGGGTATTGTTGTCTTTTATTCTGGTGCTTCGGGAACGGTCGATAATACCTGTTTACATTTTCTTCACGCTTCCTATCGTCGATTGGCAGCAGCAAGCTCCATATCAGCACTGGCTGCGAGTTATGTTTTGCAAGTTTTTGAGAGATCAGAAACTCGGGTGTCAACTATATCTTGAATCGCTTGCGGTTCTTTTCAATTGCAGGTATATGCACGGCTTTTATTAAGCATGAGCCCGATTAACGGCCTGCTCTGCGCTACGATTTATAATTTCGCATCCCGCCGCAACTTCGTATTTCTCTGCTTTTTTGGACATCCTCCAGGTTCAACGCAACGCACCGCAAATGTCGTTTCTCTCGCCAACGACATCCTCTATTTTCGGCGGCAGTGGTAATGAAGACGGAACTTCAGCTACGGGACACGGTGGAATGCTTGTCAATGAGAGCTGCTTGGATTTCTTAATGATGGAATTAGTAGACGCAATGTGCCGTACTGCCATTGATGAAGATACAGACCGCGAAGTCATCTTTTACAAGCTTGAAATGCTTGGTTATCGAGTTGGACAGAGCCTTGTAGAGAGGTAAAGCTTAATTTATGGTATCTGTCTATACTGGCTGGAATACTGACCTTGTTTGCCTTGATACTAGATTTACCGTTGATCGACCACGGTTTACTGATACCTTGGACGTGGTGAAATTTATTTGCAAAGATTTGTGGGTCATTATGTTTAAGAAACAAGTAGACAACCTCAAAACGAACCACAGGGTAAGATTGCATTGCGTCGTGACAGTGATTAAAAAACATGCATGTCTAAACCAGGAACGTTAGGGTGTATATGTCCTTCAAGATAATAACTTTCGTTGGTTCATGCGCATGTCGACTGATATTGGTGGTACTGACTCATCAAGTAAAGCTACACCTGTAAGTTTGTTGAATCCTTTTCTATGCAATGCTTGCACCGACTGACCCGAGGATGTTTCACTATCATAGTATTTGTGGTTCCCGTGTGGGGTGATTAGGGGTGCTCTCGCCAACCTTGGTGTTTCGAGTGTGGTTATGGCTGAAACTTCCAATCTTCCACAATGTAAGTACTAAAATTTACCCTTGTCTCAGCAAGTCAGTGCCGCTTACGCGCCTTCCTTTCAGGTACCTTCCAAATTAAAATTGCCAAATCATGAATGAATGTATAATAGCATAAAATGAATACATCATATGCTTCATTCTTGTATTATAGTAGCTTCCATTCAAACGAAAATAATCATAAAAGATGTATCTGTTCAGTCTTAATGAGATCATACCTGTAAGGTTTCTGAGGACATGAACATTTCACACGCTTTTACAAGGATGGAACATGTATCTATATGTACCTTCATATATTTTGATGGCATTGTTCCAAGTGAAGGGCCCCGTTCACATTGAGTCTGCGTCTCCGCTCTAGCTAGAAATCATCATGATGTATCCGTGACGGTTGCCTAAAGTAGCCTTCAGGGTCCGCTTTTTGACGTGCTCTTCGTTTCTTTTCTCCACAGTAATAATATAGAAGGTCGTGTCATAAGAGATGCTCGAATCTCTGGTGACAACCCTTTTGAATCGCTTTCTCGGAGCATATGTCTCCAACTTGAACTACAACCAGCTACAGATAGGAATATGGTCAGGTAATTGCTCAACCATTCCATCAACGTGAGCAGATCAGCTACTCAGCCCATTTACAATCCTCTTTGTCCTATAGGCGATGTCGTATTACGGGATCTTCAGCTAAAAAGAGAAGCTCTCGATAAGTTTGACTTGCCCGTCGACGTTCTGGAAGGTCACCTTGGTGAGCTCACTCTCAGCATCCCGTGGTCTAACCTCAAGAACAAGCCCGTCAAAGTGTACATCAACAACGTTTATCTATTAGCCGTACCTCGAAACGAGTCATCTGTAAAGTCATCGTCTCTATAATGTGTTATACGAGGTTCCCTTATTTATGTGTATCTAATTTTTTCATTATCTTTAGATGACTGAGGAGGAACGAAATCGGCGCCATCAGCAGTTGAAGAAGGACAAACTAGCTAATGCCGAGTTATTATCGGATCCAGCGAAGAATGCTCCTTCGGGTACTGTAGACCCCCAAGAGGAGGCTAAAAATGACACCTTCATCAACCAGTTGACCACCAAAATCATCGACAATTTGCAATTCTCCATGAAGAATATTCATATTCGCTATGAGGATGAAGGAGCTGATCAACTTCAGCCATTTGCAGCAGGCATTACGCTAGGCGAGTTGAGTGCCATATCGACAAATGGGCAATGGGTGCCTACGTTTATTAGTGAGGCTACAAATACGATACACAAGGTTTGTCCTTTTTCAGAGAAAAAGTCATCAGCCCATGTGATTGTTAACCTATAATCTCACTGTGCAGCTGGCTACGCTGGAGTCACTATCGGTTTATTGGAATACAAATTCCAAGTCTTTGGCAGGAAAAGAGGATGCCATGGCTGCGTTTTCAGAGCTGGTAAGCAAAAAATCGCGAATGGTGATGTGATCCCACTTATTTCATATGATTTACTCCGATTCTGAACACAGATTACCACTAAATACAACGTGCCAAGCGAACATCAATACATTTTAAAGCCAGTGTCAGGCACAGGAAGAGTAAGTGCATTTTATGTAACTCTGAGCTGGTCTGACTACATTCTCACTTCCATTGATGTAGATCAACATCAACAAACGGTTTGGAGGAGAGGTGCCAAACTTGGATGCCACATTATTATTTGACGAATTGGGCTTTATTTTGGACGATGAACAATATCGTGATATTTTAGCTATGATTGATGCTTTCCATGCCACTTTGAAACGACAGCAATATCATCAATTCCGTCCTCCTAAAGAGCACACTCCAAAGAGTCATCCCAGAGAGTGGTTCCAATATGCCGCAATGGCTGTGAAATCGGAAATTCATGAAACACATTATCGATGGAGCTGGGAACATTTCAAGGAAAGGCGCGACGATAGAATCCATTACCTTGACTGCTATGTTGCCAATGAACTTGGAAGAGCCACTCCAAATCAGGTCATCCAGCTCAATGCACTAGAAGATAAGCTCAGTTACGAAGATATTAGATTTTATCGAAGCATAGCCAAGAATCGACTGCGACGTGAGCGTGCTGTCATCGCCGTGGAGGAAAAGCGCAAGAAAGAAGCAGCAGCGAAGCGGCCTAATCAGGGTGCATGGATTAGCAATTGGTGGTATGGAAGTTCCACCAATCAAATGGATGAAGCAGACGAGGAGTTACAAATGACAGACGAGCAGCGTCAAGAGTTATACAATGCTATCGAATATGACGAAGATAAAGCGGCTGTTACTACTGCTGTAGACTTCCCTGTGGAAACTATGAAACTGTCCCTCAAGACCACCCTCAACAAGGGTTCCTTCATGTTAAAGCGTCATCCACACAACGAAAAGCCAACTGTGCTTGGATCTCTTGTTTTCGATATGGTCACCACCAACTTTGTGCAGTTTATGGAGGGATTTAAAGTAACAGCAGCTCTTGGTGACGTTCGCCTCTACGATGATGTTACGGAAGGAACTTTGTATCGACAGCTTATTGGAGTCAAAGATAAACCAACCGCGGATGATGATGACAGTTCTCCTGTGAATGCTATCACTAAATGGCAATCTTCAAGGAGCCAGCCATTCTTCTCATTTGCCTTTGAACATAAGCCCTTAGATCGTCGTGCTGATAATGGTTTAACTTTGAAAATGCACCATATTGAAATCATTTACAATCCTTCCATTGTCAGAGAAGTCATCGGGTTCTTTACTCCTCCAGAGTCAAGAATGGATAGTATCAATGCTTTGATCGAAGTGGCAGGAGATACTTTGGAAGGAATCCGAAAGCAGACCAGAGCCGGTCTTGAATTTGCGGTGGAACAACACACAACGCTAGATTTACGTGTGGACATGGATGCTCCCATTATCGCTATTCCCGAGGATTGTACCAGATCTAATACTCAAGTTATTGTTCTTGATGCTGGTCATATCAATGTTGAAAGTCAGCTAGCTCCTCCTGATGCACTGAATGCTCTCAAATCCAAAGCGAAAGAAGATTACAATGCCGAAGATGACATACAACTCCAATCCCTTATGTACGACAAGTTTTCAGTGCAATTGACCCAAACCAAAGCTCTCATTGGCTATTCTGTAGAGGCTTGCCTCGAACAGATACAAGATCCAAAGCCTGAAAATGATTACTTGCACTTCGTTGAGCGTATTGACATGTCATTCATGGTTGAAATGTGTATCTTACCCAAGACAACGGAGATGACGAGGTTCCGTGTATCTGGACATCTTCCGCTTCTCTCAGTGAACTTTTCTGATCGCAAATATCGTACCTTGATGACCATAATTGATCTTGTCGTTCCAAAAAATGAACAGCAAGACTCTACGGGATCAACTAGTCCCAATCAAAGTAACGATCTCGCCACCGATGACGAAGAGACCGTACAGAAACACGGATCTCGAAATAATGTGATAGCCAAGCTGTGGGGTCAAAACGAAGTTTTGGTGGATTCTGACAGTGATAGAGGCGACAGTGATGAAGAAGACAATAGCTCCATCTCACCGTCTACTGTAACGACCGATACTGAATATACGGATCATGAACTGGCACAAGGCAAACCGCGCTCTCAAAAGCAACCACCGCGCATTAACTTGCAACAAAAGTTATTCGAGTTCGATTTTACGGTTGATAAAGTCTCTGCCTCTGTGAGCGAAGTGTCCAAGAACTCTTCAAAGCAAGAAGAATTGCTATGCGATTTGGTCTTCCAGCACTTCCAGCTCCACTTTGCCCTTCACCCTTACCACATGGACGTTGACGTCGCGTTAAAATCTCTCAATGTGGTGGATCGCATGCCCCATGGCCATGAATTCAAATATTTAGTTACTTCCGAGAGAATTGATGAAGCTGGCAAGGCTACTGAGGATACCAAGAATCTTGTCAATGTCCACTATGTTCGCATCAACCCCCAAAGCCCAGAGTTACAGCAAAAGTACAAAGGTATCGGACAGACAGCGGATGTGACTCTTTCTACTTTGAATTTGATTGTTACCCAAAGTTCGGTGCTGAGATTGTACAACTTTGTCTTGACCACGTTTACATCTGGGCCTAATGCTCAGCAGCCATCTATCCCGTTGCCTGCAGCGACTCAGACCGGAAAGCCTAGGTCGGCTTCTAACCCTAGTCACTTTGGTCGACGATTATCATCTTTTGGAGAGGCTGATGCTGAAGCAAATTTGATTGCCAGTGCCAACAAAAATCAACTCCAACAAAATAGCAACATCAAAGTAGATTTGAAATTGGAGAGTGTCAATTTGATTTTGAACAATAACGGTACAAGATTGGCGACCGGTGCACTTTCCCATGGTACCATGGATATTTTGTTGTTCAACGAAAAACTGCAAGTCAAAGCCAAGTTTGGTAACTTCATCCTGACAAACGATCGACATGAACGCTTGCCGCATCATTTGAGAAAGACCAGCAAGACATTGCTATCCATGGAGGGCGACGAGCTTGCTGATTTTAGCTTTGAAACCTTTTCCCCCAAGGAACCACATTATCCTGGATACGATCAATTACTTTACTTCCGTATGGGATCTGCTCACATGAATTTCTTGGAAGAGCCAGTTCAGCAAGTGCTCCACTTTTTGTCCACGTTCGCGGAAATGAAGTCAGTTTACGACAGAGCAAGACAGGCTGCCATCGAGTCTGCTCAGCAGCTACAACAAGCCGTGACTAAACTGCACTTCGACTTCTTGATCAAATCGCCAATTATTGAATTTCCAGGAGCCACACCAAAGTCTGCCTCCAGCATTATTACTGCCAGGCTAGGTGAAATATCTGCCACAAATTCGTTCAAGGACGATCATTCTAAGCAGGGCTACCTCAACCTGATCAAGGCGCAAATTCGATCCATCAGCCTTTCTTCGAAACCAGCGTCGCAGCTAGTAGACGTTGATACCAACGGAAAGAATCAGTTGTCAATCATCAACGATATTGATTTAAATTTCGATATCGAATATTCAGACGGTTCTCTAGCGGCAGAGCGTCCAGATATCAAAATTCTGGGTGGCATTACTGATGTTCGCATGAACTTAACGCCACAACAGCTTGCCTGCTTGCTTGAGACTATTAATGCTGTTTCAAGATCTTTGAGCAGTCCAGGCGATGATCGTCCCAACCTCGAACCCACCAATACACAAAGTACTCGCTCGTCTGACAAGCAAATCGAAGCTCCAAAAGATGACAATACGCAACAGTCAGATGATGCCTCCATCACTCGTTTACAAATGTCCATGATCATGAAGCAAACTTACTTGGAACTGTTCTCAAAGGATTCGGATGGAAATGAAGAAGATCTTTCCACCATGTCTTTGGCCAAATTTGCTTTGAATGATAGTGAATTGACTCTGAATATGGCTAGAGACACGTCTATGAAAGTCGATTTTGCTGTTCAATCTCTGACGTTGAGTGATACTCGTCCTGACGTTAAAAGTCGATTCAAAGAGATTATGCGTGCCAACGTTCAGAAGGACCCTCAATTTTCTGTTCACATTGACATTTCCAAACCATATCCGCAGCGACATGGTATTGTCATTGTGGAGCTACAAAGTCCAAAAATCATTCTTTCTTTGGACCATGTATTCTCTCTTCGTGACTTCATAACAATACCCTTCGGCAGCACAGAGACTGATGCTCAAAAGTATGCCCAACAAGTCAAAACCCCAGAATCCCATCCTAGTCAACGTCGCAAGTCCATTTCATATTCGAATCAGAATGAACAGTCCCAGGGTATGGAGCTGTCTTACCGCATTAACATTACCGATACGGAGGCCATTTTGCTCGCCAACCCGACCTCGCCATCATCAGAGGCTGTCGTCTTGTCTGCTCAGCAGATCATGTTCTCTCAGCAAAGTATCATGGCATTAGTAGTCAAGCAGGTTGGCATGTTCTTGTGTCGAATGGACAAACGGAAGGAAACTACCCTCAGTTTCATCGATACCTTTGACATGTCCATGAGTAGGGATGACAAGTCATCGACACCTGAACATACAATTCTCTCTTTCATTGTTGATGTGGATGCTCTTGTTCTTCGGCTCTCTTATCGTGATGCCATGCTTATTCTTGACATTGTCAACAAGGCTCTCGAGCTTTTGAATCGTGGTGGACAAGAATCTCAAGGCACACTTGCAGCCAACAACGACGATAATGCCGATGACAGTGCTGTTGCAAAGATGGCTAAGCGAAAGTCACTGACTTCTACTGCTGCCACTCTAGCCAACACACCTCAGAATTTACGACTTGCCTCTTCGCCCAATGCTGCTCCCGTTGTTGCCAGCGAGATGCTCAAGGCTACTTTCCAAGGAATGCGCCTTGTGCTTATTGAAGATATCCACGAGCTTCCTCTTATTGATATGAACCTTGAACAATTCTCAATCAAGGCGTCTGATTGGTCAAAGTCGCTGCTCGTTGATGTCGACTTCCAGTCATATGCAAACTTCTTCAATGTCAAGAACTCACATTGGGAACCTTTGATAGAACCATGGAAGTTCAATATGAAGCTCATGAGGAGATCTAACCTTGATCCATATGCACTGCAAATATCTTCACGACGTATGCTCGAGATCAATTTTACTCATACCTTCGCTGAAACCGTGCTTTCCACTCTGTCCACTTGGGATAAGGAGAAAGGAACAGCTTTAGGACTTGCGCGAGGTTCCGTTGCTCCCTACACGTTGCGAAACTGGACTGGCTATCAACTTCATGTTTGGAGTATCAACGATGACGACAATAGTCAAACGGTAGTCGAGATGATTGCCAACGGCCAAGAGGTACCATGGAGATTTGACGATTGGCGCGCTCGACGTCAAGCGAGCTACAAGGGAAACAACATGCTTGGTTTACAAATGCAAGGTGGTCCCCTTTGGGAGAGTCTCAAGAATATATCTGTAGACCACGAAGGTGAACACATGTATGTGCTTCGACCCAAGATTGATGATGTTGCACATCGCCTGGTGGTAGATATCAAATTGGTTGATAATGTTAAAGTGGTCACTTTGCGTTCTGCCATGGTGGTGGAGAATCGTACCCTTCTGCCAGTCGACGTAGTCATGGTCGATAATAAGGGTAACATGGCCTCGGATATACACAAGATAGCTCCAGGCGACGACTATGCTGTTCCCATCGAAGCTTCCTACCATCATAGTCTGCGAGTCAGACCTGATGCTGGATTTGGATATTCATGGAGTCGCCAGCAAATCTTTTGGGCCGATATCACCCAAAACCGTTGTCCACGGTCTTTGGCTTGTTATCCTGGAGAACGCGGACCCCCTCCTTTCCGATTCCAGGTTCATGGCCGATATGACAAGAAGAATCCTTTATCAAAGTACTATCCATGTTCCAAAATTCGTTTGAGTGCGCCTGTAGAGATTGAGAACTTGCTTCCGTACGACTTCAACTTCCGTATCGTGGACAAAGACACTGGCCAAGACTTCAGTTCCTTCCTTCGCAAGTCTGGAACCAGTCCTTTGCACGTCGTTGAAATGGGTCACTTATTGCTGATGAACATCCATATGCAAGAAAGCGTTTATAAACCCAGTGAATTTGCGATCATAAGCACACACGACAACGATGACCTTAACATCGATGACAAGTTTACGCTTCTGGATAACGATAACGTACCATTGACGCTTAGAATCAACTCAGTCGAGATACCGGAATCTGGTGGTGCACATAAGTTCAGCATTTACTGTCCGTACATTATGCTTAACAAGACTGGTCGTGACATTGTCTACAAGGGAAAGCCATTCATGCAAGGTGCTAGATTTACAGCTGGACAAAACGCGATTAGGAATCGTGGACGAAAGGCTGAGCCATTCATGTTCTCCTACCCCAAAATTGATAATAGGAACAGATGTCTAATCCAAGTGGCAGATTCTGGCTGGAGTCAGCCTATTAGTTTGGAAGCAGTTGGAAGTGTCCAAGATGTTGCGCTTCCATCCATCAACCGAGTGGAAGAATTCCATGTTGGTGTTTCCGTCCAAGAAGGCCAAGGCAAGTTCAAGCTTATAAAGTTAATCACTTTTACACCACGGTACATTCTGCGTAACGACACTAGTCACGATATCAAGTATCGTGAACCAGGATCAAGAGCCGATTCACTTCTCACCTCGAACTCTTCGCTCCCATTATACTTCGTGCGGCAGAATGCCGAAAAGCAGTTGTCAATCAAGTTCCCTGGTGTGGGCCACGCATGGTCTTCACCATTTAGTATCCAAGATATTGGCAAGGTCCACGTGCGACTTGACACTGAGGATGGGTCTCCACCCACCTTAATAAAGGCCTCCATGATTATGGAGGATGCTACCATCTTTGTCATCTTCAAGGAGGAGAAAGGAAAATGGCCATACCTGCTCGTCAATGAAACATCAGAGGATGTTCTCTTCTATCAAGAGGTAAGTAAATATAAATCATGCAACCATGTATGAAGAAAGCCTACCGTGACTGAACATTACCCATTTTCCTCATGCTAGGATCCTTCTATGCAAGATGAGTACGGCAACAATCTGCAACCACGAGGCTTGAAGAAATACCATCTCAAGTCTGGAGAATCTTTACGGTACTCATGGGATATGCCAGCTGTCAAGGACAAGCAACTCATCTTGAGCGTACATGGAAGAGAACGGCGCATCAACATTCAAGAAATTGGTGATCAAATACCGTTTAGACACAGGGTAAGTAACGTCAATCAGCATCTGAAAGTTATCAAGCTACGTTATTCACGATGCAATTGATGTTATTCAGACTCGAGACGGTGGTTGGGATATTATGTCCATTGATATCATTGCTCAAAACTCGACCCAAATTCTTCGACTTTCTACCTACAATCAATCACAGAGTATTTATCGACCCCAGCCTTCGTCTTCATCTGCTTCTGTGGCATCGTCAGCTCGCGAAGGGTTCGAGACCGTTGATGTAGAGCATGTTGTGAACTTTATCTTCAACATCAAACTAGCTGGTATTGGTGTCTCCATCGTCAATAAGCACATGCAAGAAATTGCCTATGCAACAGCTAGAGATTTGGATGTCAAGATAACCGATTCAAACATGTACACTTCACTGCGAACCAATATCAAGTGGCTCCAGATTGATAATCAACTATTTGGTTCTATCTACCCCATCCTGCTTTACCCATCTGCGCTTCCTAAGGATACAGAAGATAGAATCATGGTGCCTACGTTCCAGCTTGGTCTTGATAAGGTCAAGGATGACAGTAAGTATTAATTACACTTATCTCACCGTGTATTGTATCGAAACTTATTGTGGTTTTTTTCTAGCACACGGTGTATCATTCTTCAAGTATTTCTCGGTCCTGCTTCAAGAAATGACTTTCGAAATGGACGAGGATTTCTTGTATGCCATTATTGACTTTACCCAATTTAATGTTGCTGGATGGAACGCTGCTGAAACTGATGTGTAAGTGATGACAGAGAGATGCATTAATCGAAGAGACCCCAGCTAACCATCGACTTGCAGCCAACTATGTGATGACAATTTGGATATTCCCGAGCCCAAGACTACCGATGATGTTGCCCAGCTCTACTTTGAAGTATTCAACATTCAGCCTGTTAAGCTTAATTTGTCATTTGTGCGAACTCAAGGTGTTAATATCGTCGATGAAAGGTAAGTTTGACAACGGCTAAAAATGTTTACAAGGACTATATATTGGATAGACAGCTAATGAATTAACGCAACAGACCAACGGGTGACTCTGCTCTTATGTTCTTAATCAACGTGTTAACAATGGCTCTTGGTAACATTAATGTAAGTCGCAGAGAAGCAAGAAGTCAGCCACTGTAACAATCAATCCTAACGCAATACTTAAATTTTATAGGAGGCTCCAATTCGATTTAACGCCCTGGCAGCTGAAAACATGCGCGTCAACGATTCTGACTTGATCAACCGTGTGACAATGCATTATCGCGAGCAGTTCATATACCAGATTCATAAAGTACTTGGTTCTGCGGACTTCCTTGGAAATCCGGTAGGCTTGTTCAACACCCTCAGTTCAGGTGTAGCTGAGCTCTTCTACGAACCTTATCAAGGTATGATCATGAATGATGGTCCTCAGGAACTTGGAATTGGTATCGCAAGAGTAAGTAAAATATACTTTTTTTTTGACATGTCATACAGCATTGATCACTCGGTTTTATTGACATCATTGCAACCTAGGGTGTAAGCGGTTTTGTGAAGAAGAGTGTGTTCGGATTCTCTGACAGCTTCACCAAATTCACTGGAAGTATTGGCAAAGGACTGTCAGTTGCTACGATGGACAGAGCATATCAAGACCGTCGCCGCATCAACATGACGAGAAACCGCCCCAAACATGCCCTCTATGGTGTAACAGCTGGTGCAAACTCGTTTGCCAACAGTTTTGCCAGCGGTGTAGCTGGTCTGGTGGTGAGTTGATTTCTGACTACAGCACTGTGATGTCAAACGTAGAATGGAAAATATTGATAAGCTTTATTCATCTTTCGCAACAGAAACGACCAATTGAAGGCGTCGAGAAAGACGGTGTTGGAGGATTCTTTACCGGTGTAGGCAAAGGTCTTGTTGGGTATGCATAATAGAGTCATCATGTTTTTTCATTGTTCTGTATGCCACTTGCTAAACACATTTCTGTTTCTAAACAGTGTGGTCACCAAACCCATGGTCGGCGTATTCGACTTGGCCAGTAATGTGACCGAAGGTATTCGTAATACCACTGCAAACGACACTCTCATCGACCGCGTACGAGCACCTCGACACGTTGGTGCTGATGGAATTCTCACAGTAAGTTGGCACTATCGAATTATTATAAATGCGATTACAGTCTTTACTGATCAGAATTATATTATAGCAATACTCCACGAGAGAAGCACAAGGTCAACTCTGGCAAAAGATGGTTGAAGGAGGCCAATACAGCAATGAGAACTATATAGCTCATTGCGAAGTACAAGACACAGAGGTTGTCGCCATCCTTACCGACGCATCCATCATGCTAGTCAAGACCCGTCGCTTAACTGTCGACTGGAGAGAGCCATTTACCGAAATACAAACCATCAAATGCGAACCCACCGGTGTTGCTATTTATCTTCGAAGCAGAGCCTGGGAGCCTTTCATCATCATCTCTGACAGAAGGAGCAGAGAGCAATTTTTCAACCAAATCGAGAGTACTGTGGTTCGCTGGTCTCGCAAGGTTAGACCAGAATACTAAATAAAGAACCCAGGTAGACGTAGAACTTGTATATATCAGTTTTTAAAAAAAAGTCTTATATCTTAGCTTTTGAATAAATGAAACGATATCCTATTGTCAAGCTATTTGATGCGTAACTTCTATGAGCACTTTGGCAGTGACTGGCAAAGCATGAAATTTTCCAGCTCCGTGCCACCTTAGCCGTCTCCTAAGCCACATAAATTTGACAAGGTAACGAGAAATTTGGTCTCTCATTATCAACCTCATGTCCATGTTTGCCAAATCAATGCTAAAGAGCAGCGCCTGGATAGCGCAAGGTAAGAAAAGGAAAGCAAGTGTACTTACTCATATTTACTTAAAACTAATTAAATCAACCGCCCCCGATTTCACAGCTTCCCGCCACCATCACTTTCACACAACTGCATTCAGGGCATTGCCAAAAGCTGTTGAACAACATAACTCTCCAGAGAACCTCAGCTCACTTGCAACGAGACTACAAGTGAATTTTCACCAAAAGGATATCCTCAGCCAAGCTATGACCCATAAATCATTCCGTCACGGTGTTGTTGCAACTAACGAAAACTTGATACAATACGGTAACCGAGTGCTCGGATACTATGTCGCAACCTCTTTGCCCACCGATGCCAGCGAAGAAACAATGAAGAACGCTCTCCGTGGATACAACGATGCCAAGTTCCTTGCTAGTGTTGCTGACGAATTGAAGATTGAAGATTGTCTCCAGTATCAACTGGTAAGTGGCATTCACGTAGGCCGATCACTAATATCATCAACGTACTTAGCCATGCTTTGCTTCTCGCAGCCTCCTGACACTGCATCAACGGGTCTCTCATCAATCAAAGCAGGCTCTTTGAAAGCATTGCTAGGTGCTATCTATCATGATCAGGTATGTCCGTTATTCTGAACTCTATTCTCGCAGCCAACCCTCTCTAACCACATACCTAAACACAGGGTGAAAATAAAGCTCGCGAATTTGTGAATAAGCATATCCTTTCTAGAAAGCTTGTCGTATAATAGAATATATACAAAGCATTTTAACTTTTTAAAAGTTTGTAATAACAATAGTTCTCTTCAAACCCTCAAAACAAATAAAATAAAAAAAATAAAGAAAAAAGAGTATTGTCTAATCAAGATGAATGATGTAAATGACATTTATTGCTATTCAGGTTCGTTGTCCTTTCGATGCCAGTAGTGCTCGTACTTTGGCAAGCCTTTCGTTTTGAAGCTGTTTTTGCTGATCGCTATCAGACAATTGATTCGCAGGTGAAGGTGTTGGTGTGACGGCTGGGTCAACAGACTGCGTGAGTTGATTACTCGTGGTAGGCAACATGGATGCTATGTCATCTACTCGCGTTCTATAGTATGCATGATGCTCATTCCATGGTTGAAGGAATGCAAATTTTGGATTCCCAAGATTCTTTTCCTTGATTTTGCTCTCTAGCGATGGTCCTGCCTTGGCTACAAATGCTGCTGTCTTTTCAATTGCCTCGTAAATGTCAACATTATTCGGCTGCTCATAACTGCCCATAAAACATTTGTCAGTTCAAATTGACATGCTACCATGATAAAGTGAAAAACTTTACCTTTTTGTCACATCTTCTATGTTATCATTACTTTCATTGTTCTTTTCTTCGTCCGCGTCGGTATCGCTGTCACTGCTGCCGTATCCGCTTAGGCCAGAATTGGAGAGCCATAGAATATGGCGGTAAAATTTGTACAGCTTGTTATCTTTGTGCAGAAATGCGAAAAGTGGATTGCTAGCTTGCTTCGCTTGGATTGTTATCTCCATATGTGAAGCATCGGTTGATGACGAGGCTATAAATTTGGCGGTTTTTTCGATGATATCAACTTGCTTTTGCGTCTTGGGCTATATGTCAGTATGTTAGCATAGTGTCAGTCATATCTACCATACTATACGCAATCTACCTTTTCTAATTCTTTGGGTATCTGGAAATTACACCGTATTTCTTCTATAACCTCTTCAGGTTCTAAAGTCTTCTCTTCTACATTGTTGCCGATGTTAGCTTGTGCCTTATCGTCATAAGAGTACTGATATGTCTTCTGCTCCTGCTCCATTTTCCTTCGTTTCCGCTTTTCCTCTAAATAATCGAAGGAATTAATTAAGTTTTGTCACATAAAAATACTTGTATCAAGCTGTTACGTACCAACGTACTGATCTCTTTCATCTTCGTCGCTCATTTGGAACAGTTCCTCTTCATCAGAATCCAAATCTGCGTATCGCTCAGCGTCTAGTACTTCGTCTTCATCTTCAGAATCAGTCGAAGAAGCCTTGTTCAATTTTAATCCGTTCAAATCATCTAAAAGGTTCCTCGCATCAAACCTTTTATGTATGCGAAAGGTCAGTAACTGCACAAAGTGTACGACACAGTTTCTCTCAATGGCCAACCTGTCAACCAGTATCGGGTTGTCTTTGATGCCTTGCCATGGTATAAGATGTTTCCCGTCATCTATTCGTTTTGCTGCTTCGTCGTCGGTAAATAAACGAGCCTCATAGCCAAATATTAAGAGTTCCTGTTCGGGTTCTCTCTCTCTGTCTTTTGCCTTCCGCTTTCGACGGTTTCGATATTGTTGAGGTTGGACTTCGGAGTTTTCGGGTAGCAGAGTTTGGCTAAAGAACAATGGCCTAAGACAGAAAGGTCAACGATAGTGTAACATCCTAGCAGACATAATGTTGACCAACGTACTGTGAATCTGCCATTAGCGTAGCATGCAAGCTCCCAATATAACCGCCACTGGCCCAAAATTTTTTTGGGCACAAAGGTCAGCTAACCCAGCTAGCAATTGTTGAACAGGTTCATCGCTGCATCCATGTCAAAGTATAAAACACGGCAGATTACGTTAATAACACTGAGCGTTGCATTAGTCTTGTACTTTATTTCGGTTTCATCTAAAGCAGCTAAGCCAAGTCGACCAGATCCGCTACCACTCGTTCATCTAAACGACTATTGGCCATCCAAAGTAGAACAGGCATTATGTCGACCCAAGATTTATGTGTATAACATACCAGACGCTATCCAAGTTTCCAAACACGATCGCAGCACAACATGCTATCGTTCAAACTACAAGTCAGAGATCATGCTATACGATTCATTGACCGATCCTTCCAGTACTTTTTATAAGCTCTATGTTACCGAGGATCCAGGAGAAGCTGAGCTGTTCTACATCCCTTTCTTTGGTAGCTGTTGGCTGTTTTCACAATGCTGGTCAAAGCATAATTGGAATTGGGAAGAGCGTTGTGGAGTTGACGACGCATATGTCAATCCTCTTATGGATTTCATCACCAACAACTATCCATACTGGAATCGAACAGGTGGCCAAGACCATTTTATGGTACACCCCATGGACCACACTTTTAATTACTACAAATCCAACGATCGGTTTCAACCTGCTATCTTCTTGACCACAATTGGCGACAAGCGTGGTATGACCATGCCAAAACAGCGATACGGAAAAGATATCATTATTCCTTCCGCCACCCAACTTTTACACAGCACGAATCTTGATATTTCACAGTACATCACTGCCGATGGAAAGCCAAAATATTCAAAAGTAGGCTCGAACACCAGAGATATCATGGTTTTGTTCCGTGGTCTTGGCGAAGAAACGCAACCGAGCGACGTCTACTCACATGGCATCCGGTCGTTACTCTTTTCATACTATCAACATCTGCCACACTGGGACATTGCAGACAGATCAACGGATGAACAGTATGCGGCGTTACTCGCCAGATCAAAGTATGGTCTAGCTCCTGAAGGCTGGACACTCGACACGACCCGTGTTTGGGAATACCTTGCATTTGGCGTCGTACCTGTCATTATTGCAGATGGCATTATAGAGCCATTTGAGAGCGATGTTGATTGGGATTCCTTCTCAGTACGTATCAGACGACAAGATGCCCACCGAATGGATGAGATCCTTGAATCTATCAGTGAGGAAGAGTATCAGCGAAAGCAATTCGCTGTCTGGTATCATGGAAGAACAGTTGGACTAGAAAAAGACGCATGGCACTATATTGTAAGAGATATGTGTCGAATTAAGCGTATCATTAGACCAGAAAACTTAAAGCTTGGTTATTAGAGTATTATCCTGTAAATCATTATAACTTAATGTATTATTCGCCTCCTTTGTTTTGTTATTGCAGCTTGACTGGCGGGGAGATGATTGATGTGATTTGAATTGTACATTTTATTTTATCTATTGTCTACAATGACGAGCTTCACAAGCCCAAGCGTTTTGATGGATGTTTTCGAAAAATCTTGGTTTCTTCAGCGTTACATACCCCTACAAGTGGAAAAAACAAAAAATTATTGAGCGACATGAATTTTGATGTTTTTCACATTAGTTGGGCCTTACCTCTGCTTCATCTGCATAATAAGTGCAACCTTCTTGCGAACCAAAGCTCCAAATAACTTTCTGTTCTGTTCAATCTTCTTTCTTCTTCTGGCTACATTAGGCTTTTCATAGTACTCAATGGACTTGAGTTCTCGTCTAACATTGTTCTGAGCGAGAATGCTGTTGAGTTTTCGGTAAGTGTTATTGACATTGTGGAAGACATTGAGGGATCGACCGGTATAGGGTGCAAGAGATGGCTGCTGGGTCTTTGAGCTACCAAGGAAAGCGATAGAGCTTGGAAGCACATTGTTGGCTGACTTGTCAACATTGTCGATTGTGGAGTCACTGGCGACTTTGCTTGCGTCCTGAGCAGTTTGTTTTGGGGAAGATCTTGCCAAACTTATAGAAAAGAAAGCCTTTCTAACATTCTGTGTTTGTGCAGTTAACACTGGTCGTGCCCGAGCAGACAATCCAAGTAAATTAGTTGATAGCATGACCCTGAAATGACAATTGGTAAACTCCCACTACTTTTTTCAAACAACACAAATTTGGGCCACTTAGATAGCAGTCACAATTTTTGCAAAATTGAATTTCGTTCAGCCTGGCTTTTTTTTTTTTGAAAGCTGTGTCCACCTCGTAACTTACATTCAATGGGAAGCAAGAAGAGATCCCGTACTGTACAAGAACCCGTCGAGCCGTTAAAAAACAGTGTAGACTGGGAAAGCGAGGCTGCAAAAAAGAAGACGAAGCTAAACGTTGACGAAGAGGAGGAAGAGGAATCCGACAAGACCCTTTTACCGGTTGAAACGCTGACTGAGCAGATCACAAACGAAGATTTCAGAATTGTAGCTGGATCGTATGAGCGTATCTTGTATGGAGTCAACGCCTTTTGGGAAACAAAGAAGGATAATGAGGTAAACATTTACATCCGCTCATTTCCCGTGTTATTCGAAATGCATTGCTGAGACTTAGCGTTCGATCTAGTTATCATTGCGCTTGGAGCCTGTCTTTATCTTCCCAGCACATACTGGATGCATTAGAACAGTTGCTGTAGGAGGCTCTCATCTTGCATCAGGAAGTTCCGATGAGGTTATCAAGTAAGTCATCAACGAGTGGTCTGAAAAATGAGAACCGTGGTTACTTACCCTCCGATCAAGGTTGTATGACTTGAAAAAACGCAAAGAACTCGGTGCCTTAGCTGGACAGCAACAAGGTGACATCAACTCAATCGAATTTTATGGAAAATATATGCTCACTGCCAGTGATGATGGAACTATCTGTATCTGGCGGTCAAAAGATTGGGAATTATTGAAAACAATGAAGGGTCATCAGTAAGTTTATCATCATTACTTATTTAATTTTCGTATATATCATATTCATTAACCTTCTTTTCTTCACAAAGAGGTCGTATAAACTCCATATCAATTCACCCCTCCGGAAAGATTGCTTTGTCAGTCTCTGCTGACAAAACTGTTCGTTTGTGGAATTTGATGACGGCACACAAAGCGAGCGTGCACAAAATTGGAAAGGGTAAGAAATGGTCGTCCTGCTGTTCCAGTACATGGTAATATTTCTAATATGCATTAATTCTATAGAGGGAATGGTTGTTCGATGGAATACTGCAGGAACTCAGTATGCTATTCTTTTTGAGAGACAGCTCATCATTTACAACGTTGCTGTAAGTATACGGACGATTTGCTGAAGAACGATGCCAACAAACATCAACTAATCCATTGCTTCCTCATAGGATGCCCAACCTGCCGTCACCATTGACTCAAGGACAAAATTACTCTCCATGGAGTACTATAAGGACACAAATACAGATAAGGAATACCTTGTGGTTGGAAGTGAGGACCGTAGTTTCAGAGTCTGGGATGCAGAGACTGGAGACAAGGTTGCCGAAGTGAGCCAACACAAAATGCGAGTTAAGGCCATCGATATCATTAGAACAACACCACGCGAAGGAGAGCACGAGCCTGTCGATGTTCTTGTCTCTGTTTCATCTGATGGTATGATGAAATGCTGGGATTTACAAAAAGTTATCACAAGCAAAGGCGAGAATATGACCCCGTTGGGTGAATACGATGCAAAGTGCAGAATAACTTGCTGTACTGTGAACCTTGGTTACAAAGTTCCAAAGCAGTCAGAGCAAACGGAAGCTGCCGAGTAAACCTGCTGCTTTTAGTAAACCACCCTGTTCAACCTATTGTCACCTCTGCTTGTATCATAACGTAGATTATAATCATCCTCATTCATGCAAATAAAAACAACCACAAATTAAATCTATAGCCCCAGCCAGTGACAAAATACAATTTAAACACATTTGCAGAAGAGATTGGGTTACTTTCAACAACACGCTTTGGTTAATAAAAGCATAAGATCACAATTTTTTTAGGTTGTTCAGACAAAACTTTTACTGTTACAGTCAGATCTGTGTTCATTTGATGATGATGAGAAACTATGTGTATGGAGATTCAACAATTCTAGTATTCCTCGGCCATCATGAGCAATACAGTACTGGTCCAACCAGTAAATGGATGGCTGCGCTTTCCTTGGCCATCAAATGCAGAGTATTGTTCCCAGACAAATCCAGTCCGTTTGTATTCCTATAGAAATAAGATATAAGTGGTAAATTCTGTGGTATCCACAAAAAAAAAAAAAAAGAAATAGCTTACCGCAAAGACGTTTTGGATAATGTTATTACGCAAGTCTTTGTAAATTTGTTGCGCTTTCTCTTGATACGGACCGGGAACATGCATGTAGTTCTTTAATACAAAGTATGTTAGTTTCTCTTCTTGAATAATGCATGCTATCACCCAGATACATACATTGTACAAACTCTGAAGTGCGAGATAGTTCACGTTCATCCAAATCGGACCTCTCCAATAGTTCTCTCCAGTATTGAACTTGGCATCAGCAGCAGACAAAGATCGAAGACCATATGGGGTCCACAATTCGTTTTCATCTCTCATCATGTCCAAGATGGCGTCAAGCTTGGGTGAATCTGTAGGTAAGAGACCCAAGATCATGGGGAACAAGGATAAATATCCTTTGTGGCACACATAGTCGACACCATCGCCTTGAAGTAGCAAGTCACAGTAAGCCTGGTCGTTTTCGCTCCAATGTAGCGCATCAATGTTACCGAGTATATCTTGCAGAACCGAATCGTATTCTTGAACGTCTGCAGCATATTCCTCACCCAAGTGTCCTGCAATGCTCTTCATCAGACGGGTCGAAAATCCCATCCAAGATATCAAATCGATATGCAACTCAGATGTGCTTGGAGGTTCGGCTCTGGGATAGTCATCAAAACCTTCAAAATGATCATGCTTTAGATGGATTGAAATATTAGAGCTATTGCGTATGTAAAACAATCTTACCGGAAGTCAAAGTATGGTTTTCTGATCTTCCTCGCCATCTATAAACTTCGCCATTGCCATTGCTGGGTTTATGGCCTTTTTGAGTCTTTCTAAACCACTCCCAGTTGAGTCTCAGCTTGGGATAGACTGTGTTAAGCCATTGAGTTGCCAAAGCAGGATTTTCAAGGTGAAGGTTGGGCAGCGATTCGGGATCATCAAGAGCAGAGACCTTCATTCTGTTCTGTACGGGTTCATCTGACATTTGCATGTGAACGCTGGTATGCTGTTCCAATCGATCGATGAACTTTTGGACGGCAAGGAGTAGTGTGGGAGGGTTGGCGTAGTGTGGGAACTGGGTTTGGAACTCTTGTGGGACCTGCAAGCGAACCTTGAGAAACTACGCACGTAGAATCGTCAATTAGCACTTCATCAAACATTTACCTTGCTTCTGGCTTCAGCTCCAAGAATTTGCTCACGAGCAACCCAACCATTATCATCAATCAAAGAGACCCAGCTCTTGATAATCTCGAGACTATTAGACGATATATGTGAGTAATGTTGTTTTGAAATAAGACTCCTGTTGTGATCCCTTACCTCAAATCGTTGTCCCATTTACCTATAACTTGCTGGTGGAAGCCTTCGTCCCTGCAAAGCCAAGACTTGTTATTCATACAAACGCACAAGATGACGCGTTGATTCGCAGCCACTTACCAGTAAAATCCACGAGGGAAGAATGGTCGACTAGGTGTCGCAGTGTACAGAGCATGAGGTTCAGTAAGCTGGGCGTTTAGAGGACGGTTCGCAAAATATTCTTCATCTTCGAATGGATCATGAGATCTATCAACAATGGCTGGCCCATAAAAATATCCAATTCCTCCCAAAAGGTTACTCAGCAAGAACTGCCCGAATTCAATCTCTTCTGGAGACTTAAACCCCTTTTCACTGAGATGGAATGTACGTTCAAACTTTTGATCAAACTTGGTGGTTGCCGTTTCCAGTTTAGCATTCATATCTTGGGCTGTTATTATATTGAAAGGATTAACGAGGGCCCAGGCAATCATTCCAATAGATGGTACATTTGTCACTTACGCTTGAGATGCTCAGCACTCGAGTCAGAGTTGAAGACAATGTCAACCTTTGTATGGTAGCTAATGAGTTTTCACTTCTTTTACAATTACCAAAGTAAATGTTATCCACTTACCTCGAAAGCTCCTTGAAACACCTTTTGCAAAAAGTAAAGGTTGGCAACCTCATTCTCGGATTCACTGATTTCATTGGGTAAAACAAAAAGAGATGGAAGGTTCGACATAGCTTCTTCAGGAGTCATCATTGAAGAACGTTCTCTGGCAGAATCATACACTTTTTGAAGGAAGAAATCTATGCATAGTGTTCAGTACAAGAGTGGTTTGTGCTAAAAACGCTTCAGCCCTCTTACCTTTTGTCTTCCATATCTCATCTTCTGGTGCCTGGAATCCCCAATAGAAAGTCTTTGTTAAATCCTTCTGAAGTCCTGATCGAGGGGCAGTGTTTGCTGCACCTAATGACAAATTCGAGCCGTCATGTCAGATAACACGCCAATTCCTAAAAACTAGTAAGATCGTTGTTACCTTCAGCAAATTGAATGGCAAAGTCACCAAGTTCTGGTGAATCGCCTTCCAGCTTGACCGGCGACTTCAAGCCATCATTCTTCAATTTGCTAACAATATCTATTCCGCCATCTCCTTCTAAGCCCACATAAAACACCAGGTTCGTTACAGGGTTTGCTGTGAAGAGCGGTTCTTAGTACTTTCATCCACCGAACATATAATTGTATACGCATACTTACTGCCCTCCGACAATGGCTTTCCTTTGATACGAACACCCCATTCGCCACCTTAATAGAAATGACTGTTACAATACTGAAACCATCACCTATACTTAATCAACAAGCACTGCTCAATACCGTATCTGCCTCCAGGTACTTTGATAAATTCAGTGGTTAACTCTATGTCAGTGTAGGGATCTTTCATCTTTTGGAATGCAAAGGATCGTCCATCGTGTTTGAAGTAGCCGTATCCGTGCAAATTGTCTCCTTGCTCGCATGTATGTCGAATATCTATATTGAGCACGCCAAATCAATTAAATATGTTGATCTTGCTTACTATGAGGACATTGTGGGCGAGTGCGACTTACTTTGAAAACCCTGTAAATCATCTCCACTGAACCACATTATTCCGGTTGATAGAGAAGATGGTATTCGTGGTCTAGTCCCAAAGTACAAGTTTGGTCGATATGTGCCCCACAACAGCGAGTCATTCAAGGCTTTGCCGGCCGCAACATTTAGTTGCACATCTTGAGCTGTGAGACCCTGAGCTGAATCCAGCGATCCAAGCAATGTGATCGCTGTCAGCAAGAGAGCCGATGTTGCTTTTAACGACATCCAAGGCATGTTCGGTAAAGAAGCTTGCTTCAAAGGTACCACGTTTTTCGACCACCGCGACTTCACTGTGTCCCATTGTGATTGGCCGTCACAAAGAGCCGAACGAAATTGACAGCAGCAGCAATGAAGTCGAAGAGCCTGGTAGACTAGGCATTCAAAGACCTTGAAGCCTGTCATATTCTAATAAAGGATGCCTCTTTACAAGCTTCTTACGCATATAAAAAGTACGCTCTGTTACCAATACTGTAACACTTTAACGCTACCAAATCGCCGTTTTCAACACGTCTCCACAAATTTTTGAGATATTAAAAGGCTTTCCTAGCTCTCTCAGAGCAATAACACTCCATTTCTATATATCGGTAAACGACTCGAAAGCATATGTATTGCCTTCATATTGGTTAAGCTAGTATAATAACACAGTACTTTAAATGATAAAGTCACAAGAACTGCCGAGTATGGAAAAGGAGAGATAGCTTTTCCGATAGCTTTTTCTTCAGGCTCGAAACGCAAATGCTGAGATCCGGTTGGTGCAGTCACATTAGCTTAACTTAAGTAAGCAAAGCAAAGCAAATGGAAGAATGGAAGAACGTTTGTAAAGAGTAAGAGTGTGAGCCGACTGGCAAAATTACAATATGATTGGTTGATCGTTTCTCGAGAATTCATATGAACAAACTGAATCGAGATAATTTACTGTTCGCGAAGCCGATGCATCATACAATCTGTAATATAAAGCTCCATCAACCTTTTACCAACTGCGACGTAGCCTTACGAGCCAATGTCACTTCTACAAACCCATAGTCATCGACTTGCACAAGGCATCATGGAGCTGGTAGCCGGGCAGTCACGGGATCGGCGGACCTGGGGAGGGCTGATAGCTCGGAATGTACGTGGGTATATCCTAAAATGCACCAATCAAATGAGTAGAAACCATTAAAGCTTATATAAAGGGTTTCTATTTTTTTTTTTTACCACTTTCTTTCTCGAGTTTTTCTTTGCCAGAGATAACGCACATCTTTCTCTCTTACTTCACATAAATGGCTTCTACTCAATTACTCATCAAAGCAAGCTCTGCTGTTTTGTCTCCTTCTCAGGACAAAGCCCCTGCTTCCGTCCTTGTCGACAAATCCACCGGCAAGATTATTGAGATTGCCATTGGAGATGCTGAATTGTCCACTGCAATGTCTGACGATGTAGAGGTTTGTGAACTCAACGACAATCAAGTTTTGATTCCTGGTCTTGTTGATGCTCATGGTATGTAGACGTTAATACTTTCTTTGACAAGATCAATGAGCTTTTTTCTTTCTTTATCTTTCGCCACCTGAATTTGCTTACTTATATGGCAACCAATTTATACCCTATCCAAAACCTTAATCGCCCATGTAACTAAATCCTTTGTCTTTCATTTTATTTAGTGCATCTTAACGAACCTGGCCGTACTGAATGGGAAGGCTTCGAAACCGGTACCAAGGCTGCTGCTGCAGGAGGTGTCACCACTGTCATTGATATGCCCCTCAATGCTATCCCTCCCACCACCACAGTTGCTAACTTCAATCTTAAGAAGGATGCTGCTCAGGGCCAATGCTACACTGACGTTGGTTTCTGGGGCGGTGTAATCCCTGGTAACCAGTTTGATCTCCAACCTTTGATTAAGAGTGGTGTTCGCGGCTTCAAGTGCTTTTTGATCGAATCCGGTGTCGATGAATTCCCTTGCGTCAACGAAAAGGAAGTTCGTTTCGCTATGGAGAAGTTGGTTGGAACCGACTCTGTTCTGCTTTTCCATGCCGAAATGGACTGCGCAAATCACGACCACGACACCAAGGCTGATGTTGACAAGGCTGGTGACGCCTACAACACCTTTTTGGATTCCCGTCCTCAATCACTCGAAACCAATGCCATTGATATGATCATTCGTCTCACCCGAGAATTCCATGATGCTGGAAAGCCAGTTCGTACTCACATTGTCCATTTGTCGGCCGCTGAAGCTTTGCCTGCTATCCGTGCTGCCAAGGCTGATGGTCTTCCATTGACCGTTGAAACCTGCTTCCATTACCTCACCTTCTTCTCCGAGTCCATTCCCGATGGTGCTACTCACTACAAGTGCTGCCCTCCTATTCGTGAAAATAGCAACCGCGAAGAATTGTGGGAAGCTCTTTTGGACGGTACCATTGACTATGTCGTCAGCGACCACTCACCTTGTGTTGCCGAACTCAAGCGTCTCGACGTTGATGGTGACTTCATGAAGGCCTGGGGTGGTATCTCTGGCGTTCAATTCGGCTTACCTTCCGTTTGGACCGAAGGCCGCAAGCGTGGAATTACCATTCAGCAACTCGTCAACTGGTTGAGTTACACCCCTGCTAAGATGACTCGCATTAACGAGCGCAAGGGTGAAATCAAGGTTGGAGCTGACGCCGATTTCTTGATCTGGGAACCAGAAAGCACTTTTGTTATCCAGGCTGCCGACCTCCAATTCAAGAACAAGCTCTCCCCTTACGTTGGCCTTGAAATGCACGGTGTTGTTGCCAAGACCATTCTCCGTGGCAACACTGTGTACTCTGCAGAAGCCAAGTTCGGCGACAAGAAGGCTGTTGGTGATCTTGTTTTGTAAAGTTGTTCGAACAACTATTTTGCTTTACGTCTTTCCATTTCTACATCACATATTGGGCCATACCCTTCATCCCTCCCCCTCACAACGTTAGATTATCAAAGACATTTTTTCCCTCTGCCCAATCTTGGGCATACCTCTCCAGGTGATTATCGCTGGTGATAATACACCTTGTAACATACCGTTTATCGAGTATTTTTGATTACAATCGATGACAATAGAAGAACTATTAAAACATATATTGAAATGTCCATAAATTTTTCTACACGTTAGTTTGTGTCGGACACAGCCCGTCTTTGCATTGCTTGGTCTAACCACGAATGAGTACGCCTTTGACGATACTTAGCGGAGGTGGTACAGATAATTTGGACACAAGATCCACGGCAATATGACAGACACAAATGTACTTTTTCCGAGTATGGATACGCGCACGCCCTTGTCTGCTTATTTGCGATGCTCGGAAAGCGTGTGCTATGGAAAGTCTTGGAAGCCAGTAAGGTGGTGAACCTTCTTAAGGAGGTTTCCCGAAGAAACAGGTGGAAGCATTTCATCCAGAGGGTAGGCAATTTTGCTGTCGACCGCATCTCCACTGTAGATAACGGAGGACGCCACATGGTTTATGGCCAAGAAATGGGCTTGTCTTATCCTTGTGATGCTGATGATTCTTCCATGTTTATGTTAGTAGCTCATGGCGAGACGGCATAAAGTCCCAAGCTAAATGCCTTTCTACTCAACGAGGCTTCGTAGGAATCAGTGCCATGCAGCTGTTTCTTTTATTTCTCACATCATTGGTCAGTCTCCATGGATGACCCTCGGCACCTCCCCGAGGGATACTTACACGTTTAACGTTTTAGTTCATTTCCGGCAGTTACAAGTCTCTTTGTAAATAGTGGAGATATCAAGTGAGTCCTTTCTGGCTCTAAAAAAAAAAAAAGGATTTGAAAATAGAACCATTTTTTTTTTTCCTTTTTGCCAGCAAGGAGAATATTTGTCCAGGTGTCCAGTTCCAACCCACGTTTGCTTTCCCTCCATTACATTTGCAAAAGATGGAATGACTACCGTATCTACTCGAAGCCTCTGCTTCTACGAGCATCGCAATGTTATAAACTATCAATTCCGTTATGCTTTTATTTCAGTTTTGGGACCAGCCAGCACCTGTGTGAAACCGAGGGGGTGTGCCTTGGGCAAATCCAACTCGTGCATAAGTGTGACTTTCTTCTTTGTGGATCACGTTGGACTTCTTTCTCAGTGTGAAAGCGTTTCTCACCGTTTTCTCCACTGCTCACCTTTTTTCACTTTTTTGTTAATATGCGTTCACCAAAGTCCCCTCCAGGAAGTTTCACCATCGGTGTAGTCAGGAATAAACACCGCGAAGGCATCACAACCGATGCAAGAGACTGGTCGATGGTTCATGTCGGCTCGCTTATTCAGAACCAACAAGTCGTTACCATGTAAAGATCTCATTTGTCTCTGTCATGTATAGAAATTTAAACAGTAATACACCCGCTCATTGCTTTGATTTAAGCACAAGCATTGAATCGACTTTTTCTGGGGTATTTCTGCAATGCTTATTACCGCCAATGTTCTGACACCCGAAATTTTTTCTTTTCTTTGCATCAACAACAGTGAAGGGTCAACTCTAGTCGAGGATGCTTGTCAAAAACTGATTGACAACAACATTTCATCAGCACCAGTCCTCGGTGCACCGCAATCGAAGTCGCCTACTTCTGGGATTGAGCGCAAAAAGTCGTATATCGGCATGTTCGACTACGGAGATCTTATTACTTATGTCCTCATAGTCCTTAAACGTTCCAATGTTTCTCTGTCTGACGAAGATGACGCCAGCCTGGAAATCAAAGAAATCGTTAAGCGCGCTGTTGCGGGTCAAAGTGTGCCTGTTAGGCTAGCAAGTGGTGAGTAGATTATTTGAGACAATGACGAAAAAAAGGAAGTCTAGATACCATTCAGTCATATTAACCAAATTGTCCATTCTAAATCAACAGATTTATCACGTAAAAATCCGTTTTATTCCATACTGCCTGAAACAACTTTACTATCTGTTGTGGAAGAATTTGCTTGCGGAACACATAGAGGTAGGCATTGGATTACTGAAACAGCCATTGAGCTTTAGCTGAACTTTTTGCTTGCAACAACATTCAGTTGCTGTCACGAAACCAGATGGCGATATTCAGGTATTTACAAAAATTCGCAAAATTTGAATACTGATCGATGACTTACACAGACATACCTTCATCTAGGGAATGCTCTCACAATCGACGGTTATTAATTTTCTGTTCAAAAATATGCACAACTTTTCTGACCTAGAGTCACTTATGAACCGAACGGTAGGAACAGGACAAATGTTCCTTTAAACTCTGACCAATTAAGTTTCCTCTAAACTAATTTTCTTTTTTTCAATAGCTTCGAGAACTGGGGCTTGGGCATAATTCTGTTATTTCAGTCAATGCTGATTCTCCTGTATTGGATGCCCTCACGCTTATGAGTACGCTAAATGAATTTGAATCTCAGCTCCACTACCATTGTACATCCATTGAACTGATTTCTTCTGCCCACTTCTTTTTGTAGGCAAATACGGTGTTTCATCCTTGGCTGTTGTAGGCCAAATGGGAGTTTTGCTTGGAAACATCAGCATAACCGATGTAAGTGCCATTGGAAGGAATTTTTGTTCTATGCATTAGCCTGATGTCCGTGGCTCTGTTCTCTTTAGGTCAAGTATGTCATCAAGAGTAAAAATTCGCTCTTGTGGAATACCTGCTTTCAGTTTGTAGGAATTGTAAGGAGTAAACAGGGAATAGACGATGGTCAGGTAAGGGAGCCAGTCGATATAGTCCACCTCCATCGATATAAATGCTCTACCTTCTAACGGTCTTTTCTCCTTGTCATCTGACATCGATAGGACCGCTATCCTGTTTTTGATGTGAAATTGGACACTATACTTTACCAAACTGTGGCTAAACTGATTGCCACCAAGGCCCACCGACTTTGGGTCACAGACGATAGAGGACGCGCTACAGGTGTGGTGTCTCTAACCGACGTCTTGCGGGTCATTGCCAAGAGTGCAGGTCTATCTGTCAGTGAGCTTCGACGAAGGGATAGTTTAGCAAAGGGTCCATGGGCATAAAAAAAAGTATCATTTTTTGTTAACGTACCTCTTTCATTTTCCTCAAAAAAATACTAAAAACGAAAAAATCATTTGTAAAGATGGGTGTCCGTGGCCAGACCCGTACTGGTTCGTCTGTGGGTCCCATTATTGGGTAGCCGATTTCCCAAAATAGTTAGCGCCCTTTGTTACATGATGTCATAGCTATGCAACGAGGCGCCTCTAGGCAATGAATCAAACTGCCAAATTGCTGGTTTGAAATCAATAGGGAGAAGTATCTAATACACACAAAAAAGTGCAATGAATGTTCGAGACGAGCGTCAGTTTGAGGATGAATTGAAGGAAGTCGAAGAGAGCCAGAGGTATATCGTACAAAGTTACCGCTCAATAAAAGAGAAAAAACTCCCTTTCCCCATAGCCGAAAAAATATCTACACTTTACTTTGTTCAGATAATTTTTGCACTGGTTTCTCCCGTCTTCTTTACATTTCATTTCGTTTCTGTTTCTGATATTTTTTTCTTACTAAAGCGTTCTATCGCAGTCATTTTCTATCCTTTTCCACTTCTTCCCCATTGATTCTCTCAGATAGCCATCGTATTCCCCTCAAACCTTCCCCAATCAACCACTATCAGCTTCTTCCCAACACCCCATTGAACCGAACCTGAACATTATGGGAGGATCCAGTAAGCAAAAGCAACAAAGCAAAGGTAATTAATCGCTTACATGGATTGAAGATAATAAAATCATCGACCACTAAATCACTTTGCCTTATCGTAGTACAAAGCAGCCAACCACGCAACAATACTCAACGAAGTTCACCACCGCCGTTCCTTCAGCAACATTCTTCGTCTAGCAAATTTGAATTAGAACCCAACCCCTTTGAACAAAGTTTTAATTTCAATGACAAAGTAGCAAGTGCATCTCGAAAGCCCAATGTGCTACCGCCGGTGGCTGCCATTGACTCTCCAAGTGATGGCGCCAATGCGCGTAACAACCCTCTTTGGGAAACGTTACGATCGGGCGAGCTTTCACCTAGTATGCTAGGTGGACCACGGCCTCCGCCGCAGAATAATGATAGCCGAACGTCATATGGTTCCAGCCTACTTCCGCCTCAAATGGGACATAACAGCGGAGTCCTCGACACTATGAACCAACCCTCAATGCAAAATTATGAAGCTATGCAACCCAATAATCTGTATCTTTTATCAGCTGCTCAGCAGGAAGTGATGCGACGCAACAGCCTTGGTCAAGTTGTGCCTGTTGTCAAATCCGAAATCGATGATATGGGTCCTCAATCAAGCCATTCACCGCCCAGCCGATACCGTGTCACCACTAGCCCTGAAAGCAGCGCCGATGATCTACACTCAAGACGATCCAATAGACGAGCGTCGTCCTCCTCCAGACGCACTGATGGTGGAGGGGATGACACTGAAAAGCGAAAAAACTTCCTTGAGAGGAACCGACAAGGTTAGCCATTTTATTCATTGAAGTGATGTAAATGAAAACCCCTTCCTAACTAAAACTCTTGCATTTCTTTAGCCGCTCTCAAATGTAGACAACGTAAGAAGCAATGGTTGGCTGAATTGCAAAACAAAGTCGAATATTTATCCAGTGATAATGAAAAGCTGCAAACTCAAGCTACATCCCTTCGAGAAGAAATCATCAATCTTAAGACGTTGCTTCTCGCACATAAAGATTGCACCGTTGCTCAGGCCAATGGCGTCATTGGCTTAGAGCAACTCCGTGCTGCTCCAGGCATGCTTCTGCGGCAAAATGTTCAAAACAGCGCTCCCATGAACATGTTTGGTGGCACGGGTGGACCCTCGTATCAACATAATCCTCACCAAGTCACATAGATAAACCGGGCTCCTTTGCTAGCCAAGGACACCTTGCCCTTTATATTCAATTCCTTTGACGTAACTTTTTTTTTTCGTTCTCTTTTTATTTTCTCGTTTGATACACACAACGCACACACACGTTTTCCCCGCCCTGAAAAATGACAGTAACTTTTTGTAAATCCACCTTCGGAGCGTTCCTGACCCAGAGTCAAAGAACTTGTTTTCAGTAAATAGCCTTTTTTCCGTTCTTGTTGATGTCGAGGGAGTCATGGTTTTGTTTTTTTGGAATTAACGTACAATTTGAAAAAGACAGTATGCACTTGAATAAAATGATGCCAAATTTCCTCCACTGTAACCATGGATGCTCCACGTGCTGTCCTTTCAGCGTAACATTGAGACAGTCAAGGTTTGTTGTCAATTAAACATTTAGTTTATTGTGGGGCAAGGGAAACGATTATATCATACTGTATTGATATGCGGAGGCGTCATTGGCAAATGCAAAAAGGTGGTTGCTAAATGATGGGACAAGTTAAGATAATATATACACAATGTCAGTACTGGAGGGCTCATAGCTCTTGCTTCGTCTGTTCACTCTTGACTTGCAATGGCTTTTCGATAGGCAATGGGTTGTTGCCACCAGGGAGTGGGCAGAATGCGATTTTAGCGACTTTGCCGATGCTCCACGTGCTTGAGGCATCTACGACAAAATCAAAAATATTGCGAAAACCTGGGATTTTTTGGCCAAGCTTGACGACCTTGCCGTTTTCTTCCTTGACGCTTCGTTCAATCAGTTCATTCGCCACCTTGCGATTAATACTATCTAGTACTTTTCGAGGGATAACGTTGGGTAGTTTGCTACCGACCGCTTCGCCGATTTGTTTGGCTGTCTGAGACAGAGTGGTGGTTGCTTCATCTCCGAGGGTACATAAATAGATCATGGTCTTAACCGCATCGTCGGTCGGATCAAGGTGAGCTGCTTTGGCAATGGACTGAAGCATATGAAGTTGGATGGAGAGCCGAGATACATAATCGATGACTTTGCCTTTGGCTTCCTCATCTGCATTGGTGTATGCATTGTACAAGTCAGGCGATAGAGCTTGGAGACCGGCCGCCAAGGTGTTGAAAAAGATGAGCCGATCAGCAGCGTTCACGTAGGCTGGATCAGTATCGCATACTGGTAACCAAGTGTTTGACACGCCGGCGGAGTGAGCAGAGCTTGCCACGATAGACGATCCATAAACGGCAGCTTGCGTGATAGGTTGAAAAAGGTTCTTACGTGCAGGCGTAGGCGTATAGTGAGCGTAAAAAACACCACTAGAGTTAAAATCCTCTACCTTCAGAGAAGCATCATAAACCGAGTCGAGAATCGCAAGTGCACCTTTCTCTTTGCATTTCTTCGTCCAAAGAACGTCGTCTTGTGACTTGGCACTAAAGCTGTCGTCGGTGTTAGCAGGCGGCGCAGTGCGGAAGAGTTGAGCAAGACCCGTCAACGTGTGAGAGTCCTTCAAGCTGTTTGCGCTGAATTCTTGGTGATTCTCGTTCAGAGCCTTGTTTGTCACTGACAATGTCCAATGCTTGATGTCGTCAACACGAGGAATGTCGTCGATCAAGTGGGCATGGTGGTATTCTTTACCGATGGTGTCACCTAGTGCCAAGTGTAGTTTAGAAACCGCATCATCCAGAGAAATAGCAGACACCAGTGCTGTTGCAGCCAAAATAGTTAGGTATCTGTGTAATACCATAGGGAAACTTAACGTTGAAGAGAGAAAAGAGCTCAGCACTGTCCCAAATAAGAAAAAAAGAAAAGTGCGACCAATTGTCACTTCATGTGATGTTTGGATGCTAGTTACGTGTTGGTATGCAAAAATTACAGTGTCTTCTAGTGTACAGTCATCTCAAGTTCGCCGCGTTACTTTGACAATCAATTGCTTTTCTCGACCGGCCAAGCGTTGGAGACATATGTGCGCGTTGAAACCTTCCACTTGCAACAAACTGACCACCTCATCAGGCTTATTATCGCTGACAAGCAGTAAATAAAATATGCCCTTCTCACTCAGCAATTCCTACAGATGAAGTATGAGATAATGCGAAAAGAAAAAAGTGTATCGCGTGAATAACGAACGAACCTTAACAAATGGGAGCGTGGCATCAATGACTTCGCGTCCATCAATACCGCCGGCCCAAGACACCTCAATTCCATTACCAGCAATTTCAGATGAAGGTGTAACGGCGTAAGGGGGATTAAAGCATAATACATCTATAGAGTGACGCATTCGAGGGAGTAGGCCTTGAACAAGGGAAGTTTCTACAGTATCTATTGAAATTCCGTTTTTCTTGCCTGTCGCCACGGTCGCTACAGCTGCATGCGGATTGATGTCCGTCGTCACCATATCTATAAGCAGGCCCATAAATACGTCAATATTGGCACATACACATGTATACAAAGCCGGCCAAACCTACATGCTAGACTTGGCTTTAGCAATGAGCCCAAAAATGTCGTCACACATCCGCTTCCAGACCTGTCAAAAGAAATAAAAGAAAGTATTGCCAACGGTCAGTATTCGAAAGTTAATCATGAATATGAAATACATCATGAGAAGCCAACACACACCCTAATTCAAGACATATGCTGGGGTGAAGTGCGCGCAATTCATCCTGATCTTGTTCTAAAGCGTCGAGCAGCAAGAACGTATCCTCTGTGGTTGGATAACATGAGAGCGAGGTTAGCAATGTAGAAAGTGAAAACAGGACCGAGGTGCGGTGAACCATACCTGCAGGCTCGTATATGTTTCTGAAATCTTTACTGTTCAAGTGGGATAGATCGGGTGTTGGGATCATGATCGCTGACTTGGCTGGAATGAAAAAATGGAGCAAGTGGCGGACACGAGGCAGTGCCTAAAATTTTTAGTGATCTCGCTTCGCCTCGCCTCGCCTTGGCTTGACCGGTGATCCGATCATACACTTTCCAAATCCATCAAACAATAACAATAGGAAATCAAAAACATGAGTAGCAATCGCGTACTATATGACTTATAATGGATGATGACATGCAAAAGGTTGGAGGAATCAAATAAAAAAAGCAAAGCAAAGCTTGAACAAAAGAAAAAGTGAGGGGGAAAAAAAAACTACGATGATTTTACTCCAACTTCTGTAAAACCTCTCCATTTTCTATTCTTCTAGCGGCATCCAAACCAGCAAGAACAGCCTCATTAGGGCACTTGTCAGGAGCATAATGGACGACGAAATCGCCAGCATGGTACCGGTTGGGGAAAGTGTTGAAGGTGTGGTTATCATCGTCAAGCAAAAGGGATCGAGCCTTGAACTCTGGCTCTTGCATTAACTTCCACATAGCCATTTGTTCGTAGCTGGGGTGGAATTGGTAATATTCAGTGGATTCCTGCACTTTACGTAAATACTTCATACTCCATGGGGTATTTCGGAACAAGAAGACACCAGCGTTGATCATAGGGTCACCGTGAGGTTTGGCCACAATAAAGTCAATGTCCTTATCGAAAGCAGCCTTGCCTCCTTCATAGTTGCTTTCGAATTTAGCCAGCAAACTCTCAATCTTGTTGTCCTGATTCATGATGACAGCATCCATGTCGAGCCAGAAGATCCAGTCGTACTTTGGCAACACTTTCTCAATAACATCAATCTTGCCCCAAACCGCTTTACGGTCTCCACGGACAGCTTGTTGAGCAAATTCAGCTGATCGAGCAACAAAGGAGTAGCCATGCTTAAGGGCGTATTGACGTTTGTTTTCGGCAGAGAGACGAGCACTGGGAAGCATACAATCATCGGGATAAATATAAGAAGAGGTAATGACAGCGATGGAGACAGCAGGGGTGACTTCTTCAGTCAACGTTGTCTCTTCTTCCATGTCTGGGTCGATGTCTTGTTCACCATCCTCGTCATCATCAATAGCTTCAGAAGATTCGGGGGTGGCGTTGGAAGATGATTTGGCCGGATAACAGGCAGGCAAAGGCTTAAGCGAGGTCCATCGTGCAATTTCCTCAAAATCAGAATCTTGGTACACCTCGGTAATAATCAGATCTTGATCGTGTACAGATTCGATATTGTTCTCCCAAACGTTCATGCGGTTGTTGTTACCCTCCCCATCCTCTTGAATGAATTCTGGGCCAATAGGGCTAGCTTCACCGTCGAGACTACCGGGTGCTGAAAAGTACTTGAACATTCGACTGAACAATGGAAGATCCGATTGCTCATACTGTTTACTGTTGAGAAGCGCGCTCTTTGCAGCAGAAGTGCCGACAATGACAGCATGTTTATCAACGGAGCCACCCCCGAACGTACCCCAGACAAGGTTATAGGGCATCTCGGAGGATACAGTTGTAGGCGAATTAGTTCCTTCGCCAATGACACCGTCCAAAAGTTCACGCTTGACATTTTGAAGGTGAACAAAGGTGTTACCGTCTTGCATAACCATGTAATCATACGAGATGCCTTTGCGACCAAGATCGATTTCGGCCTAAAATGGAAAGTTTTTGTTTTGTGTTAGAAAAAGGGGAACGATGGCCGAGGATGTCCACAAAAATAAAAACTCCTAAAAGGCTGTGCAAAGCTAACTTACCCAGTCAACGATAGCGCTTTCGTCAAACGATTCCACATCCGGCATATCCACAATATCTCCATACTCCATCCTCTCGGCTTCATAGCGTCGATGTTCATCGCCACTCAAGTTTTCCGTTCCACCATAAACCCAGAACCGGTAGTAAATGTCACTGTTGGCCGTCATGCAAGGCAAAAGGTTGTTGTGGATACCAAAGTACTTTTGACGAATCAAGCTACGTCGTGACAGTAAGTTTGCTGGAGTAGCGATGACAACGAGCATTTGGTAGTGGTTGGAGGTGTTGATCACGGTTTCCTCCAGATCATCCTCCACGGTAGGGACCTTGGTATGGCTATCAGAATGAGGTGAAGGGTAGGTCTTCGGTGGTGAGGGAGGAAGCGGTGGGGTTATTTCGTCGTCCATTTGATCGGTCTCGTTTTCGTCTATATCCTCTGACTCTGGTATATCAGCCATATCATCTGGTTTGGAGACAACAGGTTCATGAACTTCAGCTTCTTTAGGAGGTACGGTAGTCAAGTATTCATCTTTGTCCGATGGTGTCATCTTTGCACTCAAGATGAGCAACAAGATGAGGGTCAAGATGCACAAACACATTATGGTCCGTCTGTTCGGCCGCATTCTTGTAGACGGGCCATATGAAGGATCAGAGACGTTCAATGGTTTGTAGGAAGGCATGAGTAATGAGGACTGCCTACAACAAAAGCTGTACCGAGAAGAAAAAATAACGACAGGCAGGGCTCACAGTTTTTTTTTTCTTGAATGGGGTTTTTGAGTTTATATTTAGAATGGATGTTTGTGTTTTTTGCCACACGTCTAGAAATCTAACGGGTCTTTACGTGAAGGCGTTGATCCACATCCCACCTTAGGCGTTCTATCTAATGACATGGAAGCTAAAGAAGATACCAGTCGTCCTTTCGATTGATCTTCTTTTTTACTAGCCTCCTCTTTGGGTTCAGTTCGTCTAGTTGACACACCTCCTTCAGGCGGAAGATGAAACGTCTCAATAGCAAATCGCTTGCGTCTGAGCTTGAATCCTAAGTTATTGCTGCCGTCCCCAGATAAGACGGAGAGCTTGGTGCTGGACGGCAAAAGAGAGTTCAAAACAGGTACTTTGTGTACATGAAAGAATCCGTGATATGTTTGCGCATAGGATGCTGATGAGTGCTTAAGTGAGCCTGCATATCAAGTATTAGCATGGAAGACATCGGTGAAAAAAAAAAAAATTAGAGCGTAGCCTACCAGCAAATGATTCAATCTCTACTACTGCGTCACACATATGCTGTAGCCGCCTTTGAAACGCAGCATCATAAAGATACGTCGGTACAGTAATGACAGCCGCTCCAAATGAAAATCGAAGAAGTCCTCTCAACGCATGTAGTACCTTCAGTATGTCCTAAATGACCAGCATGAGCTATTGCCATCAACGATAAGATATTTTGTCATGCCATATTCAAAATACCTGTGGATTTTTGCACTGCCAGTTCGGTGAGGCCAGTGACTGAATACCTATCCGCAATGCGTTGCGTTCTGTACCTTGCGGCACTGGCACCATGGAGCTTGGGCGATATTAGCCAGAGGCTAAATGACAAAAATGTTCACCCAGACTACGCTTACCTAAAACCGCCATCTACAATTACACTCTGCAGTTCTTCCATTAAAATTTCATAATCATCCCGATCGCCATTATATTGATCATCGAAGCAAGTAGGAGGATTGATCAGTGTTGTCTTTGCGCTCTGAAGAGCTTCTGGTTTGATCTTAGTGGTCAAATCAAAAGTGTCACAGAAGTTGATTTCCGGGAGACCTGCTCCTGCGGCTTGCTTGGATGTTTGCGGTATAGGTGCGGGAACTAATACAATGAAAAGAAAAAAAATATTAGGATTCATGCGATGCATTTTGCTGGCCAATGCGATCCTGGCATGGCTAACTCACCACTACGCGCAGGTACACCTGTATCAAATCGCTTCAAGGATTGATAACGCCACGCTATGCTCATCTTATCATCCTCGCTTTCCTGCTTTGACGACTTGGACTCTTGCTCGCTGGAGGTGGATTGCTCAGCTAACCAGGGTAAGTTGTCCAAAATCTGTTGCGGTGTTTCGTCCATTGAGGCAATCGCACAGTGATGTCCACAGGCAACACCTTGTGCCAGGAAATAACTCAACAGAAGCTGTGCGTACGACGTGTGTTGATCTTCCTGAATCAGCAACACTGTACCAACTGGTAAACCGCCACCAAGGATATCGTCCAGAGACGGGACGCCAGTAGAAATGAGCAGCTGTCCATTATAAGCACTGATGCGAGATCCAGCTGGTATTTTTGGAGCATTGGCTGTGGATCTCTTTTTAAAGCTCATGGTCGATTCATTCAGCCTTTCATTTTTTTTCCAGTCCTGCCTGCCAAATGTGCCCCCCGCCACTTGGCAAAACAACAGTCACGGCGGCCGAAGCTAGCGACTAAGTGTCGTTTGATCTCTGACCTTCCCTAAGTCATATTCCAACCGGACAAATTCCATACCTCTTTATAATAATCCGGTTTATTGTAATTTTCTTTGTTGCACCAGCTACGACGAAGTTGGAGGTTTTACCAAATATCCGTCAAAGAGTCACACGGACAATCGCTGTGGCGGTCATTGAATGGAGTATTGAACCAATCCGCTCTTAAATATTGTCAAGTCTTAAGCCATAAACCCAGCCAGGCTTTCCCACCTAGAAGTAGGCCACTGTACTAAGACATAATGTTTGGCGGAAAGTTTTGGTCGATGTTCGCACGTAGCGATCATGTTTATAAACAAGAAGTCAGTAGTACACAGGACAATTGAAAGTGCCGGGTTGTTTTTCAAAGCAGTGGGCCTCAAACAAGCAAATAAACCAAATCTGGATAATGTGCCATATACCAGCACATTGTTTGACAAAGTGGCCCGGAGTGCGGGGAAATGGGACACCTAAGGGATTGTTTGACTAGAAAGACATTTTGGATGGAAGGGAAGATGGAGAGGTAGTGGTGTCTGAAATAAAAGAGCAGTCGTCTTTTGTCTGAACCTCTCTTTGTTCTGTATTTTATTATAACGCTGCAATATATAAACTCAACTGGTCCCTTAGGTTCGAGCAGTGAGCCGTTGGCTCATAGGGCGGGGAATTGTCTGGTTAGGAGATTATCCCGGACATTTTTGGGTTTGGCCTACTTCCGCACAAAAGGGAATAAAAAGGCCCTGCCAAACTCAAAAGTTTCAGCTCTTGTCAATTTTCTTCCCTCTCTACAACCAAATACACTATGTCTCCTCAAATTCTCGGTAAAGGTGTCTACGTCCCTATCCCTACCTTCTTCAAGGATAACGAAGAGTTGGATTTGGAAACCCTGGAAAAGCATTTGAGCTTCCTGTCTAACACTGGAATTGCTGGTATTATCTTCCAGGGATCCACTGGTGAAGCTATCCACTTGTCTGACGAAGAACGTATCACCTTGATTGAGGCTGGTAAGAAGTTCTTGTCCAAGTCTGATCCTTCCATCAAGATTATCGCTGGTGCTGGTGCTCCTTCTGCCCGTGGTACTGTCAAGCTCTGCAAGGATGCTGCCAAGGCCGGTGCTGACTATGTCATGGTTTTGCCTCCTTCTTACTACCTCAACCGTGTCAACAAGGAATCCATCACTGCTTTCTTCACTCGTGTTGGTGATGAGTCTCCTTTGCCCGTTATCATCTACAACTACCCTGGTGTCTGCCAAGGTGTTGATGTCGATGTTGCCACCTTGACTGAGTTGTCCCACCACCCCAACATTGCTGGTGTTAAGGGTACTGACGGTAACATTGGTAAGGTCGGTTACTTGGCTGAGCACACCAGTGCTGATGAGTTCACCTTGTTGGCTGGATCATGCGATTTCCTTTTGCCCGCTTTGACTGTCGGTGCTGTTGGCTGTGTTCCCGGTTTGGGCAACATTTCTCCTAGAGCTATCGTCAAGCTCCAACAACTTTGGGACCAAGGTAAATTAGAGGAAGCTTCCGCTTTGCAAAAGAAGTTGGTCAAGCCTGATGACGCTTTGAACCGCTGGTACGGTTTGTCTGGTGTTAAGGGAGGTATGGACGAAGTTTTGGGCTATGGTGGTCCCCTTCGTAACCCTCTTCAACGTCTCAACAAGAAGGATTCTCAGCGTGTTGCTGAAGGTCTCCAACCCGCTTGGATCATTGAACAACAATTGCAAAAGGAAGCCGGTGCCCAGTAAAAACTTGGTTACCTACTATTCACCAATAATTTGACAAAACGACACTCCCTTCCATGTCATGCATTGACTGTACAATTTTCTCCCCCTGTGCATTTTCTACATTTTTGCTATTGTATTTCTTCCTGTTTTCTCAAATATACACCAATTTGGATCATTCCATATAACAAGCAGAATATCGTTCTGATGTGAAGGGATGCTTTTTAAGTAAGTGAAATGTCACTTTTTATCGGATGGGAAAGTCTGCCGGTCGTTTGGAAGATAATCAGGCCAGATTTCAATGGATGAGTGTGAGCCTAAAAAGTATTTTGAACGTCATACTGGCGATGGTCGGAGACCAGAAAGACGTAGGAAGAAAGAAACCAGACACTGTCATTGATATCAGAACAGTATTCAAACATCGTGCTCAATGCTGGTATGGTACCATCTAGTAGCTTAGTTGAATAATGCGAAAGGAATGGAATGCAGAATTCAAGACATGCTGTCAATTTTGCAGATGCTTTCTCGATCGTTGGAATGAGAACGCCGGCAAGCTACATATTGTACCTGCTGTAAGCTGAGATGAATTTCGACAGAAAACCTAAAAATTAAAACGTCAAAGTTCAACCTTTTGACACGGCCCAACATGTCAAGCAAAGCTATTGTTCTCGAAACATGGATCACGCGATGCCTTGTTCCGTTTATGAACAGCAGTCATTTTAGGAGAATCATGGTCGATAATGCATGAGTCGCTTTTGGGCGTGTGCCATGGTATGCCGGCCGTATGCGCCGACGCATATCCTCTGCACTATAATCTTTATCTGCTAGCCTCTTGTGCAGTTGGGAATTCTATAACAGCAAGAGCAACAATTTTCAAATTTGTGCCACGGTCCACTTACATTGCGAAGTCTGGAAGGGTCAGCTTTAAAAAGTAGCTCCAATGAAAAACAGCCATGGATGAAAACTACAATGAATGAATAAAAATATAAAGCACTCTTACTTTTAATATATAGTGTCCTGTACGTAAAGTACAGAAAAAAAAAATTTATGTAGCTGTGTACAAACTGCCATGCTCTAGGGCAATCGACAGGACTTTCTAACTCTAACACACACTGCTTTGCAGCAAGTACTTACCGATGGAGCTGTTATTACGTCAGAGAACGTAGATATGTTGCACCAGTCTTTAGTCCAAAGGCACACCCCACTCGTAATGTTGAGGTACCATTTTAGCATGTGATTTATAGGCTTAGACATGCGTGACCGAACAATAAATAAGCAAGCAAACATTCAAAGAAATAATCGACGATGCTCTTTAACCACGCAAAAGCTTTGTTTGTTCGTTGGAGCCATCCTCAAAGCTCTACATCATTTTGGAATCGATTGGTAAGTCTGATTGGCTGGTGTGTTGTCAGTCAATTTTGATATGATACCAAAAACTTTTGGGAGTCAGGTTTTTTTCTGTACAAAAGCCCTGAGACGTCCGCTTTTGGTTATTAAAGTCTTTGTCTTTCATTCACCCCATTGTATAGAACATGACCAATCCTTCACCAATGCTGGACACTCTAGACATCGTCTTCCTAGGAACCATTGGTTTGGGCACCGTAGCATGGTTTGCCAGGAAGCAATTGTTCGGTCGCTTCAGCGGAGCCTCCGACAGCAAATCTGCGGCCAGTACGGCCACTAAGACCGCACCCCCTATCAAGCGCAAGGAACGCAACTTCGTCAAGGTGATGCAAGACCAGGTATGTGATGACACGCAAATGATGTTCCTGATGTACCGATGGTTGTACTAGATGGGCTTCATCTGAGATAAATGCGAGATGGGCTATGTAGTGGAAGGAGATCTAACACCTTTTTTGCTCCCCTATGGAAATCAGGGCCGAAGAGTCATCTTCTTTTACGGATCTCAAACTGGTACTGCCGAAGACTATGCCGCTCGTATGGCTAAAGAATGCTCACAGAATTATGGCATCAGTGCTATGACCGCCGATATCGAGGATTACGATTTGACCTACCTGGATACTTTGCCTGAGGATTGCCTTGCTTTCTTTGTCTTGGCTACCTACGGTGAAGGAGAGCCTACGGATAATGCTGTAGAATTCTGGGATCATTTGACCGGCGATGATGTTGTCTTTTCTGAAGGAGACGAAGACGAAAAGCCCTTGAAAAACCTTCGTTACGTTGTGTTTGGTCTCGGTAACAAGACCTACGAACATTACAACGCTGTTGCTCGCCAAGTTGATCAGAAACTGACTGCCTTGGGAGCTACCCGTATTGGCGAGCGTGGCGAAGGTGACGATGATGGCAGCTTGGAAGAAGATTTCCTTGCTTGGCAAGAAAATATGTGGCCTGCTTTTTGTGAAGCTCTTGGAGTGGACGAATCCAATGTCGACAAGGAGCGAACGGCTGTGTTTAGCGTTGAAGAATTGGAAACTGTTGATGAAGAATCTGTTTATCATGGCGAGCTTGGCGATAAGAAGTAAGCATTTTCCTGTCTTGGCATTTATTAATGATGTTCTGCCGTTACTCATCGCATTTTTGTTATGTCCATGACAGCCAACGCCACTTTGATGCCAAAAAGCCATATCCTGCAAAGGTTACTATGCACGATCTGTTTAGCAACTCGGATAGACATTGTCTGCATGTAGATATCGATATTTCTGAATCTGGATTCAAGTATTTGACTGGAGATCACGTTGCTATTTGGCCAACCAATTCCGAAGTTGAGGTCCAGCGACTTGCAGGTGTTTTGGGTATGGCAGATAAGCTTGACACTATCGTGATGGTGAAGGCTCTTGATGATACTGCTTCCAAGAAGTATCCTTTCCCTGTCCCCAGTAGCTACCGATCTATCTTCCGCCATTATTTGGATATCAATGTTGCACCAACCCGACCATTGCTTGCCGGTCTTGCGCAATTTGCTCCATCCGAGCAAGGCAAGGCTTTCCTTGAACGCTTGTCCAAAGATAAGGAAGAATACAAGCACGTTGTTGCTGATGCATGCCGAAATTTAGCTGAGGTTCTCCAATTAGCGGATGGCCAAACTGGAGCATTCTCATCCATTCCCTTTGATTATATCGTGGAGGGCATTTCTCGATTGCAGCCAAGATACTATTCTATCTCATCTTCTGCCATGGAAAGCCCTAGTGTGATTAGTGCCACCGCTGTCACCTTGTCCTATAATCCCACTACCACCCCTGATCGAACAGTTTGGGGTGTCGGTACCAACTACTTGTGGGCCCTCCATCAAGCTACTTACAAGGACTCCGACAAGGGTGTCTATCATCCTGAATACCATGTTAAAGGACCCCGTGATGCCTACTTTACAGACGATGTGCCCAGGGTTCCGATCCATGTCCGCAAATCTAACTTTAAGCTTCCTCGCAATCCTTCCGTTCCTGTCATCATGGTTGGGCCAGGGTAAGTCAAAATTCACCTTTTTAAGGAGCTCTATTCGTGCTTTTCGACGTATCCCATTGTTCTCTAACCATTATATGGTTATTTTTCATTTTACAGTACCGGAGTTGCTCCTTTCCGTGGGTTTGTCCACGAGCGAGCATTCCAAAAAGGTCACGGAAAGCCAGTTGGAACCACTCTATTGTTCTACGGTTGCCGTCGATCTGATGAAGACTTTTTGTATCGAGACGAATGGCCTGGCCTTTTTGAAACCCTGGGTGGTGAATCCCGTATCATCACAGCATTTTCCCGTGAAGGTGCGGAGAAAGTGTATGTGCAGCATCGATTACGCGAAAATGCCCAACAAGTGTGGGATTTGATTGATAAACAAGGCGCCTACATTTACGTTTGCGGTGATGCCAAACATATGGCCAAGGATGTCCAATCTTCCTTCATTGAATTTGCTCAAACCTATGGTGGTAAGGACGCTGACCAAGCTGAACAATATGTCAAATCGCTTCGAAGCAAGGGCAGATATCAAGAAGATGTCTGGTCATAGATTATATTTTTTTTCCCATATACTTTTTAGATTACTCTCTTAACTTTCTTATTTTGCAAAAACTAAACGTATCGTACAATCTTATGTATTTTCTGTAGTTTTCCTTTTCATTTCTGATCCTTTTGCATCCACCCCTCCCTCTGCTCCTCCTGTTTGATGCTTTCAATCTGGTATAGACAATGTAATATTTCATAAAAACCAAAGTTAAAAAAAAAAAAAAAAATTGTGCGAGCGAGATGGGAAATTGGATGGTGTATGGGAAGTGCCACAAGAAAGTGGAGGTTACACTTGTCGGTGACATGCAAGCATAAGTGACAAGCTCCGGTTTTGCCAGATTGGGTCAAAGCTATTGAAGATATCTCTCCGTTTAGCGGCCAGCGATGTCTGTGGATCTCTGCTGTATTGGATACATGCAGCGCACGTCTTTGCAAGCTGGTGTAGTAGGTCCGTGACATAGTTTGTTTTAAAAAGCACCCCACTGTTATTCGACAAGACGTCTGGCGGTGGTGCGCCATGACATAAGGTCAACCCAGATACACAAACATAGTGATGGATGAAAGGTAAAAAAGCAACTTGTGTCCGTCTTTTTCCTGCCTGGTCTGACCTGACTTTATGTCACTTTTCCAACTCCTATCTCCAATACAGCATCCCATCTGATTTTCTCTCTCTATTCCCAACGGAATGAGATGAACTATAGTAGGATTCCAATCTATACCCGATATACGGTAGTGTAGATGTGTTTAGCGAGTGAAAGAGAAAAGAGGTTGGCGGGTGTAAGTTGGGAAGAGCGAGAGTATAAAGGTTTATCCCCCGTCATGTTCTCCCCCTCCTTTTTTTTTGCGCTGCATACAAGTTGCACTGCATTTGCAACAAATAAGAACCTATCTCAATAAAATCTTCTTCTTCTTCTTCTTCTCAATCGCATTCTCTTTCCTTACCTTTCCCCTTCCATTCATTATCCATACACTCACTATCCACCCTCACCATGAACAAGCTTGCACCTTCCGACTACCCTCTGCAACCTTCCTACTCTATCCCTTCTCAGTATGATCCTGGCACTACCAAAATGGAATTGCAAGACACCCTTACTTATGATCGTAAGTTTGTTTGATACTAGATTCTCTTCTTTCAATGCGTCTTAGCTCACTCCTGTCTATCAGCCGCCGCGTTTCAATACATGAACACCGTTCCGCAAGCCATGTTACATGATCCGCAACCAGGAAGCCCCGAATCGACTGCTTCCTCCATCGCCCCTTCTACTCCTCCTACCGCTGTTGTCTCCACACGCGCCCAGCACGCACTCAATGAAATCACCGCCAAGGCATCCTCTCTTCCTGATGCCTTTTATCCCGAATTTCTGCAGTATTCCAAGGAAGCGTACGAGCAATCTACTGGCGTGTCCAACAAGAAAAGACGACGCAGAACTGGTTCTAGAGCCCCCGATGACATGGATGTCATGAGCGATGACGAAGATACGAACGAGTAAGTTTTGTTTTTTCCTCCCCCCTTCATGGCCATAGCCCTTTTCCTTTTTTTTAAAACTCACTGTCCGGCGGCTTTCCGTACTTTTCCAGGTTGAGTACCGCAGAAATTCGTAGACAGATTCATATTCAGTCTGAACAAAAGCGTCGTGCTCAAATCAAGGACGGTTTTGATGAGCTGCGTAGCGAGCTACCTAGCTGCTTCAATAAGAAGATGTCCAAGGTGGCTTTGTTGCATCGTACCGTACAGCATATTCAGCACTTGAAGAACACTCAAATGACCATTTTGAGTGAACTTGAAAGGCTAGTTGCTGAGAACGAACAGCTTAGAAAGTAAGTGTGTTCTTTGTATGCTTAGTTTTTTTTTTTACCCACCCACTCACTCACATCTTACCCACGTTAGATTCCAGGAAAATGCTCTACAAAAGCAGGCTATGGAGAATATGTATTCCATGAGTCAAATGTAGAAAGGTTCTACCTAACTGCCATCCACCCAGAGAAGCAACCTTGTTTCCCATCATATCCCTTACTCATACCCTCCACTTTTTTATATTCCATTTTCCCATAGACCAGCTCCTTTACCTCCCTTTTTTGATATTCGTTTCGTTCTTAAGACACTGCTTAATATTCGTTCTTCTACCTTTGCGTTTTGTTCAAAGCTACCCTGTTAAATTCCCATTCCTTTATAGACGTTACCCGTTTACGGTTAACACACTCGGCCACCCCACCCCATCCTTTCACTTTACCGAGCCCACCACTGGTGTTTTTTCATAGACGGCTTTGCTAGCTATGAAAAAAAGTCATTGGCGTGTTCCATGACATACAACTGTTGAGCTGATCCCTCACTTGCTCTTAAGTATATACCCCTGTCTCCGGACTCCATGTAAGCGAAAGATATCTCATCCAACCCCATCTTTCTTTTTCCCTTTTTTTTTTTCCTTATCTTTGTTGAGAGCCTTTTTTTTTTCTCTCACATCTTTTCCTTTGACTTTTTTTTTTTCCCCTCTACTTTTTCTAATTCGCATCCATATGAGCTTTTGGTTCATGTTATGATTGAAGGTCTATTCCCTCTCTTTTCAGAATCAAAAGCAAAAACCCTTTTTTTAAAAAATCCATCGGTTATGTGTATTTTGGGTGATATTTTAAGGTTGAGTCTAGTGCAACTAAATGCTGGTGGTATCACTGTCTTTTTACTCCGCTTGTCAGCATCGCAATGTGCAGCGGTCGCAAGTCCGCATTGGCTCGCCTGCCAAAAGTGCGGAAACGTCCGTTTAGTCCAGATCCAGTCAATCAAATCAATGTCCTTCCTTTGCCTTGGCTATCACTTTGTCTACCAATTAACTGTTTTCATTAAAATTTAAATACAATGTCAGACAAACAAAGGTGGGTAGAAGGACCAAATTCCTCTGAGTATGGATTGGAAAAAAGCCCTCCAAAGCGGATGTGTAATATACATTGAGGATGGATTTCACACTACTCTATGCTAGTCTGTGTCAGGACCTTTGGAGGCCGGTGACTCCACAAAATACGAGTTGTTGCTATTGACGCTTTCATTCGTCATGGTTTTGCCCAGCACAGTCGGTGTGGAGGGTTCCAGCGTGGCGGTATCAGAATCAACTCCATCCGCGATGGTATCAACTTGGCCAGCGTTCTCATACACCCAGCCAAGACCGTTTTTGACAATAAGGTTCCGCGTAGTGGATTCCCAAAACTCGTTAAGCTTTACAGGGTCATCGCAGAAGTCTTGGAAACTTCGCAACAGTGTATCGGGGTGGGTCATGGCAGAGGTTGAGTTGGCATTCGCGTTGCTCCACTGGTGACCGGTGGTTGCGCTGAACTCTCGTTCTCTCTTGACGCGGGAAAGCAGCGTGGTAGTATGATTGGTGAAGAGTCGATTGTTTACCCAGTAGAAACCGTCACCTCTAGGACGGATCTGAACAAAGGCGACCCCCGATCGATGTATGTATTGATCATAGGGATATGGGGTTTTTATGTAGGAGTATTTGACCTCCACTCCACCCTTTTCAGCCTTATCAAACTTGGAATCTGCTTCAACATCCAGTACAAATCCAAGGTGGCGAACCAGGGCAATCTCATAAAATTGATCAGGCACTTTCACTCTGCTTTGTAATAAATCAATCGGTGGGGGTTGGACTGCCAATCGGATTGGCACCGGGGTTTGGAAAGGATTTTCATTTTCAGAATCCTCAAACGCCTGTTCCACAGATCCTTCCACTAATTTGAGCCCACAGCGTTCGGCTTGCCGACTCCAAGTATGAAGCAAATCTTGAATCAGTTGAGATGTACAACCAAGCCAATTGAGCTGAAAGTGGTAACAGTTTTCTGGGTTGTGGAGTGTATCATAATGAAGAATAGCCGTTTCACGTCGATCGGTACGTTGATTTGTATCGGCATCAATGATAATAAATCGTGACATATCGAACTCGAGCTTGGTTTTATTGGCGGTGTGATGGTCAAAATCACCACTGCTAGAGTCTGACATGTCAGCGGTGGTATTGATTTTGAGCGGCGACGTTTTGGTGTACCAAGCGTTGTTTTGAGCCATAGCGAACGTTCCTTGTAAGCGATAGAAATAGTGACCATCCAAGAATCCATGTCGATTGGAAGACGATACAAACAACGGTGGCTTTCGATTCATCAATGAATTGCCAAACTTTTCAGCGTCCTCGCGGCTATCGATATCAGGGAACGTCCTGATCAACCAGTCAACAAATTCACTTCCGACAAAGGCATTGCGGAACATCGTGAAGTGCCATCGTCGATCATATATCCTTAATCCATACACTGGATCACGCATAGCATCGGCAATGGCCTTGGACTTGGACTCTTTGTTCAAATTTGGACTACTGATCGTCGGTGTTACTCCCCTAACATCAATGGGTTTTAATGCCTTTTCTGCTTCTTTGGCAATGTATGCGCTAGGGTCCATGGTCGTCAAGCATAGGCTAAATTCATTCCCAATCTCCTTCTTGGCTCCCTTTTGCATGTCTTCTCGTTCCGATGGCGTGAGAGACTTGGCCTTTCGTAAACTTTGCCACCATGTATCAAACAAGGCTAGACGTTTCTCTTCATCATCCAATACATCATTTGCGCCACCAATGATATTATGATTCGCTGGAAGCCTCTCCATAGGAACAACAATGAATCGTGATCGCCAGAACCTCAGGTTATCGGTGAGTTCTTCTTGGTAGCCAGCTACCAAGTGATCCAAGTAGTTCCAAGCATACACTAAGTTAGGGTAGTTGAAGGTGACGGTCTTCTGGCCATAGCCATTGATATGTTTGGGCCAAATGGCGCAATGATAGATCGTCTTGTCCGTAGCATATTTAATCTGTCGCACATAACGTCGTACTTCCACGTTTTGGCCAGATGAATCAAACGTCAACTTGTGAACTTGATGGCCCATTGAAAGATAAGAAACGTTGGACTTGCTCACTGCATTCTTCGTTTGGTTGTCGTTCACGAGCGGCCCATTGACATTGGTTTTAACCAGTCCCGCTAACGTGCTACCCGAAATCGATACGTTGGGCATGTCCTTGTTGTCCTTTGTTATGAAGGATGCAGACGAAGCCGTGGGGTCGGCATTGCTGGCAACAAATCCTTTTATAGGCATCTGCTTTTGCACAGGCATGTTGGCAGCTCCTTCAACAATGATTTGGAACCCTTGTGCCAATCGTTGACTGATCATTTCATTCAACAAATTTTCTGTCTTCTTGTATTCTGGCATAGATCGATCGCCAGCCTGATACAAATTGACATCTTCGCTGGCGGAAACAGTGTACATGTAATGATCATACATGTTTTCGAGTTCTTCAGGTGGTGGGAAGTAATCAGTTGTAAGCGGAAGACATGCCGGTGTGACGAGCGATCTCCAATGGACGGCAGGGCCAGAATTATTGTGATCAAATTTAGGAACTGCATGCTGCCATCGCCGCAAATGAGACGTGAAGATGGTCCCCATCTCTTTTGGATTACAAGGGTTCACTTCTATAGACTGTTTGTTGTAGCTGCTTCTCGTCCATGTACGAGGAGAAGGTCGATTGCCTGAAGTGGTGGTAGCGTTAATTGCATTGGTTTTGGTTAAATCACTGTTTCCAGAGTTTCGATTCATGGACGTGACACTAGTCGACAATACCCCAGTTCTAGGTGAGTGTCCACTTTGATGGGTCAAGCTTTTGCGTCGTTCAGTTGACGATCTTGACGTGGCATACAGTCCATTCTTAATGGGAACTGGCTCCACAGTGCTGCGGCCTTTGGTGAAAGGCTCATCATCGTCCACAGGTAGTTTGTCGAACGATGAGGATTGCGCAGCATTTGTCATCTGAAGGGCAGCCGCGCTGCGCCTGTAGTCAGATCGAGGGAATCCAGATCGAATCATCGTGTCGTCCTTGGGAGACGCTCGGAACACGTCCATTGCCCGGATGCCACTTTCGTTATCCTTCTTATTTGGATTATCAAATGAAATGTGAGTGGATCCTTGATGGGATGTTGAAAGAATCGAGGTCACCTTCTTATTCTCGGCATGATTCCAAGTCTTGTTGTAATCGAAATTACTGTCATCTGGTAATACTCCTATGGTACTCGCTCTTGCCATCTCTCGTGAACCTCCCGCACCAAGCGTTAAAATACGAGGGTCAACAATGTGATGTGTGGTCTGGTCTATATCGAAAGAGCTAGAGTGAGGAGGCATAGAATCCGATCTTGCTCCAGAAAGAGGTTGGCCAATAGGAACCTTTGAGACGCTCGATGTCGTCAGTTGTCGAGCAAACCTAGGTCGCCCCGTTTGTCTGAAGGCAAGGCTATCGTACACATCAAAATCAATTTCCTGGTTGGCTTCGTTAGGTATATTTGTGTCTGTAGGCTCTGAATCTTTATGTTCCAACGGAACAGGAGTAGGGTCAACGATGGGTCCGGATCGAGGAAAATAGTTTTCAGCCTTTACGGAACCAGAATTGACGGTATGCTCATCCACTCTGGGAAGAGGCAAAGTTTTCTGCAGTGAAGAGCTCAAATTGCTAATTGCATTGGCGGCAGCAGCGTTTACGAATCGCTCGCCACTGGGTTCATCGTCTGGTTCGCTTTGCGGCTTTTCATTTTCACTTTCAATCAAAGGAATAGATATGTTGGCCATGTCATGCTCCATGATACCCATCATTTGAATCTCGTACATTTTACATCGAGATGTAAACTTTTCCGCCTTTACAAAACGGCCGGTGCTATGTTGAAAGAAGCTGCAGTCAACCCAGTGTGGCACAGCATAATGATTGCTTCGCTCCTTGTCTGTGTCTTCATAGTACAGTGGATCTTGCAGTGCAATGGTTTTTTGCTTAGTCACAACCCCGTTGGTTGGTGGATGCATTCCAGGTGACACATTAGGTACTTTGGCTGGCTTGGTGGATGCTTGAGTTCCGTCTTTTCCATTGCTTGCATCTTCAGGCGGCGGCGGCGGAGGAGGAGGTGATGATTTGAAAACAAATAGCGGAGTGACGTGAAGTGGTACTTGAGAAAGACAGACAAGGTCCATGGCAATACCGTTATCTGTCATTCTTTCGTTTGTCAATCGAAGAAGCTTTTTGCTTGTGGAAAATTTGCCAGCTCCAGGAGTAATCATGATAATAGATAAACCACTTCTGAGCAAATCACGATCAATGTAGTGTCGATCAAATGGATTTAATGCCAAGTTGATGGCTTCCAGGACGTTTCCTTCGTATGCCAACGAGACTTCGCCACAAACCACAGTCTTTCCTCCAATTTTTCGAAGCAAGATGTCTCTTTGAAATGATAATTGCTCCCGCTTGAGTGGGCCAATATACGACATCCAGTTTTCAGTGGTTTCCCAATCGGCAATGACTTTGTAAAAGTCCTTGTATAAGCGACCATCTTCGGCTACGTTGACGGACGGGTCGTCGCCTACATCATCAGTTGCACTATAGAATACTCGAGAGAATAGAACAATTGAAACCACATGGTTGGTAGAAATTGAACTCCAACGGTTGAACAAGTCGGGTAAGAAGTTGTTCACAACCTTTTCAAAATAGAGTTCTCCGTCCTCATCGAAATCCCACATCTCTTTCGACATTTGAATAAAGAGGAAAAATTTCGCTGAACCTGATCGGAATATTGCTCTTGTCGATGAATCAACATAACCAGATGTAACCTAGGTACATGAATACGGCTCGTTCGTTAAGTGCGCTGAGAAAAGGCTGATATAGATGTCTTTCAGAGTACGCTTACCATTCCATCCTTTGAAAACAAGCGCTTTACCGTAGCCTTGATTAACCCAGCATAAAGTATCTTCTTTTCAGAATAAACGCATGTTCCCCGAAGGCTCTGCTGCAATCTCCACATATCACTTCTTCCGATATATTGATCGCTGAATGCCAACTCGATGTGTCGTAACATTACTGGGGCTGTGTCAATCTATAATTTAAACTTGTCTTAGTAAACATAATCGAATACCGCACCAAAGAAGGACAGAGCAGACTTACTGGTTCCACAACCACTTCCAAGCGCGAACGCCATATGAGCTTGTCGGCCAAATCTTTATGCAATGATATCTAAAGTATGGCCGCGTTCAGTCGGTTAAATCAAAAATGTAAGCATATTGTTTTGATACCAACCTGTAACTTCTTTTCTATCTGTGATTTATCTACTTCAGCGACTTGCACTATGATAGGCTCCGTTAAAGACGGGCTACGCTCCGTCTGTGCTTGAGTTTGCTGCTGCTGTTTTTGGTGCTGAGTCTGCGCAGGCGATCCGGATGCTAATTGTTGCTGCTGTTGAGAACTTTTTGACAAGGTCAGGCGAAGAACTTGCCGTGGGCGTATGTTAGGTAGGAATTCGGGATTCACTACACAATCATGATTGGCGAATGTGGAGGTATTTTCGTGAACCCAAAGCGTTAGAACTTTTGATGGCTGAGGCTGTAAAGGTGGTTGAGGTTTATGTGCTTTTATTGCACTGGCGACAGGCGAAGCTGCTCGTGCCGGTGCCATACGTAACCAATGGGAGCAAATGTACAAAGCAAAAAGGTTATATACGTTTGGTTTATTAACTTGATATTGGGGGGGGGAAATTTTCTGGGTGCAAGGAGTTTTTATGAGACATTTATCGCTGAATGGACATGCGCTTTCTGCCTCCAGTACTGAGACCTCTAGTGATCTTTGGAGGCTCTACGTGGAGAATACCCATTTCATCACATTGGCTTAGAGCAAGGTTGATTCGCACAGCGAGACGATACTCAAACTCAAATTTGCTGTAGGTCAATCCCGTCTCCCATAGTTTACGGCTTTTTTGCGTTTGGCCAAGTCCCCAAGTGGTGATGCCAGCCTCCCAGTAAGCATATGGAACGACCCAGGTATCTTGCTTGATCATTTCTTTGTGATCCAAAATCCAGTTGAGATGCACGATAGACTCACGGAAGCGACCCAAGCAGTTTTGAAGAGAGGCCTTGATGAGTAGCAATACTCCGCGTTGGTCAAAGTAATTTGGCGGTGTTTGGCTGGGAGCTAATTCACGCATGCGAAGATCATACTCTTGCTTTTCTCGTTCGTAGATACGACTCAATGCGCTGTCCACAGCACCAAGGCATTGCTCTAGGTTTTCAGGAGACATATTGGGGAAGCAATTCCAGATCAAAAGGATTTCCAGGGCTCTGATTTGGTCAATTCACTGGTTAATCAAACCGCAACTTTGCTCTCTTCTCACTAAAGTATACTTACGGGATGGAAAAGTCCATATCTTGATATCCAGACAGTTGGAATTGCTCAATCTTCCGAAGAACATATTGCTCAGCAGAAGTGTTCTTTTTGTTGGAGAGCTTACTGACTTCAGCAAATGCCAAAATAGCGTCAGTTCTCTGACCCAATAGATCCAAGCAACATGCCGAAAAGTATTTGCAGAATGCAGGAGACCAGTAGTTCTCTTCATAAAGTGTCTCAAAAATCTCTCCTGCCGATTGCCAGTCCAGCTCCATAGCATAGTTAAAGCCAGATTCGTATTCTGATAGATGTCGAACTTCCACTTCGGCCCATTCACCCACACTGATTTCACTAGCATAAATGAATGATTGTGTCGACAAAGGTATGTTCTTTGCCAATCTTGATACTCGGCCAGCAAAATAGAGGAAGAAGGCAGAGTTGGGATAGTTTTGTTGAGCATCTAGCAAGCATTCAATAGCAGGTTGGGTCAACTCAGATGCCAATATTTGCGGAGCAAATGAGGTCAAAACGCAGTAGTAGGTCAATAGCCTGTTAAGCAAGTATAATTTGTTATGAGCTGCGAACATGCAACGGCGAGTGGATGAGTGGAAGCTGCTTACATCATAGATGCCAAAGGGGATCTAATTCTTCTGCCTTCCAGACAGAGTTTCAACAGGGCAAATCCGAGATGTTTGTCAGCTCTCCAGCCAAAAGCCGATACTAGCTTGAGGATCTTTGGCGGTAGAGACGACAAAAGTAGATGGACGGATCCAATACTAGAGATCGAGTCGTAATGAGTACTTTCATCTGGAAACGCTGTCTGTCAATAATCAAACCTACCCAAATTGAATGGCAGATATAGTGTCTCTATCCATATGCTCGTTGAAGGATTGTCCCATCTTCTTGTATTCTTGCCACACCAAACTATAGCTGTTATAAGCTATATACCGCAATCGTCAGTCAAGAGCAAATAAATATGCTTGTCCTTTCATCGCTATTTACCTGTTCTGAGATTTAGACCGACTTTCAAATAGCCTACAAGACTCTCTTGGCAAAGCTGCAAGATGGAAATCAACAAGCAGCATTCTGCTTTGATGACATGAGCACGCAACGCTCCGTTAGACATGAAATTTTGCTGATTGTGCTTCTCCTCTTTCTTCAAGGGAGGAGTGTTTGTGGGCAATCCAGTGGTATTACCGCCCATGATATTGGAAAAATAGTGCGTTACGGTATCCTTCAGAGGCTTTCTGGCTTGTGCCACTTCAATCTGTGCATTTGCAAACTTTGCAGCTTGATGCAGGGTATCCATTGCAACCTTCATATCAGTTTCATTGAATGTCTAGAAACGGCATCGCATTAGTATTTCTCTGGACCCAATCGCAAACAGAATCCATGATATCTTACCATAATGGCTATAAAAGTCAGTCGTACAAGGCACATGGTCAGTCTCAGTTATATCTACATTAAATCATCCGCGATACCTTGCCCTGCTGCTCTTTAAACTTACCTTTAATAAAAGCCATTGATCCCAATCCGAGTGCATATAAAGGATCCCTAAAAGGTGAAATACATCATGAGTAAACTATTACTTGATGACGACAATAAGTGTTTTTACTTACTCGTTAGCTTTGCTTTCGAACAAAGCTTTTGCCTTCATGAATTTGTTGTTGAAGAACAACCCCATTGCCTTCAGCATATCCGAATCTAAAGGTCGGTAGTGAAAGAGATGTTACTTATCGGTGGCTATAAAGTAGGCTTTTTTTTTTTTTTAAGAAAAAAGCAAAAAAAAATGCTGACGGTGTCTTTACCATATTCTTCTTGTTCACGTGGGGTCAAAAAGTTTGGCTTTACAGCCTTCAAATCAATGGGTGGCATAGAAAAGGTAGTGCTGCTAGAACCTTCGCTTTCCATGGCATCATCCTCCATTTCACGACGGAATTGTTGGTCAGCATACGATGGTTCAGCACCTGGAGTAGGAGGACTCATGTATTCCGCCATATTGTGTTCCTCTACAACTTCTTCGTCATCCTTATCTACAGGTCCTGACATAACATTATCATAAGCAGCAGCCGATGATGCTGGGATAACAGAAGCAGCTGTTGTAGGAAGAGGATTTGCTGGCTTCTCTTCTTCTGGCGAGGCTATAGCATCATTGGATTCGCCATTGTTGGGCGTTTCTGGTAGTGGATCTGGTACAGGCGAGCTGGGTTCGCTAACCTCAACGGTGCTTGATTCTGTCTTGATAGACAGTGGTGCAACTGTCTCATTACCCTCTTTGACTTGCTCGGGAACAGGTACATCTGATCCCTGAGAAGGCTCCGTTGATGGCTGGCTAACCTCTTTGGGAGACTCTGATTTAGGTGCAGCCAGCTCGATCTTCTCCACCTCTTCCTTATGTCCATTTTCGACTACCTTTTGTTCCTTTGCTTCTTCAGATTCAGATTTTGACTTCTCAGACAAATCATTGGTGGCGACGTTCTCCGGTTTTGTTTCAGATTGAGTTTTTTCTTCTTGTACAATAAACTGAGTTTCGTCAAGTGATGGTATAGGGGGAGTCGGGAAAGTAGGTATCTCATCATCATCGTCTTCTTCATCGTCTTCGTACGCTTCAGTCACTTTACCTAGCTTCTTTTGGCGTTCTTTTTCCTCTTGTTCATTGATGGAATCTCGTAAAGCACTCAGAACGAAAGAAAGCTCTCGAGGCTTGGGTTTTTCCTCAGGGGGTGAAGAGACAGGAGCAATGGGAATGACCAAACTTTTGTCTCCTACTTGGGCAGTAGAAGTAGTCTGCACAGCTTGCTGGGGACTCAAAGGGGTATTATTGGCTGGCTTCGACTTGGGTGATTTAAGGGCACCACCGGGTTTTATTTGAATGTTCTTCCATCCGGTGGTCGCCTTTTTGCCCTGAGAACCAAGCGAGGAGTTGGATTTAGAGGTCAGAGGATTAGAACCTTTGGCCATAATATTTTATACAAGGATCGGGTAAAGGAAAGGAAGTAATTTCACAAAGATGAGAAATGCGATGGGAGCTTTTTCGGACACACTATTATATTGACTATGGGCAGGGAATTTCTCGATTTCCCTAGGTTGCACCAATTGCTTATGCGGAGGTGCTGCGCTCTTTCATTACATCCTCTATCACCGTCTGCGCTCTCTCTAATTTGCTAATACTTGATGGAAGCCGCTAACGACAGAATATAATTAAGCACTGTTCCTCTCGTTTTATCATTTTTTCTTCACTTACCTGCTTCAATTTAGCCAGCTGCTGAACACCGACCTCATACGCATGTGATATTTCCAACAGGTTGGTGGGGATTTGCAGATCTACACGTTGTTGTTTTAGTCCACCAAAAATCAACATCCATGTCCACTTGTACATAAAGAAACCTACCCATATCATTGTGCATCTCCTGCCCGTCTTCAAACACTATTCGATCCGCCAACGTTGACTGCCGCCGTATAGCATCTTGCATTAGCGGTGTGATCTGGGCTGGTATATTGCTTCGTTTTCGAATCACTCTCTCTTCTAATTCTTTTGCTGTTTTCTCTGCGCTTTCTGCTCGAAGCTTTAACGATTCATCTACAGGCTCAATTTCTAAGGAGATATTGGTCGATAAGCCCCTCTAGAGGAATAGTTTATCTGGTATGGAATTCACCTACCATCCTGGTTCTGAAGTGCTTCGTGGTAATCTTGCCCATTGATCTCGATACTACTACTCGCCAGTTCAAATATCTCTTGAACCCACTGAAAAGAAGACGGTTAACCTCGGGAATGGTGATTGGGGGGAATGCATGAGAACGAGACCGATGCTTACTTCACCCATTAGCTTCTGTACTTGGCTCTGGGTAGTTTCATCTGCAGGATCGGTAGCGAAATGCTGTGCAGTAGCATCGTTCGCAGCATTTTGAAGTTGACTTATGAGAAAGTGTATGTCTTCTTTGCTGTCGGTTTGAATTTTTGGGATATCCATTTTAAAAAAAATTGGTTACTTCTGAACCTTGCAACGCGTTACTGTCGTGAAGTGTGACTGCAATTCTGCGCACGGTCGTAGCATTTTCAAAAAAAAAGTAGAACTTGAAATGTCGACACAATCTTAAACATGAGCTTCCGTAAATATAAGCGCTACGTAGAGGAGGGCGATGTAGTTGCCATTCATATGGTAAGAATAACCATCAAAGACATATGTTAACATTGCGATGCTGATTCTAAGGGTGTTTGATCTATAGGGTAGAGACACCCTCAAGGCTGTCACTGTTGTTAAAGATGAGATCCAGTCCAACAAATTAGGCAGCTTTCCTCATAACGACTGGATAGGAAGAGAATATGGCTCTAAAGTAAGGAAATTGATGATTATGAAGGATCCGGTGCCTCTACGCTCAGTAAGATTATGTCGTTATAACGCTTGCCCATCATATCTTCATTAGGTTTATTCAAAAAAAGGAAGCTTCGTGTATCTCTTGCACCCTACTCCCGAATTATGGACGTTGATGCTTCCACATCGCACACAGATTCTGTACCTAGCTGATATCTCATTTATCTCAGCATATCTTGAACTAAAGCCGGGAAGTAGAATGATTGAGTCTGGTAGGGATCAGCACTTTGAGACTCGTTGAGCAGAGGCAATGATTCAACATCTAAACGATCTATAACCTTGAATGATTGTAGGAACTGGCAGTGGATCCTTCTCACACTCAATTGCTCGAACAATCGCACCCACTGGACACCTCTTTTCTTTCGAGTATCACGAAGAAAGAGCCAATCTCGCCAGACAAGAGTTCAAAGATCATGGACTCGAAGATCTTATAACGCTGACACATCGAGATGTTTGTAAAGATGGATTTGGTCTCTCTGACACAGTCAACGCAGGTAAGAACAATGACGCTAAGTGGACATATTGACGCATCACTTGGGATAAAGGTCATGGACTCATACGTCTTTCATATAGTCTTTTTGGATCTTCCAGCACCATGGGAAGCGGTCGAATCGGCAAAAAAAGCATTTAAGCAACACCGAACTGGAAAAATATGTACTTTCAGTCCGTGCATAGAACAAGTCAGCAAAACTGTAGCAGCCTTAAACGAGCACAAGTTTGTTGGTAAGGAAAAATGAAACAAAACAACCTGCCTTGTTCATGTAAACTAATTAGAGCATGATGGTAGATATTACAATGTTTGAATGCTTGATCCGAAACCAGGAAGTATACAGCGTCAAGAAACTCACTGTAGATCACGCGATCCAGAACATTCGATATATGGATGCTCGTCGTAAAGAGAACAAAGCCAAGGCTAAACGTAGTATCGATGAAGTCAACGAAGAAGAGCCAGTGACAAGCGTCTCGCCCGTCGCTGAAGACGATATACCAGATATGACGATATCTAGAACTCGACTTGAGATGAAGGGCCATACAAGCTATCTCACCTTTGCCACGTTTTTGCCTGTTGAAGCGGGGACAGCTCCTGCTGCCACCGAATAAAAAATTAAAATGCAGCCGTAGTGCCTTAAAAAACCCTTGTCTCCGAAATAACTTTAGAACCTCATCGTCTCATGTTCCTTTCAAAGTTATTGAGTGGTAGGAATAACTTGAACAAACCTAAGCAGGAACTGCTAACGGACGCATGGACATCTGTACAGCGCTACTACGAAACGGCATCTGATCCTCTGAAAGATGCCATTGAACTCACCCCGATCCCGACCTGTCTTCAGAACATTGTAAAGCTAATCCAGTCTGAGGAATTCGATTACCAACGCGCCAACGATAATCTCGCTACAGGTCCGTGTTTGGAATATCTTCTCCAGACCCGCGTGCTGGAAGAACTTGTGGAATTCGCAAAAGTAGATGCAAGTATTAGCCCCCTGGAGGCACCTCAGTCTTCGATCTTATCGATATCATTTCCCTCTAACCATTCCTTTAACAGACCCCCTATGGTATGCGTGTACACTGTCTACGATTTTTCACAAGTTTGATTACGAACGTGCATGCCCAGATACTCCCAGAACGGGCTGTGCATGTCCCACTACAAAAAATCATCCAATCATGTCACCGATTGATATCACATCACCATGAACAGCTTGCTCAAGGACTTGAATGCTCAGAAGAGAGACATAGTGCTATTGCAGAGTTATCTCTCGAACTCGTCCGCTTGATTCACGCTGTTTTCTCTCATTTCAAAGGATCCAATGCCGCTTTGATGGATCTATTCTTTGAACGAGGCTGGTGTAGAGGACTTGGAGAAAAGGTTTGGCGTAATACTGGGAAGGACGCCAAGTCAAGACATCGAAGGAGAGAGAGCGTGGATGATAAGATTGCGTGGAATGTCTTTCTGATGCCCAGATTTGACATGTTCACCTACTTGCTCGATTACATGAATATCCCGGGAGAAACTAGCGAGATTGCTCGCGAAGCTATGTTGTTTGCCTTACGACTTTTGAACGGCGATCCCGAATATGTTTGCTATGTTGTTGAATATTCTGGCCTTTGTGAAGTCATGGTAAGAGTCAAACCAGAGAACGCGCTATATACTCCATGTTGTTAACGCTTTGTTTACCCTTTCTTTTAGGCTGAACGTCTTGCCTTATTGTTCGTTCACTTGCCAAAGACCATTGGCTCCTTTACAGTATCTTCCACATCTCGTCCAGTTCCCGTTCGACCACCTTTACGGAGGGTCCATTTTTCAGTGCCGGCTGTTGTCGCGACCAACAATTTAGCCGTCGCAGCTAGTGCACATCATAGCTTTATCAAAAAGCGAAGAAAGAGAAGTCCATTTGATGCAGATTTTGTTCGATCCTTGGAAATGATGGCAGACGGAGAGCGTATCGTTGATGAATTCTACAGTTTCTGGGAGTTACTGAACGATATGGCTCGTGTGGGTGAAAAGCGATTGACAACTGCACTCACCGCCCAGCTGACTACCACCTTTTGGCATCCAGTCATCTGCACTGCCCTAAGTTCAACATATCCAGAGTTAGCCATCGCGACAACAAAATATACCACGGAGATGATCAAATCTCTTACCGACCAAATGTTGTTACAATCCTTCTTGGTTATCCTGATAGGCGAAAGAGGTGGTGTTGGCAAAGATTTGGAGCCGGAGGTTCGACAGATCCCTATCTCTGAGCAAGACAAGGAATCTGTCGAGGAGGACGCAACGGCCGAAGAGGCAAAGGATCAGGACGAACAGGATCAATCACCTCAAGACGCCGCTGCAAATCAAGAAGAGACTACTTTGAGAAGACTACTCATTTCCCGCATCAACCAAGAGCCTGAGTTGTTGGCATTATGTACTTTACGACTTTTCGACACCATTTTAGAAACCTACAACCAATTTGCGGTGTATAATCTAGTTCTCAGAAACTACTTGGATATTACGCCGGATGGAAAATATGTTGACGAGGTAGAGGAGCAAAATAAGTCAAGTTCTGAAACTTTAGATGGGAATGAAGACAAATCTGTCACTAGCCATGATCGAGGCGATGACGAAGTGTCCAATGCTGACGAACTTGATACTCATGTTGCCCCGGCTGCAAACAAAGGGAATCAAAAGGATCCTAAGGTCCGTTGGTTAGTTGAAAGGTAATGTACTAACAGCATTTATAACGCATTGTGCTTACGGTGACGTTTGTTGCGCAATATCATTTACCGGTGTCCATTTGTTAGGATATTATCATTATTGCCTTTAGAAGACGAATTAGAGCGCATGAAGACTCCGCCTGTGTCCAGTTTGATTACATCTGATCACCATGGACATCATATACGACCTAGCCAAGACAGTATGCACGAAAAGTCATTGAGTGAGAACGATACTCGTAGCTTCGACGGTAGCATTCATAGTAGCACATCTGGATCAGCCTCCCTTATGGTTCCTGGTAACAGCTATGATGATTACTTCGTTGAAGCACAAGAACGACTACAATATGGGCTTTTGGCTCGCAACTTTTGGGTTACGCCTTATCCACCTATCAAGACACAGCTTGATCGCGATCGGGAACTCGAAGACCTCCGCGGTCGTCCTAAGCGAAAAAGTATGGCTTTCACTCAACAAGCCTTGATAGAGGAAGAGGAGCCTTTAGAAGGCGAAAAGGACAGTAATGAAAATGTTGGAAAAGCAGAACCCAAGCTTGAAAAAGCGACTACCGCTGGTCACTACGAAGGGCTTTTCTTATCCGTCTTATTTGATGAATTTGCCAAGATACTCGAAGCTAGTCTGGAGCGTAACTTGATCATTACTAGTATACTAGCCAAAATTGTCGGCATCGTCGACCGAAGAGTGGAAGGTGTACTTTGCGATTTAAGAGCCATTCGACAAGGCGAAGACGGTACATTCTATGGTGGTGTTTGGACCCTGGCCAGCGGAAGAGGAAACCGTCGCAGCTTGTATGCACTGCTTGAACAGGTAAGGAAGCGAAACATTATAACGTAAGTGAAAGTATTCATGCGTTACTAATTTCGCAAATGTGCTTCCAGATTACATTCGAAGCCTTAAGACGAGCACAAGTGGTACCTAACTTCGAAACTAGAATATCCATTGCCAAGAGACGAGGTTTGACCACAGCTCAAATACCCTCAGCACCGCCTAAAATGAAGGAATCGAAATCGCTATTGCGCAGTGGATCAGGCATACTTTCTGGTCGTAAATCAGATATAACCAGACGACCAAGCTTGTCTCAGCTAGTCTTCAAGGGATCAATGAACCAGTCTGATCCAGTTCCCCCTATTCCCCAACCAATGCCCAGTATGTCTACATCTGTATTGTCGGATAAATCCAAGATGTCTCAAAGCACCATCCCACCTCCACTACCCAGCAACAACTCGACTTCGACTTTCTTCCAAAACCCACGAGCTAACTTCACACCCGTCACTATGACCAACCCATTTGCAAAGCTCTCCAACTTTGTACATTCCTACATCGTCTTGCAAGAATTCTGCAAAGAAGTGGCTGCTGCAGCCCTTGTTTTACACTCCACTACCTTTGCCGATCGAGAGCTTACACCTATGCAACAGGTCGAATGGCTAGAGGAATCAGAATATGTTAGTAGTTACGACAAGATGAAAAATCGGATGTCTGTCATGTCTGTTCAAGAATGGAGAGGTGTAGACGATCCTGATCAAGAAGAAAGAAGTTTGGAGGCTATGGGTCTTGGTGGCCCTGTTGGTGGTCTGGTTTCTTCAAGCCAGTGGTAATCTATCAGCGTAGATGCATACTAGAACAAAACATCATGAAATGAAGAAAGGCTATTTTAAAAAACTCTGTGTACTTATAGACTATATCGCAATATCCATATACGTTAACTATGACCCAGAGGACCATTTTTTCCATGTTTTTTATTCTTAGTTTACATCCATTGTGGATTCTATATTACATGCCTCATTTGCCGCTTTTCAAGTGCGAAATAAGAATGCCAGCTGCAACACCAACGTTCAAGCTGTCCACGGCACCGATACGACTATCCTGCTGAAGTCGATCAATGCCTAAGAAATAATCACAGCTGGTCTGAACATTTTTGCGAAGGCCAATTCCTTCGTTGCCTAGAACAAGGACTCGAGGCTTTTTGAGCATGGACGCATTTTCAGCATGGATCATAGTTTTCAAGTTTTGATATTTTTCCTGTCCAAAGCCGGACTGTGCATCTTGCCCTTCCGCTCCGATGATAGTCCAACCATTCTGTTTTGATGCCTGTAAAGTTCTATGAGTATTAGTGTCGGTATGGTCAATAGCATCTATCAACTTACTTGAAGGAACTTGGGAAGTTGCTTTGTAGAGTGTATGTCCATGCACTCCAATGCACCAGCGCTGACTCTCGATACAATATTACTCAATGGTGCACTGCAAAATTATGCTTGTAAGCTACCTTTCTTCCTATTCTTATTTCCGAGCATGCTAAAGCTTACCTGTTCTTAGTGCAAATCACAACGCCGTCAACTGCAAAAAAATATGCCGTCCTACACAGACATATTAGACGAGGAGCCATGCATTACATTAGCACAATTGATTTATATTGTTTACCTTAAAATCGATCCCAAGTTCTGTGCGCAAAGTCATAAACAAATTTCGTTATAATGTGAGCAATGGGAATGAAATACGCTCGCAATGCTCAAGTTTCGTACCTGTGGATCCTGAATCTCATCAAGGGCGAGCCATAACGGAGAGGACTCTGATCTAAAGTGAAAATATTATTATGATGTAGACTTTCTCCACTAAATAGCTTTGTTACCAACCTATCATCATCTGTTGAAGGTAGTGTCTGAAGTGATATAGTATCGAGATGTGTAGCTTGCAGTACGATACCCTAAGATTGTAGCATGCTTTAGACCATGTACCTCAATTCACGATACATTCCACCGTTGCTACGCACCTGATGTGGCCTGTTCTGTGTTAAATTGTTCAGCTCCCCTTTATCCGTTCGGATGATGGGTATATCCATTGTACCTGCTAGTTTAAGGATCTCTTCCAAAAGCACGCTAACAAGTAACATTATTTTTCTGCGTATAGTCACACAATCAATTATTTAACATACTCGTCCTTCCTCTTAGTAGTAAACTGGCTTTCACTTGTCCTCCTTTGTATAAATAGCTTTTTTGGACGTCTTTTTTTGTTCTGTAGCGCCATAAGTACGCTTGTTTGACCAAATAGGTGATCAAAGTCGTTCGTCGGGAATGCTGACGATCGACGGGACAGAGGCCTGTAATCTCGCGTTCCCGTTTGTAAGCACCGAACTTGTATGTCTGTCTGAACTCTCCAAACGTTAAACGACCGATGAACCTTGAGCGATGTCAAGCCCTTTTGAATTGCTTGCATTTTCAAACTTACAATCAAGCAATGTGGCCATGAAAAATTTCCATTCTGTCTCGTTTTCAGGTCCCGCGCAAGCATTAACGCTGGGGGGGAAAATTTTGTTAAGAAACTTTTTGGAAACCTGTCAAAGCGTCGAAAAATTTACTATCCGACAATGCAAAGGACATCCTCAATGAGGGTAGATTCAGTCGCCTTAGACGTTGATGGTCCTGGGCAAATACACAGACTATCGGGCGATGAATTACAAAGGCAGTACTCTTACGCTTCAACAGCACCATCAGCTCCGGAAGAACCTCGACGCCGATCGACACATCCCAGAAGGTCTACTTTAATGTCCTTGAACAGCAATAAAGACGACAAAAACAAACTTCGAGCAAGAAAGAGAAGCAAAGCGAGGCTCGCCAAAGCAGAAGATTGGATCCCAGAATGGAGGCGTTTCAGCATCAAAGATACTTTTGGTATTATTTTTGCTCTTGCCGGAGCTATTCTTACCTTGATGTGTTTAACGAGTGCCACCAGTAGCTCCATGAGCAACGTATACTTTGCAAGAGTTTACAAACGAGACGGAGGTGTAGGAGAAGCAAGATTTGGGCTACGAGGTTACTGCATTTCTACACAAAGCTCCTCCATGCAATGCTATCCCAGCACTGACTTTATATATATACCATGGGGTACTGAGTGCATTTTTCTTGACCTCCAAAGATATAATGTATCAACTAAGCAATATATTCCATTCACACTACAGATGCGACTACGTCTAAATTTCTCAATACGACGTTTCCTACATGGTTCGAAGATTCAATCACTCCAGATCAAGACATTGATCCGCTAGCAACTCCTTCGCCCCCTCACGATGTATCTATCACTGCAGCCATGAGCATCTCAGTTATATGTGCACTTATTGGAATCATTTGTCAGATATCTCGATTTATTCGTGGCTTTAGATATGGCGATTCCAATTATACCAGAGGATTTTTGCTTGCATTCGCCACCGTTACCTCTCTCCTTTCCATGGCCTTATCACTTTTGATGTACTTGAATGGATGCCAAGAGTTGGAAACTGAGTATCCGCATGTTCAAACTCGCATAGGACCATGTTTAGCTATGATTGGTACAGCCTTTGGCTGCCTTCTACTCTCTACAATCTTGTTCTTTGACAAATTCTTGCATGATGATAGGCAACTTTATTGAAAGTAGCTTCAGTTTTCAATAGCTTTTCTTACTTTTCTTTTATTTAATAGTTTTATATAATTCCCTTTTGATTTTCCATTCAACCTCGTCTTTGCAAAACTTGTAATTATTACATGAGGGAGTGAATCTTTTGAACTCCAGCCTGAAAAGCATGTGACCATAGACGGCGGAGAAAGAATGTTGCTCGAGAACCTTTGGGCAGTTCAACAGAGCAAAAGTCTCTCTGTTCTGTTCTTTCTGATTGCAATTTCTATGCAGTCCTAGTTCAGCATGGAGCCAATATCTCAGTCAGCGATGGTAGATCAAGAAACCAACGGTTTTGTCTCTTCACCACCGAAAACAGCTACTGAATCTGACTCTGATAAGCACTTTTCCGCCCCGCCGACTCCATATACCGACGAGCAATCTCCAACGATACCTCAAACCATATCTGTATCTAATAATGTAACGGACGAATCAAACGAAAATAGTCATTTGGAGCAGGAGGCTTCACAATCAGAGTCTCCAGAGAGTCCCACTGATTCCGACTTGCCCGCATCGCTAGAGCGTCAGCATCTTGACCAGGTCAAAGATAACGAACAAGATAGTGTCACTGACCATGGTATTTCCGATCAGCAGGCAATTTCTATTCAAGACTTCGAACGATCTGAATCATCTGATCTGGCCCCAGGATCCACCCAAGTCACCGAAAGTGCTCCCACAGATCCTGAAGACGAAGTACCACTCTCACCTGTAGTCAGTGAAAACATAGAGCCTCAGGGTGATAGCGTTCGGGAGCATAATACTCTAGAGCATCAAAGTAATTCGGGTGACCAGTTGATTTTACTTGAACCTGAAGTTGACCGAGATAGTTCTGATCAATCGGGAGCGCCTGGAGAACCCGAGATCACGTATGCAGTCCCACCAACCACTTTACCCTCCGATACTGTGATTGCATCGCCAGCGACGGACCAATCCCAAAGCCAAAATGATAGAATTGAAGCAAATTCATCGCAGGTTTTACCCTCCACCACCTCCTCGACGTTACTTCATCCTTCTCTCCCTGATATCATTATCCCACGAACCCATTCTCAGTCGCAGACGATAAGCACGAGCCGTGTGTGGGAAGCAGATAAAGATGCCAACGATTGTAGACGATGTAAAAGACGATTTAATTTCCTCGTTCGACGACATCATTGTCGGTAAGTTGCAATGTGTTTATTTATGCCAGTAAGGTGCATCGTACTGATTCTGTGACCTTATCTTTTTGTAGACGATGTGGGCAAGTGGTATGTGATAGGTGCTCGACCCACCGAGCCAATATGGCCCGATCACAGATTGTACAGGACCCAAGTATACCCGGCTGGCAGCAAGTTCAGATGGCAAGCCAACCTCAAAGGATTTGTGATAAATGTTATTCAGAAATGCGACCCACCGTCAGTTCCCGTTCTGCCACAGCGCCTCCTATGCAGCCACAGCGCATACCTGGCCACTCTGGCCATATACGCAAATCTTCCAGCTCACAAAGCATTATGAGCGAATGCCCGGTATGTGGAAAGAGGCTTTGCGATATCAGCTTGAACAAATCTGCGCAAGAAGAACATGTCCAAACTTGCCTCAATGTTGGCAGTCCTTCAGTGGCTACTGTTCGTTATGTTTGTAAGTCACAAGCTCATTTTTTATTCATGCTTTCCCAATGCCATGCTGATGGTGACCTAACTCCTATTATTATTCTTTAGCATATAAATTACCAGAACAATCACCATTAATAGGACAAGAATGTCTCATCTGTTTCGAAGAATTTGAATCAGGTATTGTGTAATGAGAGGGGAGGGGTTTAAACCCCAAATGAAACAACATTCGATCGGTGGTCCTCTAAACATCAATTTTTACCTTCATAGGCGATACAATTGCAAGACTGACATGCTTGTGCTCATATCATCGCCATTGTATAAGAGAATGGTTGGAGAAAGGCAAAGGTTGCCCATTGCACGTTCAGATATCGATGGGTCTTTGATTACAAAATTAGGCTTTGCAAACTTCGTTCCAGGCGGGCGGGGTGTCACAATGTCATCATCGACAGACCCTCCACTTACGTTGAGAAAAATATAGCCTTTTTTACAACCCTTTGTTCTATCTCATTTTTCTCTTATATAATTGACATCACCTTTCACAAGTTGTATAAAAATTCTCCTTTACTACCTTACCTTATATCTTTTTCACTATTAAAGTCCTCCTGCCTTTGCCAAAACAATGGCAAATGAAAACGATGGATCGTTCTTGAGTTCCGTTCTTACAGCTGCCTCGTCTACTGCAACGTCGCTTGCCACCAATTTAAGCGATCGATTTCAAGAATCACCGCATGGAAGCAGCGGAGAAGACCATACAGAAAAATCTCAATCAGAAAAGCCCGTCGATGCCAAGGGCGGTCAGGTTGCCGCTAACCCAGCTATGAACTTGAATAAACAGCGTCATGGAAGAACCCATTCACATACTATCTCGGGCGATCGTCCACCTGTGATAATAACCGATCATAGACCTACTGCGTCATTCCACAGACGCAACTCGGATGGAGGATCGCCAGGGTTGGGAGCTTCCATGGTGGCAGACAATTTACTACCAGCAGCCCCTTCCACAACCACTGCCACTTCCGATACCGCCATCTTCTCCAGCACAGCCCCTTCGCTATCGTTAGAGCACTTATCGCTTAAACCCACAAGTCAATCCGAAACTGGGAGTGTCAATTCCGCGTTCTCTGATACCACGGCGACCAACAATGACCAAGGAACGCCTATTGCTGATCCCGAACAGCCTGTCACAAAGGATATGTTGGCGGTTCCTAGACGAAGGAGTCGTCCTAGAGGTTCAAGTGTATCGACGACCAACTCTTTAGATGCGAAAGGAACTTCGCTCAGTCGCTCAAATAGTACTGCCTCTCGAACCACTGCCCTTCGGCGTAAAGACTCCGACGATACCGACGCCGATAATGCTTCGGAAGGAGGTCAGTCTGCTACAGCTGGCAGCATTGCAAGCGCGTGTGGTATGGAGCTCGCCAACGCCAAGCGAAATAGTGACTATCACGCCTTGTTTAGAAGTGTTCCGGAAGAGGATGTTCTGGTTGAAGGTTTGTGGGACATAATCTGATAGAGGAAGGGAAGCATAAGGTATATCTGCAAGTAGCTAACCATCCGTTAACTTACATCAGATTATGGATGCGCTCTTCAGAAAGAAATTTTGGTGCAAGGTAGAATGTACATTTCCGAGAATCATGTTTGCTTCAATGCCAATATCTTTGGATGGGTCACCAACGTAAGTAAAAAACAATATTGGATAATTCTGTATACATTCGGCGCTGATGCTTTCTTCTGTCAATAGCTGGTGATTGCGTTCACGGAGATTGTAGCCATTGAAAAGCGAATGACGGCAAAAATCATCCCTAACGCCATTCAAATCTCCACTTTGCACTCCAAGGTAAGTACAACCGCATGATAAAGCATTTATGCTTTCCCACAGCCTGACCATGTTTCGTTTTATAGCACCTTTTCGCCTCTTTCCTGTCTCGTGATCAAGCTTACGATCAACTTATTGATATTTGGCATGTCGCTCATCCAACTCTGCATAATGGAAAACTTTCCGCCAAAGAAAACAGTGTAGACAACGATGACGACAATGATGAAGATGAAGAGGATGAAAGTGACTATAGCTACGAAGAGTACTCGGGTTCAGATTATGATTCCGCTGAATATACGGAAGTAAGCGACGATGAAGAAGAAGGTAAGTAATTCTTTGGCTAGTGCCGACCTCAAGTAGCAATGTAACTGACAGTCTTAACTCAAGCTGCAGATGTTGCTAAAGATGGAGGAGATACGAAAAAGCTGCAAGAGAGCGCCCGACAAGCGTCCGTTCAGACACTACCGCTCCCAGCAGGCAAATCGAAAGAAGAGGTTGAGTCCCGGCGGCGAGCGATGTCTGAAGCTACTTCCCGGCCCAACGGGAAGGTTTTGCAGAAGTCCAAACTTTCTGAGTCACCGATACAACAGTCGTCACCCAATGATTCAGGAGCAGACAAAGCAGATGGCACGGCCGCACAACCTGTCAAACATGCTCCTACTGAATGCGCCTGTGCAAAGGATAATCAACATTATCCGAGCATTGCATTGGACGAAACCTATACAGGAACATTGGAAACCATCAATAACCTGTTGTTCAACAGTGGATTTGAAAAGAAATTCCTTGTAGAGAATCAGAAAAGCACAGGTTCGTTGTCCTCTTTGAAGCTTTGCTTTTGCGTCTAATTACTTGCATAATGCTGACCTTTAAAAAAAAAATTCCCGCTTCAGACGTCAATATTGGACCTTGGGAAAAGGGACAAGGGGATCTCAAGTTTGTCCGAGAAACCAATTACATCAAGTATTTGGGCGGATCCATCGGTAAATCCCCAATCATTTTTCCGCCGCTGTTGGTGATACTTTGGGCTAATCAAACATCTATGTTGTAGGTCCCAAAACCACAAAGTGTCTATTGAAGGATGAAGTCATACACTACGATTTGGATGACTACATTACACAAGTGACCACAACGCAAACACCCGATGTCCCTTCGGGTAGTTCCTTTTGCGTGAAAACTCGCACTTGTTTGACATGGGCGGGTGACAACAAAGTTCGCATCTTAGTTACATTTGCTGTGGAGTTCTCAAAGTCAAGTTGGCTGAAATGTGAGTAGCCAATATTTATTTTCCCTTCATTGCGGTTTTTTTTTTTTTTTTAGGGGGGTGGAGTGTCTTGTTGATCAGCCATAAACTCATCATCTCTTTTGACGTCCATAGCTACCATTGAAAAGGCTTCTGCCGATGGACAAATTGCCTACTTCAAGGCTTTGGATGAGGCAGCACGAAAGTACATACAACAACATCCCAATGAATTCCATGCCGGTGGTCGTCATCCCGAGCGCGGAGAAAGGAGAACTAAACGAAGACGTAGGCGCAGAGTGCCCAAAACCGACAAAGACAGTGCCACCACCGAGACAAAAGAGCAAGAAAAGCATGGAATTCTGCATAAACTATTATCGCCTTTTCTCTTTATTGGTCGTATACTATGGGCTGGAATTAAATATATTATCGAAAATGCCCAAATTCCAACCGTCCAACACCTTACCATGGTGTTCATGCTGCTTATGCTGATTGTCAGCTTACTTGCCGTAAGGAAGATGGCCAATATGGAACGACAACTTGCCGAGTTGACGCATGAAATGCAAATTCTTCCCGCCTCTCAAGGCTTGTGGGCCAATGAGGACGAACGTGAACAAGTGTGGCAGTGGCTACAATCTAAGAAAGGTGACACATACCAAGACCGATCTGACAACGCATTAAATGGTGAAACGTCCAGCCAGCCGGCTGGGAGTAAGGCCAGTACCATGGTACCTCAATTAAAGCACGAACTAGATCAGGAAATTGCGCACCTTGGTATGCGAGTACAAGAGGCTCAGAAGCGGCTTCAGCAGTTAACTCAAGAAAAATGAAAAAAAGTATTCCACGCGATGACATCTCTATGTCATTTCTAGGTGGCGGTGTGCTACCTAACAACGGAGTTGAAGGTTAGCTTGTACAGCAATTTATGCAGGATTGACAGGTCAGTCTTTTGAAATGAGTGGCAATAAAATAAAATATTCAAAACTGGCTTTGAGCAAATATTACTTTTTTATTTGGGGGGGATTACAAGAGGGGATTTTTTTCCAGCTGGGATAACAAAAAGGATTCGCCGACTCTCCATTTATGTGCAATTTTTGAGTTTCGCAGGCGTTTGGGGTATATGAGTGGTCTTAGAAAGTTGGGCCAGTGGAGAACCTGACTCTCTAGCCGGCTTGTGCATGCTAGGAATGGAGCTTAGGGCACTCTCTAGTCTTATGGGAGTAAGAACCACACACGTTGCATTTCGACGTCAATACTTGAGTGTTTGGAGGATGACTGACGGTAGCGTATGAATCAACCATCGGCAACTGGATGTGAGAGAAGCAAAGTGATGGGTTTTTAGTTCCCCGCACATGGTAGAATGTAAAATCTATGCGCAAAAGTATACCTTGATACCAGGGGCGTTCATGGTGTTAGGATGTGAGAAGAAAAAAAAAAGGTGAGAGTAATCAAAATCGAGAAAAACCAACCTGGTTTTTAACTAAAATTATGCGTAGCACAAAAAACCCACTTTAGTGAAGTAAAGGCTAATATTACTGGTGTCTTGTCGCTTGTGTCTCATTCCCCTTTGTGCGGCCTTCGCTGTCAATTACAGAAGTGTAAACAAAAAGATGATCCCGCACGCACACCATACGACTTGCCATTCGTGAAAGAAAATTCCATGGCCAGGCAGCGAAAACCTTGACTCAACCCCCATTCAATGTGGACGCCTGTGCGTTGCACTTTTTTCGGAGAGACACGCTTGTCGTTCCACCTTCAAATAGAATGTTGTCGACTTACTTGGTTTTCTTGTCTTGCCATGGTTTTGACAAGAGAGCTCGTTCTCTGGAGTCAAAGATTGCCACTTGTCCATAATAGGCACCGGCGCATGGATGACAGCTGCAATGAAATGTGCCAGATGGGGGGGAGTAACCTTTGAGATACCCCGCGCTCTAAATGCCGTTCATCGAATGTCTAGCATTACTGTCAAAATTTCCAACACATTACGCTATACATTGGCCCCCGATTTTGAAGCCATGTCGCAGACTCATGTTTAAGATAAAGCGTGTCGTATCACATCACATCACATTTTTCGCATAGTGATTTCAGTATTGGTGATACCTTGCTTAGGGGGCCGCGCAAGCTACGGCGATTTCACCCAGTAGCTGTTGTACGAGCCCAACGAAAGCTTGACAAGCGTATCGTATCCCTTCGTGGCTGCCGCGGCTATCCTATACCTGCCTGCGGGCTATTAAATTTCCCCAAAGTAGTTCTTCCCCTCCCCCCACACGTTACAAATAATGAGAGCACCAATTCCGCGCCAAATAAAAAAAACCTTTTGAGCGAAAACGTCCCACATATAAATTAGTCTGTTTAACGGAAAATCCTCATCCGGCACGTACAAGTCAATCTTTCTATATTGATGTGGTGGTGGTTGTTGTGTGTAAATAAGAAAAAGTGACAAAAAAGAAAAAGATTGCCATCCATCTTTTCAGCAAAAGTCCACACCCTAAATCATAACAGAATGAGTCAGGAAATCACTAATGTACCGAATGGTACAGAAGCTGTCAGATAGCTGGCTTAAAAAATTCCCCAATATGCAAAGATAGAAATCGGCCTTCCAGGTTTACACATAACAAGATCGGAACCGCCTGCTCCAGAACACTTGGGGAGTAAATGAAAAAGCCAGTGTGTTACATTAAAGTCACTCTTTTTTGGGTTGTTTTTTTACAGTCTTTCAACGCAATCAACAACCAAAATATCAGACATATCACGAATGGAAAACAAATGAATTGTCAAATACTACTCGTCACCGTAGAGCTAGTTGACAGCTTATCTCAAAGCGAGACATGACTTTATCAAAATATTTGACCTGTCTCGTAAAACCTTCGTATTGGTAAAGCGTGCAGCATATATGACAGCTAGAATTGCAATGCTTAGGTATCTTTTTCATAATTCTGACAACATGGCGGAAAAGGGAAACGATCGCCAGTAAGAACACCTTTTTTTTTTATGAAATCATCAAGGAGAAATGGAAAGTTGCTTTCAAAAACGTGCAAGTCTCCATCAAATTAGCAAACCATGCTTACTCTTTCACTGCCTTTGTGGCCCGTTGCAGCATGTTTTTGGTAACTATCATCATGAATCTTTCATTTGTTGTCTTCACGGTCCAGGGCCCCATCATAAGCGTCTCATATTTTGTTTTAAATTTGTCATTTTGTGTCATTAAAAACCGAAGGTCGAGTTCGCATCCAATTGAAAGTGGTCACTATGACAAAAATCGGTGTATTTTCAGTGAAAAAGTGTTATAAATATGATGTTAGATGATGGTCTAGAAAAGTCACATCCTTAGAATGCGAATGATTTGATGATTATAGTCAGCTTGTTAAAACTTTTGCAAAACTGTCCGAAAAATCGTAAGCCATGATGGGCATCTTGCTACACAAGTCAAGCTAAAGGATTTTTTTTTTAAAAAATGAAGAGCCTTGGATAATCATGGTCATGGACAACTAAACCCGTTTGCTTCTGGCCGATAAACATTCATGTACGAATTCGATTGGATCATGTACTCTGAGCTCTGTGAGCGTTCCTGGTTCAAGTCAAACATTTTTTTTAATAAACGCTGAGATGCCGACCTGTTTGGTTTTGATACTCTCCTACCATGAGCATAGAAATGCGCGGTCTAATCATGTTTCTAGAGTGACGATACCGTGCGCAGGGACTTTTTGTACCTGTGACTGCTGGGCAATTTGCCCAAATTTCCGCTGGCATCTCACAGCCAATTTTGCCGTGGGCCAGCAACGATCACACACTCATGAACATCCTTCCGCATAAAAGCTGGCACGTCTACAACAAGAGCAACGTTGAAAAAGTACGTCAAGATGAAGCAAAGGCAAAGGAGGAAGAAGACAAGAAGCTCGAGCGCCAGCAGCTAGCAGTAAGTGTGACTCTGCAACATCTTGTTGCCCAATGACCCACGCCATTGCTTTATCTAATCGGCTTGCATTACATTCACTTAGGACCGTGAAGCTCGGTTGAAAATGTTAAGGGATCGAGCAAATCAGCGTGCAGGAAACGATTCAGCTGATACGGTTAGTTCAAAAGACGCTGTCAAGGAGATAGAGGCAAAGCACATTAACTTTTGGGAGGAGTTGGAATCTGTGAGTATCGCTACTGAAAGCAACCCAAAGTCACACAATATGGGCTGACGCATCTATCTAGGGCCATGTCGATTCAGCCGGGCCGAATCCTGAAGTGGCGGCTGAAAAGCAAATGGAACGAGAAAAGTGGGAGAAGCAGATTACAATGTATCTTGCCAAGGAAGCTAAAGGGCCGGCTCCATGGTACGCGGCAGCGAAGCGAATTCCTGACGAGAAGCAAGATGATAAAGCGTTTGATGAGGCATACCGAAAGCTGAAGGACCCCAAAGAAAAACAGAAAGCGCTCAAAAGGAGGTAAGGCATCCACGTGATTGCATTGTGGTTCAACAGGAAGTTCAACTAAACTGGACCAACAGGAAACGTGAAATTCGAGATATAGAGCGAGAGGATCCGCTGAATGTCATACGTACGAGTTTGAAAGGTCGGGACTCAAATCCTAGTACATTAAGCTCAAATCGGGATAAATATGCTGACAAGAAGCATAGAAAGGAGAAAGATAGCAGTAACCATGTAAGATGACGCAAAAAGAAGGGGAGATGGCCGTCAAATGTATCATGGCTGACATATCTCATGATTACAGAAGAGCCACACGTCCAATTCAATTGAGCGACTGCGAGAGCAGCGGATAGCCCGGGAGCGAGCGGAAAGACAAAGAGCGGCAGCCTTGGTGAAGGGTCCAGTGGATGACTATGCTCAGGAAAAATCGCGTAGATACAATTCTCAATTCAACCCTGAGGAAACTGAGCGAGCCCATCAACGCCAAAGACGACATTAAGACGCATGTACATAACCATAGCATACCTACATCACCTCACTTTTTTTTTTTCACAATAGATAATTAACATGAATAGCGTAAATAATTCTTTACGAAATTGTGTATTACTGTATATGGGGGTGCACACAAGAAAAACTGAGTAGACATACAACAAGACAAATTAAAGGAACGCATGTAAAAAAAAAAAAAAAAAAACGGATCGATCAAACAATACGAATAAAATATATGGAAAGGAGGAGGAGCCATGTAACTAGTTGGATGGATAAATAGTAGAAAAACCGGGAAGTGATGATAGAGGGGGAGAGAACGCGAGGAAGACTGTAGGTAAGGGTATGAAAGGGACAAAAAGACTATATGAAATATGTAAAGAATATAAAAAGAGATGTGGTTTTGGAGAGTGTCGCTGGAAAAGGTCGATTTATGCTGTGGACATCAAGGGAGCCCGCTCCGTAGTTCGTTCACAACTGTCTGACATGACTTCGACATCATCCTCTTCTTCATTGCCTTCATGGTCGTCTCCTTCTATTTCATCGAAATCTTCTTCAACGCCGCTGTCCGAGTCCTTGATAGTATCAGCTTCTTTTCTAGCAACGACTTCTCTATATCCTTGCACCATCTTCTCCATTGCTTCAAACCATGTGTATTTGCGAGAGGAGACAATTGCATCGCGACCCATGGTGGTTCGTAAAGACACATTGTCTACGAGGCGTTCCAAGTTGGCTTGATATCCTTCAATTTGATCTTCTCTTGACATACCGTCTGTCACATCCAAGAGCAAACCAGTTTTTTCATGGGCAACTAAATCGCAAACGCCTTCAGCGTTAAGGCCGACCACAGGAAGGCCAGATGCCATGGATTCTAGCACCACTTGACCGAAAGTTTCAGTGAAAGATGGGAAGGCAAATATATCAGCAGATGCATAGGCTGTGGCCAAATCCTCTCCTTGAAGATAACCAGTGAAAGTGACAGGCGTGTTGGAAGCTGCCAATTCAGTTTGAATTTCGTCGAATGCTGGACCATGTCCGACAATGACAAGATGGCACTTGTTGTGATCCATTCGTCGGTAGCTTTGAATCACCAAGCCGAGGTTCTTCTCAAAGGATACTCGACCAACGTATAGGATGACGGTTCTTTGACTGGCTTCTTCTTCTGAAAGACCCATCCATTGTGCTCGTAATTCGCTCGATTTTCGTTGTGGTGAGAATAGACTGATATCGACACCGCGTGGCCATATGCATAAATTCTTGAAGTTTTGTTTTTTCAACATGTCAGTAGTGGATTGGGAGGGACAGAAGGTCAATCGGCAATGGGAGTGGCAGAATCGGTTCCAGCTCCACATAGCAGGTGTGAAGAAGCCCCAACCAAAGTGGCCGCAATAAGCTGCGAGATTGGTGTGATAAGAAGAGACCATGGGAACATCTGGACAATAAAGGTAACATGCTGCCAAGGCCGCAGCACCGAGAAATACCGGATCTACTAGATGAATTACGTCTGGCTTGAACTCCTGGAGCTTCTTGCCAAACAGTGGACGCCATAAGTTTAGCTTTAGCTCTGGATAAGGTAAAAAGGGAATACCAGCTGTTCCAACTAGTTCATGGCCAGCATAAGTCTCCATTCCACTCTCGGGACCAAGGAGAATAGCTTGATGACCTTCAAGTTGTAGATGCTCGAGTAGCCGAGCCAGTGTTCGTGTGACTCCGTCGACTTTCTGATAACAGGATAAGTTGGGAGGACGAACAACAGTTACAGCCAGCAGGAATAGATACTCACTGGAAGCCAGTTCTCTGTAATGATGGCGATCTTCATGTTGGTGAAGGATGTTTTTTGATTTGGACTACAAAAGGGTGGGTCCAAGAGTTGGTTGAATAGGTACGAATTTATTGGGGACAAAAAAGTTCACGTGCGGAGACTAAAATAAGCTCGCTTAACCAATCAACAGCAATGAATGAGTCGTTGTGCTCAGCCAAAGCATCTTTGAGGCGGCCCGATGAGGAGCACGTTTTTGCAAGGTCTGGTATGTTTCAAACATGGGTCATCATGGTATGTAACGGGGGCATAAGGGATTGGATAAGAGAGCTTCTGATCTATCTACGCTTATCCTCAAATGGTGCCAGCAGAAGGCATTATTATTTTTTTAACTTTTTTTTATCATTTTGGATTGCCAGTTAAACGCAAATGATACACTCGCTGTGAGACGTAGCTTAGGCCAATCACATACATTATCATTCCCTCCTGAGGTTATCCAAGCGCGCTTGTAAAGCAGCATCTTCATCGGTCATACCTTCCGCTTGAGCGATGCGTTCGGATTGGGCTGGTGTTGCCTGTGCCAGTCCAACAGGGGTATCCACGAGCTATGGTAGCGGCAGGCGCATTGGCCACATGAGTTTCTTTACTTTTTTTTTTTCCCTTGCCTCACACAGCTGACAACTCACCTGCTGATTCATATCAATGCCTATTTCGTCAAGAACTCTCTCTACTATTTCATTAGTCTCGGCTTCGTCGTCCTCTTCTTCTACTGCGTCATCAATCGCATCATTCATCATTTCTTCCTTCATATCCATAAATTCACTCTCTCTTTCAAAGTCCATCATGATTTTTTGAATTTGAGGCAAGTTCATTCTTCTATTCATGGATGCCATGGCTTTTGTGGCTCCTTTCATGGCTTCTGACATTTGCTGTGTCGATCTCAATGTCTAATATAAGGATTTTGGTGGGGGCTTGAGTATATGTATTGTACCCCATTTTTGATCTGCAATGCAGGCTCACCTGAATACGTAAACTAACGGCCTGAAGCTGTGTCTTCATTTGGTAGAACTTTTGAATATAGCGGCGTGTTCGGACTAGATCCTTGGCCATGACCTTACAGGCATTCTGTAAAAAAAGGGGAAATAAAAATGAATCAATGTGTTCATCCTACACAGCGGCTTGCGTAAAATATCAAGAAATACTTCGGAAAAAACTCTCTCATTACCATTTGGTTTGCCTTGGCTGACTTTTTAATATCAGCAATTAATTTCTTTTCTTGTTGCTCTAACTTGATGCGCTCGCGATCGAGCTCTCTCTGCGCCTTGTTCAGAGATCGCTGATGTTGCCGAAGCATTTCAGCTGGGGTCTTTCGAGAACCAAACAAAAAGTTCTATTATCAATAGTTAGTAATGATGAGACGGCATTCTATACAATGAGGGATGAGTAAATTGGAATGTCTTGTACCATTCTGTAAGACTATCGAAATGGAAGGTTATTGCGTAGGTGGTTGAAGCGTTAAGAATATCAGGAGGCGGACAGTCAAAAGTTTACAGTAGCCTGCCTGGAAGCCTCCAAACCCCGCTTCATGTCTCTACCCAAGGCAAATCCCACCCGATCATTCTGGCTCAACCACAATCCCCTTGAGTCCTATCGCACGACCAAGGAATTGCCCACTAATGGTACCTTAAACGGTTATGCCTTTTCTCATTTGAAAATTTCCTTACTCATGGTGTACTATTGCAGCCGACGTGGTCATTGTAGGACTGGGTCTTACAGGAACCGGAGCTTTGTTCAACCTATCACGGAAGCATCCCCAATTGAATATCCTAGCACTGGAAGGTGAGTGGACGTAAAATAGAACTTTTCCCCTGAATCAAGCTACAACGCAATCAAGACTAACATGAGATGTCAGCAAGAGACCCGGTGAGCGGCGCTACAGGACGGAACGGTGGTCATTTGACTCCTTTTTCATTTCGCGGATTTCGTCAAGATAGCGAGATAATGGGTGAAAAACCCGCTTATCTAAAGCGTTTGTTGGAGCGTCACAATGCTGACCATCTCGTTGGCATTATTAATGAAAATTCTATCGCATGCGACCTCCAAGAAGGAACTGGGAATCTGCAGTGTTGTGATGCCCAAGAGTTCGCAGACGCTAAGCTTGATTTAGCCGCATTTGAAGTAGCTGATAAACGTTTCGGTGGAAACTTGCTTGAGGATGTGGAGATTTGGGAAAAGGAAACCGTGTTTGAGGTAAGTCATGCTTAGCCGGACTTGGGGTCACTGGCGGTTTGACGACTAAATCTCTTCTCAATGCGATGTTTAGAAACTGGGCGATAACAGCGCTGTCGGTGCTCTACTTATACCCGCGCATCAGTTATGGCCGGCTAAACTTTGCTGGGGATTGCAACAAGAATTCATCAAGAATAAAAATGTCAACATTCAATCTCGTACGCCAGCTACTCGTATCTATCAACAAAAGGGTTCCAGTAAATGGCAGGTGGAGACACCAAGAGGCAGTGTCGTCTGTGACGTTGTTCTTCTTGCTTCCAACGCATGGGCTGGCCATTTACTGCCGTCAAATTTGCAAAAGGCGTTGGTGCCAACTAGAGCACAAGTAATTGCTTTCCAAAGCGAACAAGATCACAAAGTGAACGTCAAAGAATGGACGAGAGGATTTACCCTTCATCATGGGTCGGAATACATGATCAGAAGAGGAAAAGATGGAGTATATGTGATTGGAGGCGGAAGAGAAGACATCCCTGGACAGCAGATGTATGAAAGTGATGATTCCGTTCTCAACAATCGAGTTGGAGCTGCCTTGCGATCTGTGATGAAGTCCATATTCCCCGAACTTTTGCCTGAAAGTGAAGACCGCATTCAAGAGTGGACGGGCATTATGTGTTATACCCTCGATGGTAAACCCATTGTCGGTCAAGTCCCTGGTGCACCTGGCCAATTCGTTGCTATAGGTTACAATGGTCACGGCATGCCATTTGCCTTCCAATCTGGTCAGTATATTGCAGAGCAGGCTGTTAACTATCTTCAGCGTAATGCTTCTAGTGTTGCTGACGAGAAAATACGCGAGCCGACTCTTGTTCAAGAAGCTTGGCAGCTGTTTGATCCCAGTCGATTTGATGGTGCACTAGCTGAAAAGTTGGATGGAGGTGTCAGTCTTCCATCGACCTCCAGGTCGATGCGCTTAGCTAACACGTTACGACACAATAGACATTGGTTGTTGCTAGGTCTTCTTTTCCTGATCTTTGGCCAGTACGCCCTATGCTGTAAATAAGCTTCAGCTATATGAACACGCGCTGTAAACACCACCATCATTTTGAATATCTATCAATCATTGATTTGCAATCCGAAAAATGGAAATCAGGTGTATTAAAAATCTATGTGATCATTGAATGGTTGTGTTGTGTTTTATGTATACAGTAGTTTGCAATAGGTTGGGTCGCCTTGATGTAAAGTTTACTTTCTCATAAGAAGGTAAATGTTTTCACCGACAGTTATGTTTTGCAAGTGTCTGAAATCACCTTCAAGGCACATCAACAGACCACCGAAGGAAACATACACAGCACTAGAGGAGAATGGTGGTTAGAGGTTGATGAGAATGTCGATACATAGCCACTGCCGTTTCTTTCTTTCCACTTACACTTTTTGACCTGCACCGAGTGGTGCGCTGCTGCTACCACTATTTGCCTCGTCGAATCGGTACACTTTACCGTACATGACATATTCGTATTCATCGCTGAGATCTCGATCACCGGGTGCTCGTTCACGCCAGCTTTCACGCTTCTCAACACCAGCAGCGGCACCAGAGCCTCCGTTAAGCGCCAAAGAAGAAGCAAGCACCAAGGAAAACTTTTCGCCAATCTCAAGTGGGTAAAGCTCTGTGTTGTAATCCAATGTCAAGTCCATTTCGTAGTTCTCAGAACGAGCACGAACACGGGACACTGCAATATGTTGTTGAATTAATCAACTGTGCCCATTCGGACTAAAAAGTAAAATTTGGGCATTCTATTCTAATTACCTCTGTCGAATCGCTTTCCTTCTGGATCAATATCCTTTATATCAAAAATATCTTGAAACAATAGATTATCGCGTGACATGATAATACAAGTGTAGAGGGGAGGGGAGGGAATGGAAGATGTTTACAGGATTCACGGTGAGCAGAAAAAACCTTGAACTTTGTGACTGCTACGTCAATTTTGTATAGCTTGGAGGAGCGTACCGTCGTTTGATAAATTTGACAAAGTACAATGGCAAACTACTGACCGCTGTTATTACAGCAACCTTCCACACAAACCGTGTCGTCAGGATGAATGTCATGTCTTTTGAAAGTAGGTGTTAGAGTGCGTTTGCTACGTTGTGTTTATCATTGCGACAAATGCTTACCAAAGTAGGTTGGTAAGACCCACATAGATCCAACGTAAATGAGAATAGTGACAATTTCTGATATAATCATGATACGATGCCTGATAATAGGGTGTTAAATAGACTCGCATTAGAAAAACATATGACCCTCCTTTTTCCTTACCATGTATTGATCTCGAACGCAACCATTAATAACTCATTAAAGATCAACGCCGTAAACGATATAGATACAATATGGATGAATTCATCCTCGAACAAAAGAATGGACAAGATCATGATCGCTCCTCCTGCAACACTATGTGAGTATACCATTCAGAGCTATCCAGTGACACACTAAAGTTAGGTTACCAACCTTGATAAACGCTGATGAGGAGCCAAGTAAAGAATGTTCGGTACGACAGTGATCGTCCCTGAATGACGTTTGAGTCACATATTAGATCAAATGCTGTCAGGCTTCATAACAAATCTTTTCCAAACTTTCACTTACCTTTGTCAAATCTTTGTATAGTTCGGGGTATAGCAGCGCTATATCTTCACTGACGTCTTGATCCAGAACTAGCGAGAACACAGGAGCCATAGTATACAAAGTAGCATATCCGACTATTAACATGCCTTGGTAAAGAGCAATAGGAGCAAAATAGAAGAAAGCCGAGAAAACAGCTTGCATCACCGATATGATGAGACCACGATGAATGACAAACTGCGCAAGCTTTGCTGACCGTTTGTAGCTGTTACGTCCATGCCAAACTATGTGTGGATAGGCTATTAGTGACAATTGCCCTACACGTCGCCGCCCACAAGTGTAATAAATGACTTACGAAGAAGCTTGGTCAGATAACTAAACTGCATCACCGAAAAGTCAGCGGCGAGAGAAGCCTGTCGTCCTTCCTTTCCAACAATACCAACACCGACATCGGCGGCTTGAATCATGCTGACATCGTTGCCGCCGTCACCAATACAAAGGACACGCTTTCGTGTATATGCTTTGATCAACCTTGTGATATCCGCCTAGATTGAATGCGTCAGGATACATTCTCAAACTTGCTGTAGCTCACAGTACACTTAAAACGTGTCTTACCTTTTGAGTGGGAGAGCATCTACAGGCAACCACGACAGGTAAAGATGTTGCCAGCTCAATAAAATCTTCGTTGAAATTATCCAAGTACAGCTGTTGATGTAACATGAGAAACCCGTATCAACCAAAAAATATCGAACATATTATTTCAACCATACCTGCAGTGATTCACCGTCGATAACAAGACAGCAGTCGGTCATTGACCTTAAGTTATCAAGCTCGTCAAGGGCCTCCATGGAGGATTTTACTGTGCGATTCAAGAGGTTAGTCGGGTTATATCATGAGAACTACGCATGATTTAGGAATGTGATACTAACGTCTTGAAATTTGGTGAATGTTTTGATTTCGGGAAACTAGTTTAGACGATACTGCAATACAAGTTGCGGTTTCGATCTTATCACCTGTATCATTGTAGATTGATATTAGGTAAATAATATAAAATTACTTGTATCCGCTTGTTAAATCCTACCTGTCAACATCCAAATCTTCAATCCTGCGTTTCTCATCAATTCCAATGTATTGCGGACACCATCCTGTAGCTTGTCCTCAACACCCGTCAATCCCAAGAGTTCTAAGTCGCTTTCGAGACAGCTTTCTACGACCTCCTGCTTGCGGGCATTACGGTCGTGAATGCTAGTTTCCGCTTCATGATATCTAAAATCAGAATTAGATGACTGGTTCATCTTTGTAAAAGCATCCCCTACTTGCATTATATACATACCTTTGTCTAAAGTCTTCGTATGCTTCCTCAGATAGGCGCTTCTTTGCAACCACCAAAGTTCTGAGACCTTCGCGAGCCATGTTGCCACACTCCTCGTCCAACCTGAAAAATCACACGATGTCCATATTGTTAGCTATGTTCAATGCGTCGGGTTATTGATCAAACAACGTGCTTACCAATCATTGTATTGGACAATCCGGCTCATAACAACATCGGCACCCTTCTGATAGAAGGTGATTTCGTTGGTCAACTTATCGCGAACAATGATACCCATGCGCTTGGATTCACTAGTGAATGGGAAGACTTGCAGGACTTCGAACTCGTGTATATCGCCTGATGAAGCAATGCGCAGATGGATCTCTCGAATGTCACGGAAAGTAAGAGCGACACCAATTTGTTCAGTCCACTTCACAATCGCCACTTCGTCAGGACTGGAGGCTTGATATGCAATGGTCCCATCTGTGCTAATAACAGGTGTGACCTACCACAGAAAACAAATAATTAGACGTTGGCTATAAGGAAGTCGTGCAACCATGAGACATATAAAAATCTATCATACTAACATTATGGCAAAGTGCCAAGGCCTGCACAATATCCTTTATGCGAGAAGAGATATCTCGGCGCCCCTTTCCGGAAATTCCAACGATACCTCCACTGGGTTGTATATTTGCAGAAGTTCCCGCACGCTTGTAGCTAGGTCGTGTCTGTTCATATGCTGTCTCAAGATGGGAAACGATTTCATCCATAGAATCAATTCCATAAGACATCGTGCCCATATGTAGCTTCTTGAGTTCCATATCTATGAAATGGCTTTGTTAGAGAGACTCACATCACTTGTTGTCAAGCAACACTTCTCGTTATTACCATTCTTTGTAAGAGTTCCCGTCTTATCCGTTAGCAAATATTCTATTCGGCCAAGCTCTTCAGGCAGAGTGCTAGTTCTAACAATGGTGCCTTGTATTTCTCTATCATGCTCTATTTGTCGACCATAGACCGTTTTGCCCATATCCAAATTGACGCGCAAGCTTTTGTACCATGAGATGAGCAATTATCTTTCATATCGGTGTACATATTGGAGAACAAAACATACCTGATGGGAATAATAGACGAAAATAAGATAAGGAATCGGAACACATAGATATACCATATTCCTTGGAATCCATTCAGGCCAACCATAACAATAGAAAGTGCCAAAGTTACGAGAAAGAGAATCTGAAACATGGTAGCAACAACCATCTTTAAAACATATTCGACTGGCAGGTAACAAACATTAGATAGAATAAAAAAGCCCATACCTTTGCGAGTCGATTGATGTCTCTATCCAAAAGACCAATTTTGGTCTCTGGATGACTTGTATTCATGACAGCACGAGTATCTTTACCGGTATATATAACAAATCCAACGGCCGTTCCAGATGCAAGGACAGTGTTCGTCCACAGCGTATTTTCAACACCAAGAGCGTCAACATGAGGTTGTCCGTTGTTGGTATTGAACTGAGTGAAAGTTCCAAGAAAAGAATGAATGTCCTTGTGAGGGGCATCGGCTATGTAATGCAACCAACTAAAATCAGATGCAATTCGATTCCTACTTCTCAATCCTTCTGCTGTAACGTACCGTAGATCTCTCCTTCCAGTTGATTAATGCTGTCATCGGTAGGCAAATTTTGTGTGGTAGGCACTGCCAAGCGTAATTTCCAATCGGTTTCACCATCGAGCTGATCCGTGCGAATGAAGCATGCGCCACTCGCTTCAGTTGTGCGTAACAAAACCATATCAGAGGGTACTCTTTGATCTTTCTTCAAAACGACAAGATCGCCAACACGAATTTTAGAACTGGGTATACTGCGCTGTCCGGTAGATGAGAGGACAATGTATTGTTGTGAGTTGGCTTCTTTGTCTCGTACATAACGTTGGTAATCATCCATTGCCTCCTTGCTAATCGTAACCAAGAGAACAAAGCAGAGTGGTCCAAAGTACGTGAAAATATATCCTGGTGGCGAAAATGCATAAGCAAGTCAGCACTGGTTGAATCAAACATTTGAGATGCTCACCAATCTTTAAGGCTGGAATAAATTGAGATAAAGCAACCAGAAGAAAATACAGGTTGAAAAAAACTTTGAACTGAACGAGCATCAAGTAGTCAGATGGCTGGCAGTCACCGTATACGCATATAATTGATGTTTGGACTTACCTGCTCGTACATCACAAGTGGTAAGAAGGTTATTATATTGTACTTCTGATTGACAATCAGATTGGGAGAAAACTTCTTCTTCGCTCGATCTGTTGATTAGAAAGATTGATCAATACTGATAGCAACCTGATGTGTCGTTTCATGCGATATTTGCGTTTCAATTACCATCTTCATGAATATTGATTGTTCGAGCGTTTAGGCTTTTTGGAGCTCGCTGAAATACATTACTGAGAGTTGATTTTCCTTTTGCCTTTCGTTTCCGTGGATGGTGTCTATCTATTGATTCGTCGTTATCCTGCAAATGAGGTGAAAAGTGTCAGATGCAAGCATATCAGGTCGGTTTAGTTTGAAACAATACAAGTACCGCCGTGGAACCCAGCAATGCTTCTTCGTCCATCAAAGGCTCTTCATCCTCGCTATGTATAGAATCCGATGTTCTGTACTTGCGTGCCGAGTCGGAGAAGGGCATAAGTTTCCGCAATTCGATGGGGCGGGTTTCCCTTGGCATGCGATGGAGAAGAAGTGGAAAGGAATCAAGTCCCGCACAGACAAATTTCAGACGTCACAAAAACTTCTTTCTGGCAGGCTGGAACGCGCGACTTTGCTTACACCAACCCTTCTCTATCACTATGACGGACGTCCTTAGCGCCCCTCAATGGTCGCAAGGATTTGGCGATCTGCACAATTTAATAGCAGAAACCTTAAGATCACCATCACCGCCTGCTATTAGGAGATTGCGACAAGGAATTGAAGCCTACCGTCCGCAATTTTTGCAGTTGCTTGACGATCCACCCAAGAATCAAGATCACAGAAACACCATTATTTCCGGTGAGTTTGACTGACATGCCAACCAAATGCTCTCAAATAATGCACACTAACTTTATTGTAAGGTCGAGCAATTATCAATGGCGATCGCAAAAAGATTAATGAACAGTTTATGAAGCAGACCGTGTTCCTGAGCGACCAACTTAACATTGACGAACATGTTGCAGCATCTCTCATTTATACTGGAAAGTCAAACATGACCAAGTTTGACAACTCTGAAGTTGATAGTGCTATTACGCTTTATCATATGGAACGAGGTTACCTTTTGGAATGCCTTATTCAACTTGTTATCATGGCCAGAAATGCAAACGTGGATACAACCCTTCGAGAAACTAGCTATACATTTATTGCCGGTCTTGTCAGCGAGTCCATTTCGACCGATATCTATAACAAGGCAAAAATAGGAACTCTGCCGACCAAAATTTTGGCCACTATTGATAGACTACAAAAGCAAATCGAATCCATCGAGAGTACTGGTGCATTAGAAGGCGCTCAACCAACAGCTGCGACAGGAGCACAGCCTGGATTCGGAAAGCTTGGAACAGAAATCTCCAACTTCAGACTGAGACGTCTCCGCGATGAGCGTATAGATCTGGCCAGACTCCTGTATCATATTGCTGCTTTAATTGGCCTCGATACAGACGAAACTATAGCACTAGCAAAGAGTTTGAGAGAACGCGGATCCAAGACAGATATTGGACATTACCTTCTCATGTGCTTTTTCGCTTCCACCAACATGAACTTTGATACCTCTATCAGCAGCATGAATCATCAAGAAACGATTTGCCAAGATACAAAGTTCATTGAGCAGTTCGACCAAATATTAACAGGAGACGGCTGGAGTTCAGTTTCAATCAGAGCTTCAGTGGCTCTACAATGGTCTCTTTTCCTCGTTCATGCTGTCAAGGCTCACTCTGACTTAAAAGACCGATTACCTTTTGGAGAAGATCGAGTGGCTGTCGTGGTCCAACGTGCAATTGGTGACAACGTTTTCAAATATCTTGGAAAAGAATTGTTAAGCTTTCAATGCGACAAAGACAGAGCGTTCAACAAAGCAGGACGTTCGAAATCCGGCAGTAGCGCAAGCGACTCATCAACCAACAACACAGAAGTCTGTGAAAGCTTTAGAGAAGCTTTTATTTACGAGATTGAAGCCACATCCATTGCCTTCATACATCATATGTCAACAATTCTACGACAGATGAAGTTGGATGAAGAAGATGCTGATATCCCCATGTACCAAATGGGCAATGCCAAAACTGCTATTGTTCCTGCAGAGACAAGCCAAGTTACCTGTCATGATTTGGAAGATTTCGTTATATTGCTTGCAAATGTTTATCGAAATCGACCGGAGGCTGGACTCAAATTCTGGCCCCCCAATGACAATGGCTTGAACAACTTTCTCAAGTGGATTACAGAAGTTCGCGTGGTGGGCACAGTCCGAGCTGTGTATGAATTTTTGGCTTCACTGGCCACCGGCGAGAAATGTGCTCTACAAACATTTCACTTCTTTAGTGCTGAAGGTACCACTACCAATCCTTCATCCCAAAGCCTTTTCTCTTGGCCAAAACTTTTTGCTGCCATCAACTTTTATACACCACTATTGAGTAACTACAACAAGGACTCACCAGCGACTTTGCCTTTGGAAGAAGAACGGGTTTTGGCCGCCTTTCTCCATGTTTTCCGTCAAGTCATTTTATATTCGGATGTTGCCAAGAACTTCTTCTGGGAAAACGAGACTTTTGCTGCCTTGGCATCTTTGATCAACCTCTTGGGCTGCCCTACTACTCCAGCACTCCGCGCATCTCTTTATAGTTGCATTGCAGCTTTTTGTACAGCCAAGGATGATGGCACAGAGAATACCACAGCCATTCGTTGCTCTCAGCAGATATGGCAGGTGCTCGAGGATAGTGGCGTGTTGACTACAAAGAAGCAGAGACAAGCACTTGAGACGCAACAGCGACAACAACAGCAAACTGGTCTTTTGGGACAACCCTCGCAAATCTTTGGCCTTCCAGGAAGTCATCCTACTTCGACCATCCGTGTTAGCAGCTCTCATCAGGAAGGAGGCATGGTCTACGATATTGCACAGGAAAGCAAACTCGGAACATATCCTGAAACGCTGGCTTTCATCCACCTTTTACAATCGTTAATTCATGAAGCCCCAAAGGCAACAGGAAAGATGCCAGAACTGGTTTCCATTTCACAGTCCATTCCTGATCGCTTAGGTGCAGCCACCCGCTCTCCTGGTACTGAACCCTACATCTCTCTCATCATCGATGAAGTGTTCTTGCCTGCTTCAAGTCGCAAGTACAACTACCCCACTGAGAAGTGGAAAGTCATAGAGTCGTGTCTGGCCCTCTTTGAAAAGAGTTTGCTCACATTTAATCTGGGATCTTTGAACAGCAGTCCCAAGATGGGTATGAGTACAGACAATATCCTCCTGACGTACATCAGCCATCCAGGATTCGAAATTTTGAAGCGATTGCTGTCGGGCTCAAAGTTTACGGTGGAAATCTTCAAGATTGTAGAATATGGCGTTCAGGCTGTTCACGACAATACTTTCCGGACTCAATATTTCACAAAGTGCGTTGAACGATGTCTTTCCATCATCTCACATACCTTAAAAGTGCAAAACACCTTTTGCAATGTCTTGGTACATCAATTTAGCAAGAACTCGTCAGGACTTTCTGGCGCTGAAATTTCAATTGCTGGATACAAGTATCCCGCTTTACCATCTGTCGTGACACTAGACACTTTCCTTCTTTACCACGCCAATGTGATTGTTCAAATTGCGTTGTTTGTCAACTGCCAAGACAGTGAGCAAATCAGTGTATCCAGCATCAGCATCATGTCTGCTTTGTCTGCATCTCCAAACCTGTCACAGCTTCCTACTGATTTGAAGAGTACCAGCAGTGGTCATTCGATTATCAGTGGACTAGGTGCCAAGCTGACTCAAGTCCTGGCCGCCAGTCCCGACCATCTATCCATTATCCATGGCTTTTTGGAACAATTAGAGATTGGCGAACCTGAATCTATTGGCTACAATGATTCTGACTTTGATAGATACAATATCCCTTTCTGGGTGACCAACGCAAGTTCTGATAACTCCTCACAAGGCACGCTTACTTCATCTGTTCGACTTGCTATTGTCAATTTGATTCTCGAGAATTTGGATGGCAAAAGATCAAAGCCAACCATCGCTCACTATATCTTGGGATATGATGTTTTTGGATCCATTGTCAAGACGGATATCAAGGATCCTATCTCAGCAGGTCCCAAAGTATCGTGTCTTCATGCCATCTTGGCCTTGTTGCAGTCTGGTGTTGATGGTAATGCAGAAAGCATTAGTGGTATGATGGACGAAGAGGATCGAGAACTGGCTCCTCTTTACGCAACACATCCTATTCTGGCTGAGAAATGTTATCAAATCATCTATAAGCTTTGTTCAAGTGAAGCCACGTCTCAACCCACTACAAGATATCTGCGCACTCGAGAAGACTTCTTCTATGTTCAGTTCAAGGCTCTGCCTAGCAAGTTCTCAAGTCGGTCCAGTGGACCGGTATCACCTTTCCAAGGCACGCTGAACTCATCTGATGGTACCAGTATGGACATTGATTTTTTCAATCTCAAGGCACTGTTGCATTTGCGAACATGGCTGCTCAAGTCTATAGCGATCGAGCTCCATTTGACCACGTCAGCTGGTCAAAAGTCTTATTCTAACCGGTTGATGAGTCTACTGTATGGCACCAACCCAATACCCGACGATATGGATGTGGAAATGACGGACTATAGCAATTTCCAGCAGCCACTAGCCAAGATGCTTGAAATCTTTAGCTCTCTAGATTTCACATGGACAAGTCCAATCACTGAAAAGGCCAATGGATTTAAAGCTCAATACTACCGTGGATTCTATGCTGAAAAGTTCCAACATGAAAATGATCAGGGTTGTCCACTTTATGATATCCCTGCGGCCTACCACCATCTCCGGTCGGAGTTGGACCGACAAATCCAAGCTGGCACCATCACTTCAGTCAACGAAAGTGCCTTAGTGGAAGATGAAATTCAACGTATTTTGGAGGTTCTGATTGCTCAAAACCAAAGCCGTGAGATTGCGTTTGCTCGATACCATTGTTTGCGGGCATGGAAACAAGTGGTCCATTTGACCCTGACTGAGTGTCTCGACCTCATTCCTTCTGATTCTCGCGAGCACATCTTATTGGATTTAATCAACGCATTGCTCCCCAAACTCACGAGCGACGCCTACAGCATCATCACCTACGATATCACAGAGTTGCTTTTGGCATGCATGACTCGACTTCGTGACCATCATCGCAGTAAGGGAGATGGCGAAATGAAACTGAGTTCACGACTTCCTGATGAAAAACTCAAGAGCTTGTTCAGGGGTATTCTCGAATTCGGTAACACTGACTCTACCAGCATTGCTAGTCGTGGCAACATGTATGTGACCTTGCTCAGCTTCTTACTGTACATGGAAGAAAGTCGGAAACAAACTCCTTCCGATCGTCTCAAGTCTCATATGCTCGCCGTCGTCAATGCCGATGGAGATAACTTTATACGGCAGCTCTATAGAGATGCTCAAGATGGTGTCGATGTTTGGCGAACGACCGCTAATATCACCTTGAATGCTCTCAGCGCTATTGTCGATGTCGTCCCCGCTTCAACATAATGACAGTCGAAGAAAAAAGAGAACAAATAAAAATAAAAACATAGGGGATCTTTACCAGTACTTTTCCGTATCCTATACTGTCTATTGAAAATTAGGAACCAGAGCAGAGAGCCTGACATTTATTCTCGCAATCATTAGTAACTTAAAGCATGGCAGGAGAAACAGAAGCAAACATATACACTCACAGTTATCAAAGTATGAATGTATGAGTTTATTGATATCATGCATAGGATTTATTTGAAATTTAGCAAAACGAATCATCTCAACGATTGTATGGGCTGCTGGAGATACGAGATATAAAGGTCGATTTATGGATGCAGAGATTAACATTGATGAACAAAAGGGAACAGTGATATATGTTTTAAATCAGCGGGACTGACTTCGCCAGCCTATGCTTGTTGCATTTATGAAATTGCTATTGGCCAATAACCTGCTCCTCAGATTTAGATAGACAGAGGTGCATCTTCGAAAGAAAAGACGGTGTATTGGAATATATCCGTTTATTTTGGCAGAATTCAACATTCTGATACGAAGGTTAAACTTGGATGATGGCAGCGCAAATTATTTCTAAAGGACTGTACTTTCGATATATTGCTCAATATGACAGGAAGAATAATAATAATAAAAAACCACAATAATGTACGAGTGCCATGTTTAATTGGTTTCTTTACTTTAACGTTGGTGACAGTAGATACTTTAGAGTTGGTGTGTGAATGTCAAAAGGTATGGGTTGACAGGGAGACGCAGTGTTATTTATGGGATTAAAGGGAAAGGGGGAATGTTGTTTAGTATTGCATTTTAAAGTGGAATTGTTGGCCGCCGCCACCGGAGAAGTCACCAAATGGGAAACCATGGAAACCGCCGCCGCCAAATGGATTGCCTCCGTGATGGAATCCACCGCCTTGTTGTCCACCGGTTGGATCATATGGATCTTGGCCACTATCATACTTTTGTCGCAAGTCTAATGAGAATCCGAAAGGTAACCAAAGAATAGATCAGTACAAGGATTCATTTCCTGCTATACATCCAGTGCAGCACAGCACATATCATTTAAATCAACTTACCGTCATCGTACAACACTTCATAGGCTTGATTGATCTCAGCCATCTTGGCTTCAACTGCTTCAGGACCCAACTCTCCAGAGTATTTGTCAGGATGCCATTCTTGAGCAAGTTTGCGATAGGCCTTTTTGATTTCTCGCTTGTCGGCATCTTTCGCTACTCTGAGAATCTTGTAATAGTCCCTGGTTTTGCTACGCTTGAGCAATTTCTGTGCTTCCATCAACAGTTCTTGGACTCGTCTATTTTGACCTCCAGTTGCTTCTTGCGCTTTGTTCAGAAGTCGAACAGCCCCTTCAAAGTCCTCTTCTCCCAGTGCCAATTCACCAAGATTCGAAAGAGCATCAATGTCATTCTCGTCCATGTCCAGCGTGGCCGAGCACCATTTCTTTGTGTTAGCAGTGTCGCCTTTTTTCTGAAAGCCGAGATTGGAAGAAAAATTATAATCAATGTTAGCACTAATCTCAGTTCCAGTGTATACGTATATCTATTTTTTTGCTTTTTCCTTACCTGACCGAAAGTTTTACATGCCAAAGAATACAGTTTTAGGGTGAGTCGCCTTGGCATTTTACCAGTAGCACCAAGAATCTGTTCTAATTCGTCTACTTCTTCATCTACAGTGGCAATCAGTCCTTTGTCTTCACTGGTACCCACAAGTTTCTTTGAAGCAGCCGTAAACTTGTTGGATTCATAGTCTGCTGTAGCGGCATTGACGGACTTGTCTAATTTTTTCAACTTTCTAAACAGGGCTTTGCATTGTTTTTGCTCTGGGTCGTAGTGGAGACATTGTTTGACGTGGCTGAGAGCGCCTTGAGGCTCATACAAGGAATAGTAGTTGATTTGCGCCAACTTCATCAGGACATCCTCATCACTTGGTGACAGGTGGGCAGCTCGTCTAAAATTAAAAAAACCAGTTGAGCAGGGGGCTACCAATACTGCATAATCCTCTCTTTTCGGCTCCAAACTTACGTGAGGTCCCCAACGGCTTCTTCTATTTCACCTTTGGCGATGTGGCATCCAGCTCGTAGCAACCGTATGCTGGTGGATTGAGGGACGGTTGGCACAACGGCTGAAAGCAGTCGAATACATTCATCATAGTCCTTGTTGTCAATGGCCTTCTTGGCTAGATCAAAGTCCGTTCCAGCTTGTTGTACAGAAGCATACTATAGTAGAAAATGATCAGGTCAGAAGAGGCACAAAAAAAGGACATACGGAAACATTTTAAGGGCAAAGGGACAGGACAATGTACTTACCAGAGTGGCAGCGTCTGCATCACTTGGATTGATCTTGACATAGGCTTTCAAATCCGCTTTTGCCAAATCCAAGTTTCCTTCCTTTGCATAGATCTTTCCTCTTTGCAGCAATGCCTGATGAAAGTCGGGCTTAATGGACAAAATGGTGGTAAAATCCTCCAGGGCAGCGCTGTTACGGCCAAGGGACAAATAGGTCGTTGCTCTTCGATAGTATGATACATAGTTTGCTGGATCTTTACCTGAAAGAAAGATGATGAATAAGTGGGGGGGCCAAGAATATAGCCAACACTAAAGAAGGGACAAAGTTCACTTACTGATGGCAGCGTCAAAGCTAGTCAAGGCTTCGCTGTATTTGCCAGAAACAAGCAATTTGTTTCCATCATCCAGGTACTGCTGAGTGGTCTTTTCCGATGCTAGGACCGAACTAACCGGTAGCAATAACGGAATCAGGCAAGCTAATAGCAAGCGATGGTGTTTCATGGTGAGGGGATGGAGAGAGAAGAGCTACACAGTGTGAGCTTTGTCGAGAAAGCAGTCCTAATTATAATATGAAGTCACGGGTAGACACGAAATGAGATGCTATTGGACCAAAGGGGTCCTGGTCCATGACGAGCAGGTTTTGGAGGATAACAGCACACATTCTTTATGTAAAGAGTAAGGAAAAAATGTACTGAAAAAATGAGAATCTAAGCTACATGCATTTTCATGACTTCTATGTTGGCTTTTTTCTTTTTCACCTCTTGTCCCTATTGTTAGTGGTTATGAATAGGTTTGTCGAGATTGATCACCGTCGATGGCTGTTGTTGTTGTTCTGAAAGTTCGGGACTTAATGTACCAAGATTGTTTATACGTCTTCGATTACGACCAGCTTTGCCAGACATGGTTGCTCTGAAAGTCTGCCATACATATTTTCGGCATTTTTTAGCATTGGGAAGATCTTGTATCATTTTAGCAATGGCATTTTTACGCAGCCCAAAAAACTCAGGTCCGACTGGACTATGCTGGTAGTCAAGGTTGCGTATTGAAAAAGCCTTTCGAACCACTTCAGTCCAAACCGTGGTAGGAGTTCTTCCTTCAAAGACGGTGCCACGATTATCGTCTGCTTCAACTTGAAACTGCGACGGAGGAAATAGTCAAAAGTAAAGGCATTAGCAACGGAACAGCGCGTTTTTGAAAAGAATGAGTGGGTCCATTCATCTTTCTTTTACTTACTCTTGGTTCTTCACCACCATCCACTATTCGACATGTATATTGGGTATCCCGCTTGGCATCAACCATGCTGCGATACCATCTATGGTAAATGAGGAGGGATGTTCTTAGAATTTTCCATGAAACCATTTTTCCAAATTAGTACTTCATATTGACATCACGTACTTTTTGATCGTGTATCCTATCGGGTAAATGTAGCGTGCTGTATGGAAGGCTGGACGCTCAGCGTCAATCACACCTAAATTAATGACGGTCCAAGAGTCTATCTCCACTGGTAAAATAGGCTGACCACAGTGATCTCGCTCCATTTCATAATAAAACCGTCCGCTTTTTGGATCAATATCCTTGACTTTCCGTTTTTTGGCCGCAGACCGCCGGGAGGGCTTTTGTAAGGACGATGGTGATTCCAATTCATCGTGGGTGGGGTCGTAGTTTGAGCCATCGGATTCTAAATCTAGCAATCAGTGGAATCGTCGTAAGTTTGTTGTGGGGGGAACGATGTCATCTATTTCATTCATTTAAGCATAAAATTTAAAGTTCTTGAAATGACACAACTTACCAGCTTCTTCATCATCCTCTGTATTTTTTTTTATGCTACATGCAAAAAAAGTTACTTTCTAAATCAGTCATAGCACCTTTGGAAAAAAACAATCAATAGGTAGATAGATTTCAATAGAACCTTGGGTTGCTCGTAAACATGGGTAATCTTCTTTTGTCTTCCATGCTGTTCTTGCGTGGAACGATGTTCGGGACATCCTGATGAATCAAAGCGCCAACTCGTTGTCGGTTTTCGGGAAAATGCGATCTGAGGGTTGGACTTTGATGGTTCATGGTTGTGTTGGTAAAGGGAGCTTCCAAAGCGGGCTGTTTTCCTTTGTCACGATAGATCGAATAGTATTCGTTACTTGTCGACTGTGCCTCATAAGCAATATAATCCATGCTTTTCGAGGCAGGTTCGGCTAATCTATTGGTCTGACAATCAAAGTTAGTGTAAATGCTACTACAGCACAAAAGCTTATGGTGGAAAAGGTGCTCTAGAAAAATTTTTAGTTCTGGAAAAGGGAGCAACCGCATTGTTGATCTTACCCATTTTAGTTTCAAAGTGACCCGTATTTCAGTCAGGTATGAATGATTGCTAGTCGTATAGACCTCCCCCGAGATCTGCTTGTTTTCTCTTTGATCGCTTTCAATGATCCAAGAAGAAAGGCCATGTCCTTCCCAGATAATGGTTTTAGCTGTGTCTGGGGGTTGTGCCGCGATCTCTTCATAACTCATGCTATATACAGAAAACTCTTGAGAGTCAAAGAACATTTCGGGACTAAGAAGTTGGAGTTTGGCAGCGATGAGTGCAGAAGCGTGATGTTATTGAAATGTCATGACAGAACAAACGGACAAAACTGCGCATCAAAGTACCTTGCGCGACTGATGGCCATAAGGCATTGCGATAAAGGCACGTTCGTGATGGTGGTGTCTGGATTAACATTAATATGATAATTAAAGGCCGTATAGCAGGATTTCATGTCGCCTTCAAAGCTGTAATACACTTTCACTGAAAAAAACATGATGTTTGAGAGCGAAGTCGTGAAAATGGATGCGAGCTGGTCAGATAGAAAACCAACCCTACCTCGTGAAGGTGACCGTGTGTGTGAAGGCCTCATGACAGAAGTATTGGTGGTGGAAGTAGGCGACGTTGAGTTTGGCGTATTCCATTCCAAGGGTCTTATATTATAGTCTGCTTGTTGACTTGGGAGCGCATTAAGTGAAGGTATTTTACTGGACGAAGTGGTATTCGACGATGAATCGTTGTGTGAATGATAGTGGTTGGCAGTCTTCGTCGGAGATGCAATCCTTGGAAACATGATTCATGGGAATACGAACCAAAGGGCATCAAAAGGCTGACAGATGCAACGATGAAAGAAAAAGACAACGAGAAGGAAAAGAACAAAAAGACTTTTGAAAAAGAAAAGTGTAGAAAAACAAAAAGTTGTCTGTTGGGGGGTGGCAAGCTGCCCATGGTAATAAAATAGCGGATTTTGCGCTCCGATCCATGATTGGCTTGCTGACATTGTCTTCTTGTAACAGGTACAACAGGATAGCGTTTTACCCGCCTATTTTTATTTTGAAAGTGAGAAAAAGCGCAAGTCGCACGCTTACCCACAAACGTTACTTTTTCCTTGCGTTACATAGATTATCGCGTGAATAGGCGACAAGGCCAAAGTCAGTCGTGTCTTCAATTGCTTTAAAAAGCAAAGAAGTATAAGTCAGATTAAATAAGCAACTTGGGGGTAGCGAGCTGCCATTCTGAGGGGGGATACCACCCACGGAATACCGAATAGAATGATGACTTGGAGTTTCATTTTGCAAGCTTCTGTGTTTGGGTGGTGCATCACAAGCTTCATCGGCCCTTCAAAATTTGGGCTGATGAACTGTAACCGGGTTGCTGGCACTATAGCTAATCCTGATCTTCGGATTTCTGACTTTATACGTAAGCCAACGACTGCACGGCTACTTCCTCTTATTCAAGTTGCTTTGGAGCGGAAAACAGACATATCAAAAGACCGCTTCAGAAGGAGATACTATGGCAATTCTACTGAGCAAATGGGGGGCATTTG